ACAAACACAACAGCAGCAGCAGCAGCAACCTTCAGCAGGACAGGTACATACTCACGCTAGCTTCTGCATCGAACCTAAAGGCACCCAATTTATTCACCCAATATCGAAAATTCTGTCATTATTTACTCCTTTCTTAACTATTTGATCTTCTTATCTGTTTAACACAATTAAGATATGTTGGAAACTGGAAGCCTTTGACTTCCATAGTGCACTAAATAGGGCACTACTCTAGTAGCAATTGGCTCTCCATTGTACCGAAGTGGAGCACAGGTGCGCGCTCGGTTCAAAACTTCAACACAGTCTTGGTAGTAGTGAAGTTTGGCTTCTATCGCTCTTGGTTTCCCGCCGGGTTTTCTTGAAGCCAGACTTCTGTGTGAGCGATCAATGAGCACATCTTTGTCCAGCTGCAGCACCTCTCGCAACAGTTTTGAGACCGAAGTCGTAGAATTTGATCCAGGCGCCTCATGCACCCCCAGTATTCTGATATTACACCGCCGCGCTCTTCCTTCTAAGTCCTCGCATTTGTCCCGCAGCTCCGCCACCTCAGTCTTCAGGGAGTTCACCGTGGTTTGCAAGGTTACCACCTCGTTGGACCATGTCGACAATCCGGTCTCCATGTCTCGGATTGTGGTTTTTATTTGGTCAATCTCAGATTGAATCGCCGCCGTGTTATTTTTAACTTCTGCTTTTAATGCCTGTAGCTCATTTTTAAGGAAGTCGAAGTCGTCGGCATGTGCGTGTTTCATTTCTGATTTTATCCGATTTCAGGGACTTGGCGTCTATCTCTGGTTTAGCGTTAGCTGACCGTAGCTGTGGTGGAGAGGCTCTTGCCGCGTTGTTAGTAGCAGAATGGCTCCCGGTGGTGTTAGGTCTCGTGTTCGCTGCTCCAGTATATTGAAATTTACGCAGATTCGTCGCCATTCACTCAAATGTAGACTTTCTCTCAGCTTTGGAAGTGTTTTCACAGCAGATTAGTCGATATTTTAATATACTGTGCGCTTACTTATTTAAAATTAAAAAAATTTCAACGGGAGCTCAAACAAACACATCTCACTCCATCGACAGCTCAACAGCGCCCCGGCCACTACTCTAGTAGGTGCTACATTTAAATGTAAATCTACTTCACAACCATTTGAACGACTCATTTTTATGATGTGAAATTTTCGATTTTAGACAATTTGAATGTGTATTTCTTCTCATATCTCCACAGATGAGAGGTCAAGCCACGTCTCCGCAAGGAGGACAGAGGCGTCGCGAGAAGAAAGAAGAAACGGATTGTTGTATTCTATAAATCAAAGTAAGTCGCCATCATAACCAGACTCTCCAAAGCCAGCTTGAGTTAACCTGTCTCTTCTGTACCACTACTGAAACAAAGCTGGCGTCCCGATGCCAAGCCTGCCTTTACAATACAGTCGTCCCCCGTGTTTTATGCCTTCCCTCAACCCTGAACTGTTGCTCATCATCCGTCTACTGGACCAAATAAAGGTAGCAAGTGTTTCCAAGCACTAATGAGCATTTGTTTTGAATGCTAGCGTTTGGAGCTCCTAACTATGCCATCGAAGACTGTAATGGTAAACGATCAGGTATTGTAATACGATTTTAATATTACGCGGAAATGTGACCGTCTCTGGCTTTTCTTGCAAAGTGATGTACAGTACACTACAGTACCGCTTCGATTCGCTCAGGATCCTCAACGCTGAGCTAATAAAAGCCACTTCTGTGTTAAAGAGCAAACGCGTGGCTGTTGATTGACCAAGGGTTTCTTGTTATTGCTGGTATACACAAAGAACAGGCAGGGGTTCTGGTGGAGATATCGGCGTCATCAAGACTGTTTTGTATTGTACACATAGTTTAGTATTGGCAGACGCAATGGAAGTCTATTTTTATTTCAACAGGAAAAAAATGTGTGTGTGTATGTATATATGTATATATGTATATATATATATATATATATATATATATATATATATATATATATATATACACATTGCTCACCATATTCGCGTACACCCCTCACAAATCTCTCATTTAAATAATATTTTCAATAGGAAGCTTTACATATTTTATTTGTGCATGTACACTACCTAACAGAAGTCTTGTCGTCGATCCCAGTTGTAAGTGCAATAATAACTTGACTTCTAGTTAATAATTTGGAAAAAGGGCAGAAGGTCGATTTTTCTGATGAATCATCTGTTAAACTGCAGAAGACCTGTTGAAACCCACATGGACCCAATATTCTCACACAAATCAGTCAAGTTTGGTAAAAGAAAAATCATGGTTTGGGGTTACATTTAGTATGGGGTGACAAGAGATCTGCAGAGTGGATGGCAGCATCAACAGCCTGAGGTATCAAGACATTTGTGCTGCCCATTACATTACAAACCACAGAAGAGGGCAAATTTTTCAGCAATATAGCGCTCCTCATACTTCAGCCTCCACTTCAAAGTTCCTGAAAGCAAAGAAGGTGCTCCAGGATTGGCCAGCCCAGTCACCAGACTTAACCATTATTGAGCATGTCTGGGATAAGATGAAGGAGGCGGCATTGAAGATGATTGAAGCCACTTCTAAAAGCAAATGATCAACTAGAAGTCAAGTTATTATTTGTTTGTCCTAAAACTTGAATAGGCGACAAGACTTTTGTCAAGTAGTGTACATTAGATTAGTCAGTACTGAAGACAAATCTGGAGCTAATCTAACAAAATAACTTATAATAACGGGCCAAAAATTATTACACCCCAATTTATACGTTAAGGAAAAATATTAAATAAGAAATGTAAAATGATCAAAATTCATTAAAATATTTTGCATAATTTAAAAATCATTTTGAATTATCTTTCTAAAGATGTTTGATGACTAAAATATTATTTTAATAAATATATTTGTTTAAGAATTAGGTAAGAATTTAAAAATAATTCTGCAGTTTGCAGTTGTGGCCTTTTCCCCCTAAATTGTGACTTTTTTTATTCTTTACAATGGAGAATTTGAGGGTTTCTAGTAAATCTTGTATTGTACTGCAAGATATAAACTCTGAACTGTTAAAAATACAAGATGCAATAACAATTCAAAGAAAGAACACAATTGCAGGAACAAACATCTCATTTCTATCATTTTTTTTCTCTCAAATCTAACAATGTTTAGTCAGAACTGTTTAATGTCAGGATTTAAAGGAAACAAGGCAGAAATGGTAGCTATAATCTTAAAAAAGAATTTATATCTCACACAATTCTGACTGTTTTTGTTTCAAAATGAAACTTCATATCATGCTGTACTTTTCTTTTTCTCAGAATTGGGAGAACCTATTTATTTCTGAGGAAACAATAATGATTTACTTTAATATCTTGTATAAAATATATAATATTGGTCATGCTTTACAGTATGATTCCATTTGGTAATGTTACTTAATGTCTTTAATAACATGAACTAAAAATAAATACTTGTAAAGTATTAACTATAGTTCATTAATTATAGTTTATTGTGTTAAAGTCTAACTGAAACAGAATATTGATTAAGGGTCATGGTTTTATTTTTGAGCTCCTTTCGTCTTTCACTCACAGCAAACTAATGGTTGGGAGGCATGGCTTAGCACACTTCACACAATCCGTCGATTTCACCCATGCAGTGATGTCATCTGAGAATGGCTATAATAATAATAATCAGATTTGGCTTAGGATTACCAAAATAAACTGATTTTGTCTTCAGTGGACTAACTTGCATAGATTAATTGGTCACCTTAAAGCTGCCTTTCCACGGCACATGACAAGCAACAAACCGTGAGTCATTCATTTCTAATGGAGAGTGGTCCGGAAGTTGCGTGGAGTTCCGATAATTTCCGTATGTGGAAAATTTGCATCCGATTTAAGCTTCGGATCCAACGCTATTTCACGGCAATTCGTAACTTTTTGATTTAGTGGCTAATTTGTACAATCTCATTTGTACAATTTAGTATGATTTGCCTATCCTCTAAAGATGGCTGGGTTTAGGGGTGGTGTTGGGTGGCATGCCTCCTTTTTAGAATCATACATTTTTGTATAACTGAACATGTACGAATTTGCCACTAAACTAACAAAACGTGAAATAGTTATGTTTCCTCGTAAGATCAGGCTGGCGGATCGGTTTAAATAATTGAACTTTAGCGACTAGACTTTATACGACTGGCCGACCGGATGTGATTTTTTTTCAATGATGTCCAATAAGGTTCGTGTGCGTGAGATGAGAATTATTTTTAATTTTTTGTTACTTTTGGAACCAGAAAAAAGTCTATATTGTAAAAAACAACAACACATTTCTATTCATAAATGAGTAATATATATACATATATATATATATATATATATATTTATTCATTTTCTTGTTCGGCTTAGTCCCTTTATTAATCCGGGGTCGCCACAGCGGAATGAACCGCCAACTTATCCAGCAAGTTTTTACGCAGCGGATGCCCTTCCAGCCGCAACCTATCTCTGGGAATATGTATATATATATACACATTAATCTGGTGTCCACATTCCTAAATTTTAAGTGGTCTATGAATTTCTAGTATTTATTCAATTACAGTGAAAATAAAAGCTCTTGCTTTTGCCGTCCTTTATTTCAGACGCCGCAAGAATCAGCCTATTTACCATACTGCATGACAAAACTGAAAATTCTGTTCGACTGCCACAAGGGGGTGTATTTCAACAGTCGTGTTCGAATGTCGTGAGCAGTAAAAAGGCGGCTTAAGACTAACAATGTGCACAAGCAAATTAAAACATTGTAAATTTGATTTGACATGGAGTTCAACAAGAACTAACGGCAAACAACTGAACTTTTATTAACTAATGTTAACAAAAATGAATAAATACTGTAATAAATGTATGGTACATTCATTATTCACGTTAGTAAACAAATGAACCAACATTAAATAATGAAGCCTTATGCTTAAATGTTACCATATTAGTGTGGCAGATTTAAGTGTCTTTTAAACATAATTGTAAATGAAAAGAGTAGTTCACAAACACACGATATAAAGAAACACATCATATGTATTGTTTATTAGTGCTGATTTATGAAAATGTGCTCACAGTCAGAGATAATTTAATTTTTTTAATATATTTATATATATGGAAGATGTCTAATTGTACAGTTTAAACATGGAAAAAACACACATGAAATACAAAAAAAGGAAACGTTTTCAAAGAGCGGACTTTATAAGTACAAAAAAACGAATAACATACAAGGTGCTGCATTTCGTCTTGTTCTCCCCCTGTGTGCTTTCCGTTGAGAAAATAAAGTGCAAGACAAACACCAGGGTTCAAATGCTGTCAAAAGAAACTGCGCAACTCCAAACGAATATATCGGATCCTTTGGAAACAAACCTAAAATTCAATACACAAACCATGCATGGACCGACTAACAAAAAAAAAGATCGAAACGTCAGACATGTTAGATGTCAATTGGGATCGGAAAAAATGGCATACTACCGACACGCACAACCGAGAAAAAAAACGCGACTACTGAACAACTCTACATGACTCGGTGAAAAGTTAATGTGCTAAACACGTTTCCTTTGAGTTCGTCACAATGAAACGTAAGAATTACCAACACTGATGGGTAATTACAACACACAATCGCCACACCTTGTCATTTTGGTTTTCCTTTTCTCTTTTTTTTTAGTTTGTGTTTTGAGGGCAACAGTTTTAAGAGCCTTGAAAGCAAACAATCCACTCGGTGCTTCAGAGCGAAATCACAACCTCATAAATAATGAAAGAAAATGGATATTTACAGAGCACAGTGGTTTGTATGAGGCACTATGTTGTACTGAACATGTTACATTTCTGTGGCGTGTGACACGGTATCAGGAAACAAGATCATCTGTCAACGGATACGAGTATTCCCAAAAGTTTTCGCATGTATTCGATCACCTCTCTGGTATAAAAAGCTCTTCGCTACTTCAAATGTGATTACTTGCACTCATTCCTCGATTATTATGCGATCTTTCAGAAATATATTACTCTAAAGTCCCATTGTTTAGTCTTTTTTCATTGTTTAATGAAGTGAATGACTTTTATTTCTGCTTTTTGTCAGTGTTTTGCTATTATGCAGGATTTAGAACTGCTGTTGTCAGGATATTCATATTTTAGTATTCAAATCTCCGAAGAGCAAATGAGGCAGAGTATTAGAACTGTACACTGACTTTAAAGATGTAGTTCACCAAAAAAAATTATATTTGTCCACTCAAGATGTGCGTTTGTTTCTCTAATGGAACAGACCTAAGCAAATTTGGCATTAGCATCATAACGGAATTAATTTTTGCAAAAATCCACAAGACTCTAGACTATTAAATTGATGTTTTCCGCATTGAAATGCTGCGTTTTTGACGGCTTTAAACTTCAGGCTAAAATATCCCAAACACTGCTTTATTTAGTCTAAATCAGAAGAGAAATATTAACAGATAAAGCACCAAAACTGCTCTGAATTTATCTGTGGATTGTGACGTGAAGAGGACAACAGGAGATTGAATGAGGAGTTATGGATTATGGACTGTTATGGATGGCCAGAAGCAAAGGTTTTAGGTTAAAATGAATTACGATGGCTTTGTTTCTCTGAGTTGCTTTTGGATTATTGTGTTGTTTTTTTTTATTCTGACTGCAGAGTATCTGGCTATCTGATATACATCTTGGAATGCAAATTTTCAGCACATATTTTACCTTTTTTGGGTGAACTATATCTTTAACAATGATTACTTATGATAAAAATAATAAAGCACAAATGTTAAAAAAAAAGGTACTGGGTATGGAAGCCCATTTCCACACAGGAAAACAAATATGGAATTAAACATTGTATTTTTTTCTTTGACAATTTGGACAACAGCAAAAACAAATCTGAATTGCAAGATAAACTCACAAGTCTGAAAAAAAAAACAGAATTGGAAATATAAACTCGGTTTATATGAAATCGTACCTCATTTTTTACCTATAAATTCCGATTTTTATCTTATAATTACTGTCAAAATTGTGACCTTATTGCAATTGCGATTTTTAAATACGTTTTTAAAGTTTGCCTTTTACAAATTTAAGTTTATATATGACAATTCAAGCTTTTTTCACAAAAACACAAGTTATCATCTTGTAATTCTGACAATATACATTTTTGGCTGTATTTTTGGCTTTTTCAAAAAAAAAAAAAATTATCACACAATTATGAAAACATAATTATCACTTATTTGTTCCTCTCAGAACTTTGAGTTTTAGAACTGTGATTTTATTAATAGCAAATGTATATGGTGCTTTTATCCAATTCTAAATGTAATGTATACACATTACATTTAGAAAAGTCTAAATTGTGTGATAAAAAGCCACGATTACCATTTAAAAATCGACCGGCAGCTAGCTCTCTGCAACTCTCACATGGTCGCCCACTGAAGCTATGCAGGGCTGTGCCCGCTGAGTACCTGGATAGGAAACCACATGGGAATGCTAGGTTGCATCCGGAAGTGGTGTTACTAAGACCAGCAGAGGGCGCTCAACGTTCTGACTCTCTGTGGTTTTTAAAAATGCCAGGATGTTCTTCGCAAAAGACTAGGGGTTTAACCCCACCATCCTGTCCAAATGTATCTACTGGCCTCTGTCCATCATGGCCTCCTAACAATCCCCATATCATAATTGGCTCCTCTCCACCAATCAGCTGGTGTGCGGTCGGGCGCAATATGGCTGCCGTCATCTCATCCAGGTGGATGCTGCACACTGGTGGTGGATGAGGAGATTCCCCCCAATGTGTGAAGCGCTTTCAGTGTCTCAAAGCGCTATATAAATGTAAGGAATTATTATTAATAATAATAAAAAAGTGTGTTCTGTGGTCAAAAACAAGCTTCCATAACAGGCCCTACCAATTTGACAATATACAAAATGAAAGCTCCTGTTGTTATATGAAATTATTTCATCAAATTTGGTAACTTGTCTTACATTGAGTAAATCGAGCAGCCGTGTTTATTCAAAATTAAACATGACATATATAACACGTTATTTCACAAGCCTAAATATATTTTATGCTAACCAAAGCTAGCAGGCTGTCTGACAGCCAGTTGCCATTTCACAACCATTGTACCGTAGTAAATCTACCCAGAATCAGCACCAGTTAGCAGCGGACATTGGGTGCAGTCAAACTGCTGATTGGTGAAATCGCTGCGATGTGAATTCACAATCATTTGTGTTGTTAGTTAAACCCGTTTCGCTTTTTTAAAGCACCATAACTCCATAGTAAAACTATCACTAGTCTACTCCTTTCCCATCTCACATATATTACTACAACATCTGAATAAATAACAGCATCTGACTCCAAATCTCTTCATACATAATCATTGGAGTGGCTAATTAAGAGCCTAATAAACCTCGTTAAACCATCAACGGCCTTTTTGTTGAGCTGAAATCTTGAAGTTTGTTTTATTAGCCTTTCAAAAGCCAATCAAATAATATTCAATAAAGCTGCTACAAGTCTTTATTCACTCTTTAATTGATTTTAAATAAAAATCATAATTATACAAATTGTAAAGCTACAATATTTGGGGCTAAGATCAAGTGTAATATCAGAAACTCAAACTACTAGAACAATTCTAGTATTTCAGTGTAGCATTTCAAGGCTATAAAACGGAAAAGCTGTCCATAAAGGCAAGATAACAACACAACAACAGGCTGTTGTGGCTCAAGCTTTGTAAAATTTGCATAAATAAATAATTAGTAAATATTTCGTTTGAATTTAAATAATATAATCAGATTTCAGCAATTTAACATCTCAACCTCTAATTTAGTTTTTGTACATGCTTTTAGGGTGACAGCGCACACTTTACTAGTAACTAATAATAAGTATTATATTTTCATAGTTGCAATATAGTGACGACGGCTATACACTTGCAAAATAAAATTAGTTCTGGTATGTTCGAAGATATTCCTCTGGGCTCACAGATAAATTATATACATCTCTTAAGTGCTAAACTTGTTGTAAGAGAATGACTGGACAGACCTGAATGCAGGGAGGGGCTCTTAGAGAGAAATCCCGAAATCATAGCCTCATTTGCATATTTAAAGGGACTTAAGAGGTCTTTGTTTTTCCATCCACCTACATTGTGCACAATCCGAGCCAGTAGTGTCTTCTCAACCTTTGCAACAGCAACCGGATGTAATAATTTCTACGCTTTGTTTATCTGTATCCATTTGCAACGTAAAAAAAAAACTGACCGCACGACTATTAACCCGACCATTGGGTGAAAAAGGGACTTCAGAACCCCGAAGTTGCAAACCCGTAATACCACTCTTTGTCATCTGAACAGCTAGAAAACACACTCAAAAGTCTCGATTCGTGTTTACAAACACAATCATGCAAAGACGGTCAGCGCAATAAAAGATCGACTGCCCTTTTATGGCACTAAACATGGTGACAAACGCAGTTCTTCTAACTCTAATGACCAATAATCTTTTTTTTAAAGATGTTTATAACTGAGCTAGACCAGATTGGACTGTTGTTTACGAGTATATCTGTTCGTTGTACTGAAATTCTCATCAAAACAGTCAAAACATTAGGCTTAGGTCACTTAAACTGGATAATCTCTTTAAAAGCACTCTTGAAATCTTCAGGAATTCACGTACGCTGTATGTTCATGAAAATATGAGTGTAGTTGCTGTTTGAAGGCAACGATGAAAGGTTGTACTTCTATACATCATTTTTACACTGAAAGCATACATACCCAAGCTCAGCCAAGATGGTACATGCCTCAGTTTGACGACAAGCTAGTGTGCCATTCACAGAAGCACTGAAAAGGCATTCCCGCTGAGATCTCGGAGATGCTCGGCTCGTGTACTGCGGTTAGGGGTCCTCTGGTTTAGAGTTTTTTAGGAGCATGGAATCGTCGTGTGGCTCCACAGGAGTCAGAGTGATTTCGACTTCTCCTCGGTCTTCTAGTAATGTTGCCGGCGGGAGGTACGTGATTGCAGACTGCGGCACTTCAATAGGAGCAGGCCTTCCTTCACTGGAGAGTGGCGCGCGCTGGATGACCATCCTCCGGCCCTGCTCGTAATTGAGTTGGTTTGGCCCTTGCATTAGCAGGACGGACTGCTGCTTCTCCGCTTCTGGGGCAGGGTGACACTGCACCACTACGCTTCGATGCTCCACGTCTGACACCTCCTGGATGGTTGGAAGTTGGCTGAGCATCAGACTCTGCTGGTCCTGGATGACTATTTCGACGAGCTGTGAAGGAGCGGCAGGAGGGCAGGAGGGCATGGCCTTTTGAATCACGCCTCTTGTGAGCAAAGCTGGATTGGGGGTTGGGATTGAAGGCGACTGTAGATGTGATAATAGATCTTCCGGTCTTTGTTTTCTGGGTCGTCCTCTTTTGCGTTTCAGAACAACACCAGAGGCTGACACTGAGGTGGAGGGGTCAGGTGCCCTTTTAGGAGCCGCCGGTCGCGCTCTTTGAACCACCGGAGTCGGGGCTGCAGAAGTGGCGACCGTGACTGATGTTTTCTCACGTTCGGGGTAGGACAGACTTACGCCCGAGGGGAGAATCATAACTGGGACGGTTCCGCCTGGCTGTGAGGGTATTGTAGTTACGGTTATGGGCAAAGTGACTTGAACGCTGCCCGAATCGGCTGGCGCGAGACACGGTGGGGAGGTTTTCTCTGGGACGGTGCCTCTGGGAAGAAGCTGGGGCAGTTTCTTCATGTAGGCCTCCACTCGAGCCGACTCCACCTTGTTGGGTGGTTTTTCACTGACTTGCTGCTTATTGGATGGCGGCTGCTCCACACCGTCTTTCTCTTTTTGCTGCCGAAAGGGAGACAGTATAAAGGAATTTGGGCGAAAGCGTTATGAGTTTTAACATGATTGCACGATTTAGTTTGTTGCCAGTTAAAGAGAAAGCAAAAGCTGTGTCAAATAGTAAAAGTTGTGCAAGAGCAATTGTAGGTAAACCACAAAGACAACTAAATGAAATTTATTTAATGAGAATTAAGCAGACAGCACGTGTCATTAAAGATAGTTCCTACCCCTTAAATATAACATGTCAGCTTTTGCCATCAAAGACACGTTTAAGCAACCTCAAGTAAAGAAAAACGTGTCAAATGTCATTTGGGTTTTAAGTATGAATTGCGTTAATTGAGTTTTTAATGTGATTTATGCGATGATGTTGAATGTATTTGTGTTGCTTGTTTTTTGTGATGTGATTGCGGAAATACAGTTGAAGTCTGAATTATTGGCATCCCCTGTATATTTTTTTTAACAATTTCTGTTTAATGGAGAGTTTTTTTTCCACAAATTTCTAAACATAATAGTTTTAATAACTCATTTCTAATAACTCATTTGTTTTATCTTTGCCATAATGACAGTACATAATATTTTACTAGATATTTTTCAAGACACTTTTATCCAGCTTAAAGTGACATTTAAAGGCTTAACTAGGTTAATTAGGAGTAGACTATCGAAAAAATATATATAGCTTAAAGGGGCTAATAAATTTGTCCTTAAAATGATTTCAAAAAAATTAAAAACTGCTTTTTTTCTAGCCTAAATAAATCAAAGACTTTCTCGAGAAGAAAAAATATTATCAGACATACTGTGAAAATTTCCTTGCTCTGTTGAACATCATTTGGGAAATATTTAAAAAAAATTAAATGGGGGCTAATAATTCTGACTTCTACTGTAGTTAGCTGATAAACTTCCACCATTTCACTAAATTTCCAAAAAGAAAGTCAAAGAAAACATCATAATGTATTTAAGCTATGATTTTCTGTATGCACCTCTGCTAATATAATGATCAGGATGCCTTCAAGGGATTTATTTTGCAGTAACTGTCAGCTGACTGGAAAATATTTCATCAATAACATGCTACTTACAAATAAAATAATGAATAATGATTAAATTATGATTTTTGATTATTTGCTGTATTTTGTGTGAATTACGACACTGAAGTCTTGAATGAAAGCAGGAAAAAAGCACAAATATTTTAGAAATCAACTGTCTGGGACAATTATTCATTCATTCATTAATTTTCTTGTTGGCTTAGTCCCTTTATTAATTCGGGGTCGCCACAGCGGAATGAACCGCCAACTTATCCAGCAAGTTTTTTTACGCAGCGGATGCCCTTCCAGCCGCAACCCATCTCTGAGAAACATCCACACACACATTCACACACACACTCATACACTACGGACAATTTAGCCAACCCAATTCACCTGTGCCGCATGTCTTTGGACTGTGGGGGAAACCGGAGCACCCGGATGAAACCCACGCGAACGCAGGGAGAACATGCAAACTCTACACAGAAACGCCAACTGAGCCGAGGTTCGAACCAGCGACCTTCTTTGGGACAGTTATAAGTTATGAAAATTACTGTAAACATAAATATAATAATATAAATGATAAATATCCCAGAGAGTCAACATATTGGTGCTTCTTTTATATGTTCGATTAGTTTTTTCACTATGTTAAGAAAAGGTGATTATAGAGAGACTACAGAGTGATTTTTAACTATTATACAAATATATCTGAATTCCAGTTTGAATGATTTTAATGATATTTTTGCAGAAGTGTATAAATGGGTGAATTTATTGTGGTTATTTTATTAATTTATCAGTTTCTTTGTTTTGTTTAGTTGTGAAGGAGGAACATTTCAATTAAAACTAATGTTTTCATAATTTATGACCAGTAATACCTTATTTTCCACACTGCCGCCATCTTCCTCTGCTCCACCTGCTCGGGAAGCTGCAGGAATCTTTTTGATGACCTTATGAGGTTTCGAGGGTCCACCTATTTAAGAAAAAAATAAAATAAAAATAATATATATATATATATATATTATCAGCTTCACACCAACATGACTACAGCCAAACATGATATGATCTCAGGGTGTCTGCAGATCTCTGAGAGTTATATTTTAAGACCTTTTTAATACCGCACAGAATGACATTTTTAAACTAAATGTATAGGATCATTTTATAGTAACAAATTTGCAAAAAACAAATATATATATACATTATACAACTAATTAATTACCTTCCGAGAGTTCATTTTATTGGGTTCAGCCTATTGCGTAGTGGGAGACAGATAGACATAGATTTCAAAATGGAAACTAAATCTTTATAGGGTCGGCTTGACTGCAATTTAAGGCCTTTAAAATGCAAATTTAAGACATTATTAAGATTTATACTATAAAATTTTGACTTTTTTAAAGATCTGCAGATTCCCGGGATCTGACAATTTACCACATCTTACCCGCCAGTGCAGCTGAGGTGACGAGCTCAGCTTGGCTGCAGCGGGGGTTGACGATGTGCTCTTGCACGAGGAATCGTGCGATTTCTACCACCGTGTCGAAAGAGCGCTTCAGGATCTTCTGCGCCCAATCACAAATGAGCTCGCAGGCTGCTTCGGTCACCTCTTGCTTGTAGGTTTGCACCAGTTCTGTCAGTTCAGACTGGAGGTGACACAAACATAGGTTTTATAATACAATACTGATTATTATGTGGTGAACGAATGCGACTGCAACAGTCAGTACTAGGAAGACAATCATACCGGGTCATTTTTGAGGTCCAGGTTGGGTAGTAATGGCATGTTGAGCACAGTTTTTCGACGTATCCCGCTATAGCAGTATGTGCAGGCAATATGTCAAGGGATAATACGCAGGGCAGTAGCTTTCATCAAATGAACACAATAAAACACACTTAGTTTGAACTTGGTGTAATTTAAAGCGTGGAATGACAAAAGTATTAAGACTTCTAAACACCTCTAAACCAAATCAGAAAAAAAAATAACATAATAAAGTGTACTGATAGAGTGCAGAACGCCATCTGAAAAGCTCAAATGTATAGAAAACTCTTGATAAGTTGTCGGCTTTCATGGCACAGATCTGAATATGACTGTTCCAGACACATTTATTAAGGTTTGTCTGTTTTATACAAATTTAATTAAACAATATCTAAAAAGACAAAAAAAGGATATTTGGACTGTCCTCTACCACCCAGTCTTCGTGCTTTTATGTTAGGGAAGATGTCTCGTATGATTTTGCCAAAATTCGCTGCACTCAGAGGCCGATGCTGTAGGTTGTCACAGTGCTTCCTGTAACAGTAGTAAGTCATTAGTGTATTATAGCTGAAAAGCTTCAAACATGAGTCTTAAATGTCTGATTGGGAAAAAAATAATGTGTTTCTTTAAAATAAAAGCCCTAAAATGACCTCTCTGCATGCCATTCCTCACCGGTATGTCTCGTAAACATCTTGTTTAGGCAGGCAGGTGTCAGGATGTTCTTCCAAATGGCTACGGATCCAGTTGCAGGTGTGAAGTTGGTCTGCTGTGTTGACCGAGTTTGAATCACCACTAGTAAACACAGAGAGCCACATATAGCATTTCCTGTCACGGCTGTTTTACTTCTAGCTAGCTTGACTAGATGTAATTTAAATATTGGAATAAAATCTAAAGTCAAATGATTTATTTTACTTTTCAGATGACTAAAATGGATTAGAGTGAAGAGGACTGAGTTTCAATTTGCCACAACTTTTATGTTAAGCTGCTTTGACACAATCTACATTGTAAAAGTAAAAATAAACATGAATTGAACTGAAGACAGAATAGTGGAGTGATTTTATGAAGTGTACCTCTTTTCTCCTGCACTTGGACCTGAGGGTAGCTGTAGATAAAGGTAGAGCTTATCGTTGTCAGAAAAACGCTGTACATCTTCCTAAGTGGGGAGACATTTCACATAGAGAAAGACAGATTATTAAAATGTAAATGCGCTTAGAAGCACTGTAAATACACGTTCAAATGAGCTGCAAGATTTAGAACTTGTGTGAAATATTACATTATGAAAAAGGGTGGTGTTAACACAATACAAGTATGGGTAATGTTAGTCTAGTTGTAATGAATCTGGCCTACTAATACAATAGCCGTGGGTCAATTTTTATGTAGGAATCTTCAGCGTTCATATTATAGCAAACCAAAAATTGTCATCTTGTAATAGTCGGATTATACATGGTAATAAAACAGTTATATAAAAATCCCTTCAAATAAATTAAGTTGAGTGAATTGTAAAGTTACAACAAGTTAAAGTGTAAATTGTTAAGTAATTGTAAATTAAAAAAAAAAAAAAAAAAAAAAAAAAAACTTACCAAAATTTTGTCCACTTTCCCCTGCACATTTTTACTGTGAAAAGATAAAAAGATGGGATACTCAAATGTAAAACACTGCCTCTTTGCTTTTCTGAGTATACTTTCTGTGCCACAAGCAACATCAAACTTAATTGCAAACTGTTTTTGGGCAAAATTTTGTCATTAATTACTCACCCTCATGTCATTCCAAACCTATTAGACTATTTATGACCATTATAACAAGTTCAGTTCAGCAGACATACTCAATTTATATGGATTGTCAAGTCTTTATAAATATTTAGAAGCATTTAGAGGTATAGAGCCACTTCAGGGTTCCTGAAGATTTCTTCCAAGTCTAATTTAAGACCTTTTAACAGCCTTTTAAGACCATCATGAATGAAATTTTACTAAATGCTAAGTATTTTTTTCTGATGCCTCAGTTACTTCTGTAAATAGTTTTCTGTATCAGTTGAAGATAATGTAAAGGGATGTGTTGCTTTAGGTTTCTTTCCCTGATTAGGTTTTTTTTTTTGGAGAATTTCGTGTAAACATGTCTAACAGCTGTTTTGAATTGCGAAGGAAAATGAAGACCTGTTTAAAATGATTTAAGACCTACAACATAATATTTCTGTAAATTTAAGGCTTTTTGAGGCCTAAAATTTTGCTTTTGAAAGTTAAGACTTCGCAGACACTCAACATTTACACAACATTTTCAGTTAAAAAGGGGGGAAATTGTATGTGTTTTGGCTGTTTGTTTACACAATGATTGTGGTTTCAGGACTGAAAATTCATATTGCTGAAAACAGGCTACAAAATAAGTTTATAATAACGCCCCATTGTCATGCCCATGGAAACACCCAAAAATTTGAGTCTTTGAATAATATGACATCATGTGCATGCACACTATGTTTTTAGGAAGATTTTAAGATTAAAACTAAGTGCGAACAAACACACAACAATAGCAGAGTATGTGGTAGTGTTTTTGTAGCTGAAGTGTTTGCTAAAGTGGGGATTTACTTCACATGACATCCAGCAGTGTCAAATGTGTCTTACACACATGCCAAATTCTACATACACACCAGGTCACAGCACCAAATACTAGCATGGCATACGGAATACAGGAACTTTGTGTTTTGTGGGGGTGTAAACATGGCTCCTTTTGAAAATGTGGTGTTGTAAACGTGAACGTTTTTAAAGTGCAAGCAAAACTTTTCAGTTTTGGATAAGATCATTGTCATGTAAATTAAACCACACTAAACTGAACTTTATCTCTGAAAGCTGGACTGACAGTTTTAATCTACTAGAACTTCTAGGTTAAGCTGCTTTGACACAATCTACATTGTAAAAGTGCTATATAAGTAAAGATGAATTAAATGTAAATGCAGCCTTAAGTGAATAGGCTTTCAAGAGAGGGTCCGAAATCTTTGAGATTTGATAAAAATATCTTAACTTTTTCTTTGTTTTCTTAAAATTAATATGTGTATGCTTTAAGGAACAGCATGGGGGTAAATAAATATCAGAATTTATATATGATTTAATAAGAATTATTGATTTAATAGGAGCTCATTCCATATGTTTCACCTTAAAAGCAGAGTTAAAATGAATGGTTCTTACGAAATGTTGCTCTTGAGCTTCTGCAGCAGTGTATTGGGCTCCGTCTCTCCCTCCCCAGCCGAGGAATCTGCCTTTAACTGATCTTCTGCCATGTCTCAAACACACTGAACTGTCAAACTGCATTCAGAAGCCTCCAGGACCTGAAGCTCTAGAACATGAGGAAGATATTAGTAGGCCTCCGCATTAAATTTAGGCTGACTTTCTTTTCCTTTTATTAAAATCTGATAAGCAGAAAGTTATAATAAAGTATTAGGGTTTATCAAGACATTATTCTGCATGCAAACAGGGATAGTCTTACACAATTTAGATAAATGACAACAATAAAAGTTGTAGGGTGATGGCAGTCTTAAGGTTTAAAAGAGCACAGTTATTTTATAGTATGTCTTTAATATGTTCAAAATAAGTCTTACAACTAACTGCTTACTGGTAAACATTCAGTTCGTAACATGTCTGTAAAATGACCACCAGTATCATCACAAACTGGTATATTTAGGCCAGGTTTACAAAACCAGCGACAAGACTGTAAACGCGAAGTAAAACCACGCAAGCGCCTAATTCTCCCACGTCTAAACGCCCAAGATATTTTTCCCCATTTCGAAAATACAGCCACTCATGAAACTGTTGTCAGGTCAATCGGATAGCGACCATGCCCAAATACTGCAGGGCTGTTTTTCCTGCCCCAGTCCAGACATTTCCTCACATTCAGCACACACGCGCCCATCGGAGATCGCAAGCGATGCGTTCAGCCGGTGTACGCATGATATCAGGATCAAATCCGATCACTTTAATGCATGATTTAATCTACTGTACTCTTAGCGTATAAGAGACATGCACAGGTTGATTACACCCATGTGTATCTCTTTGTGGGCGTATTGAAAGGCCAACCAACCAGAAACTAGACGAAGCCATTGGTTATTTATGACTAAAAGCTTGTTTTAGCGCAAGTTAACTAAATCCTCAAACGCAAATGCTCGGTAATCCTTAGAAACTATCCTCACCGAAGCCTAGTTTTAGAAAGCATGACATAGCAGCTAACAGGCTAACCTGAGTTTGAACAGGCCAAAGAGACGTCGACTGAACGAAAGCGACAATACATTAACAGCTATTTCACTACATTTCAAAATGTAATTACATTATTTATAAAAACAAGATTGTTTTTGGTATATGTATGCATAATAAGCTAGCTATCGTTTATATCAATACCAATGTCTGTAGCTAGAACTAGCTAGCCACAACTGTACGCCTCGAAAACGTTCGATTATTACGTTTAAAATACACGTTTTTTCTTATATTCTTCACGTATTTTAATTGTAACAACTTTAGCTAGTTTAACATATCATTCAAATACAAAATAAATGCACCGTCTATTTTATAATCTTAAAAGAAACTACCTGAGACAAATATAGAGCAAAAATCCCCTCTCGGCTTATTTTGTGATTGGACGACTGTGTTATGTCTGCCTGACTACAAAGCAAAGCGCGACGCTGGTTGGCTGAAATGAGTCATCCTACTTGGATACCGAATGAAAGAGCGATTTGATTGGTGGAGGGTTTTATGCGCCCAAAAAGAGCATCTTTTTAATATTCTGTTAAGGAACTATCATTTTTGTGATTATTACTATGAAATATAAACAACTTTCGTCTAATTAACTATAATAAACATTATTTTAAATGTAGAAAATGTGTATTTTGTGTTTGTTTGATAAATGCGCTATAGTAGTAATAATAATAATTAATGTTTTATTAACATTACAACGTCCTGACATTCACTTTCATATACCAAGAGCTCTTAGCTAAATTCTAGGCTAATTAATCACGTCACCTGGAACCTGGTGCATTATTATTGTGTCTAGATATTATTAAATTATGCATTTTCAAATCCAGGATGGACTGGGCGTGAGGTATGTGCTATTTTAATAATTAAAATAATCTTGCTAATCCAAAAGACAATAACATTCGCAATGATTTATTTACATCCTTGTAATGTAATGTATAAACATGGGTGGAGGCAGGTGGAAGCTAACAAAATCTGTTTAAGTATGACTTACTATAAATCCTGGTCAAAATCCATATATGTTTAAATAGTTCCCATCAAGTAAGAAACCTACTATGATACACAAACACATTTTTAGTAAGTTATTTACTTTTTAATCCCTTTTGTAATAGATGACCTTACCAATTGCGACTTTTATTTTGACAGCTCCGTCGCTTGTCTCGGAAGGAAAAGGAAGCAGCGCATGTTCTGCACAAGTTTGACCCTTGTGGATGTACAATCTCCGATAAGCACTAATATATACTGTTATTTTAGTTAAAGCAGCAGCAATTAAGGTAGGTAAACGATCAACAAAGATCCGTTTAAAAGCCTCTTATTAATATAAATAAAACTGAATTGGTAAATGTATTGCTGTAAACAAACATGTAGCATTATGAAGCATTTACAGTAGAAATGCAGGAAGCATGTCATAGTGTATGTTTCTGAGATACTTTAAATGTATGTGTCTAGGGCTTGACATTATCTTTTTTGATCACCAGGCAGCCACTATGGCTAACAGTTTTCCAACATTACTAGCCACTCTGCATTTTCACTAACCACAATTTTGTTGATGGGAAAATATATTTTATATGCACAAATTTGACTTTGGCATGCTAAAATTACTTGATTTACATTTTGTGTTATGTCCACATGCCTTCTTATTCATTTTATTTTTTTGTGTGTTGTGTGATCTTGCTCTTTAAGCATGAGCAAATGGGCTGTGGTTTCATAGTGTCTCATTGCGATTAGTTTTAGTTCACAGACTTTTCAGGGCTCAACACTTTTAGGATTTATCTATTTTTTCTCTGGCCCCGCCAAACTGATTATTTCCTTGTCACAAATTTTAAATAATTTGTCAAAACAAGCAAAAATATAGCTGTATACATAAACTTTTTATTCAACATAAATGTTCTTAAAACATTTGACATTTAACAACAATTATTCTCATGTATCTAAAATTACACACCACAGTGTGCTCTGGTTAAAGGCCCCAGATCACCAGTTAACTATGCATAAAACATTTAAAGCAATGCTTTTGTTAAGGATAGTAATTAAAACATATTAACAAAAATAACTGGAAGGAAAAGAAAGCCTGTGAAAAACATTCTGCGTGTGATACTGAAAGGATGATCGCACACAAAATGTAATGTTAGGCCCATTCATAATCTGTTCAAAAAACGGTTAAAGTGAAAGCGGCAACTGCTGGCATACCTAAAATCTCGATCCCTTGAAAGCAGCAACACTGCAGATGCACAAACATCGCTTTTTCCAGTCTGTTTCAAAGAGGACTGATCGCTCCAGTTGCATTTCCAGGCATGGTTTAAGCAAGAAAACAGCATGCACTTCAGTGAGTGAGGAGAGCCTGTGTCTCACCCTGTGCCTGATCATCCGCTCATTTGGTATTCACCTGCTTTCTTTTGCTTGAGAAAACAGTTGTTTTTGTCACACGTGCAAATAGTCATAAGCTAAAAATCAAATATGCCAAAGTGCCTAGTGGGAGTTGGCGGTTCTTAATGTCAAGCCCTGTATGTTCCCCCTTTTAATCAACATTTATTGTCATTAGATTAACAAAATAAAATTTTTCGAACAAACAGGGAAGGGGGAGCAAAAGATATAGCAACAATTTTTTAATCTGAAAGAAGAGAAAAAAAGAAAGAAAAAAAAACCTTCATATGTTCATTCCTTTATATCACAGGTGTCAAACTCAGTTTCTGGAGGGCCGCAGCTCTGTATAGTTTAGTTTCAACCCTGCTTCAACACACTTATCTGTAGGTTTCAAACAAGCCTGAAGGACTCGATCAGTTTGTTTAATTAGGGTTGGAACTAAACTGTGCAGAGCTGCGGCCCTCCAGGAGCTGGCTTTGACACCTGTGCTTTATAAAGTCTAAAATGTTGGAAGGAAAACATTGCCATGCATCAATGTACTACCTTTAGCCTTATTAATCTGTGCTTTTGTGCCTTCTCAAGTCACTATTTTAAGGAGGCTTTGAATCCAACATATGTTTGCACACATGTGCGGAGTAAACCAGTTTTGTATGATTGCAGCTGTAAAACCAGCAAACAACATAAACTACTTAAGTGTACTTATACAGAAATTAGAATCGTTATTCAGAAGACATAAACCAGGATTAGACACATTATCAACTTGTAGGAAAAAGCCCAAAACAATTGACATGAGAACACAGGTTGACAACATTTGGACATTTCCAAAACATGTAAAGAGAGAAGTACCTGAATATACAGTGTTACAGGTATGATAGTTGTAGTTTGACTGCAGCTTCATTTTAAACCTTTTATAAGGAGTTATGTATGCTCTATGTATGTCTTTGAAATGGATGTGCTTCACCTTGTAATGTGTTTTTTCACTGTCCTGAGCAGCATGAGGCTGACAGCGCTGCTTTCGATGGCAGCAAAAGTTGCTCTTCCACACGGTTATCGCTATGGGACGAACAGACCATGGACAATCGCAGCCCGACGGCTCAACCCACCCGGCAAAAGAAGAAGAAAGGTGTTTGTTGAACCCATTGCTAATGAGGACTGGCCTGTAGTGAGAGGAGACACAGTAAGTCATTCATTCATTGTTTTATCTCTTGACAGCATTTTATATTTAGTAGGTAGACCATACAGATCAAAGGCATCACATAAAAACAGAATGTTACGCATTTCTCCAATTTACACAGATGGGTCAAAAACACACAAATTGATAGGACATGAGCTGCAATGTACATTCCAGAATCTGATGTGATTCTGTACTGAAAACTTGCACTGATTCCAGTAAAGGGGTGTTACAAACCTTTTTTTTATTAAATCAAAATAATTAAGTCATGAAGGGAACGCAACATAAAGAGTAAACATGAACTAAGTTGTCTAAATTATTAAATTAATAAACCAAAACAATCCAACAAATCATGTGTCACAACTAAATAAGAATGAATAAAGAATCAATAACTCACGTTCTCCAACAACATACAACACTAACCAAAGACTAAACAAGCCAACAATTAACAAATTAGAGCAAAGTAAGACTTAAAGAAAACAAAACAGTAAATTAAAGAAACGAAAAGAAGCTTGATGGCTGGCTGTGAAGTCTCCTCTGTCTCCGCTCAAGGATGGTCCGTATTTATAGCCAATTTCAATAAGCGCAACTCGCCGCAGGTGCGCAAAGGCGGACTCTATAGGAAACAAACAGTGAGTGACGTCATGCCACACATGCAAGCACAGAGACAGGCACTAGAGAGAAAGGCAACAGCCGTAACAAGGGGGAGGAGAGTAACATTAATTTTGGATAAAATGCATAAGCAAACACACAATATCAAGGAGTGAGGGACAAATACTAGAGGTGTGGACCTACACTGTTCTCACGGTTCGGTTAAGATTATCATGCCATCGATTCAGTTCAATTCGATATCTCGGTGCATTGACGATGCTTTACATACACAGCTTTATATTTTTTTCACAGCAGAATTCTTGTATTAAAATGTATAAATGTATTTATATCATTCATTCATTCATTTTCTTGTCGGCTTAGTCCCTTTATTAATCCGGGGTCGCCACAGCGGAATGAACCGCCAACTTATCCAGCAAGTTTTTACGCAGCGGATGCCCTTCCAGCCGCAACCCATCTCTGGGAAACATCCACACACACTCATACACTATGAACAATTTAGCCTTCCCAATTCACCTGTACCGCATGTCTTTGGACTGTGGGAGAAACCGGAGCACCCGGAGGAAACCCACGCGAAGGCAGGGAGAACATGCAAACTCCACACAGAAACAGCAACCCAGTGACTTTCTTGCTGTGAGGCGACAGCACTACCTACTGCGCCACTGCCTTGCCTCCAAATGTTCACATTTTTTAAATAATTGAGATGATAATTAAGTATCGTTTAGCTCTTGTGCTGCTTGAGATTATGTTTGAGTGTATGATGTGATATTACATTGTAATACATCTAGAGCAAATGTAAAGAAAATTCTTAACATCTACCAAAGTATTTTTCTCAAATATGAAAACTGTCATCTCTTACACACTTTCAGGTTATTCTAAGCTTGTAGAGGTTTTTATGTATGTCGGTCATAAATGAAGATGATATCAAAAATTAGCAACAACAAAAAAATTATTATTAAATTCAGTCAGAATGGCCAATCAGCATCAGGGGGTTAAATGGACTTTTATCCTAGAGGAACAGCTGAATATTTCTGACAGAAAAACTGTATAAAATATTTATTAACATCAAGCAGAGAAAGAAATATTTGATGAGGTTTATTAACATATGATACAAAAAATGTAAGGTAGAAAACAGTAATTATACTAAAACACATTAGATACAAACTATTTTGTAAATACAATTTTGCTCATTTTAAATAATATGTATACAATATATATACTAACATGAACATTTAGATATCTACAAAACTTCTTATTCAAATTCAAGTTTTATTGGTCACATGCACAGTAGGCGAAGCAGTGGCGCAGTAGGTAGTGCTGTTGCCTCACAGCAAGGTCACTGGGTCGCTGGTTTGAGCCTCGGCTCAGTTGGCGTTTCTGTGTGGAGTTTGCATGTTCTCCCTGCGTTCGCGTGTGTTTCCTACGGGTGCTCCGGTTTCCCCCATGTCCAAAGACATGCGGTACAGGTGAACTGGGTAGGCTATATTGTCCATAGTGTGTGTGTGTGTGTGTGTGGATGTTTCCCAGAGATGGGTTGCGGCTGGAAGGGCATTCGCTGCATAAAAACTTTCTGGACAAGTTGGCGGTTCATTCCCCTGTGTCAACCCCGGATTAATAAAGGGACTAAGCCGACAAGAAAATGAATGAATGACATACACAGTATGATATGCAGTGAAATGCTTACACAACAGCCCATGACCTTATACAGAACTAAAAAAATAGCAATAAGAATCTAGATGATGGAATATACATCATTAAAACAAGTAATAAAATGTATAGATAGCAAAAAAAAAGTATAGTAAGTATAAGATATAATAAATGTTTAAGTTGTTCAGCTATCAAAAATAAGAACAAATATAAAATATTTAAAACTTTGACTTTAGTTGATGTTTAAGTGCCATTTACTCCTTAATTTGTGCAAGCTTTGTATTTTTTTTTTTCACAGTGAATATCCTCTTTATTAAATCCTACTTAATTGTAATTCAACCAGGTGGAGGTTTTGTCTGGCAAAGAGAAAGGAAAGCAAGGCAAAGTTGCTCAGGTGATCCGGGCTCGAAACTGGGTCATACTCGAGGGCCTGAACACGGTAGGAGCAAACCTTAACATTAATGAAACTGCTTTTGTTAGCATGCTATTTAAAAGCAACTCTTTGAATGGTTTTCCAGCATTACCGATATGTGGGCAGATCTGGAGATTACAGAGGGACTTACCTCGCTAGTGAAGCTCCTCTGCTGCTGAAGGACATTGCGCTCATTGACCCGACTGACAGGTGAGCATTAGCCGCATTTCCACTATCAGGCCAGTGCGAGCCAGGGCTTATATCGGGCCAGGCCGGGCCAATCGCCCGGGAGGTTGAGCAGTGAGGCCGAAATCATGTCGCGTTTCCACTGTGGGGCTAGTAGCTCGCAGCGCGTCACGCAAACCCCGCCCCCAGAACATCCCCCGAATCGAACGTCACTCAAACCGCCCACTTCAGCGAGAATCATGCAGATAAAGCACACCATCACATCATCACGAAACTATTAAAATTAGGACAACCAAAACAAACAAATGACACGTTACTGTACAGCAGTACAACGCATGTCTATACGCACATGCCTGTGTGTTTTCATTGATCATATTCATTTACTCGCCGACCGACTGGCATCGAAATCCAGTGGTCTTGCCACCAACGGAGGGACCCGGAGCGCAGGGAGCGCACACATCCATAATATAACACCACATATATAAAATTCTCCGTTAATAACTCGATATAAAATGTTTTTTATAACATCCTCTAGACAGAATCTGTCCAACATTCATCCCAAATGCTCCGGAGAGAACTGAAACATGATTTTTCCCCCCTATAGGCTTTATGACACTTAATAGGTGATTCCCTTTATTTAAAGATGTTGCTTATTATATCTTAAGTAAAGGAAAGTGTTCAGTGTTTCAGCACATAAGAGCAGCACGTAATAAAATATAGCCTATATTTCGTTGCGCTCAGCAGCTATGCACTAATAAAGCTCTTTATGTATTTAAAATGTCCTTTTTTAATTTTACCACGTCATATAAAAACAAACACACTTGTTCGAGGACACAGAACACATTTTGAACTTGCAGTTTTCCCCGTCAAAAAAGTGCTGCGCGGCTGCAGACAGAAAAAAAGGTCGCCTAGTTTCTGCGTTCACTCACCCCGAAAATGCTCTGTTTGCATGATTTGATTAATTTCATCGTATCCAAATACTTTATAAATAATATTTAAAACATTTTCCGGTGTTTATTTATTTTTATTTTTTTAGAAAATATCTAAAATCTTTTTTTCAAAGAGGCTTTTGAAAAATGAAAGTTTAATATAAATTTGAAACAGTTTGATATAGTACCTAATTGTTATAGCTATAGCTTTTGTTAGTTTTATATTGGTTTATTTATTTAATGTGATTTTATTATAGGCCTATCTAATATTTGTAATTCTTTAAATTATTTCAATATAGGGCTATTTTATCTAGATATGACACTATTGTTTTGAGCCTACAAAAGTGGACATGAAATTTGTAAAGTTTAATGTCCTACTGTTGTATTCATATAGTGTATTATCTCCAAAATAAATTAAAACAATAAAAATAAAAGAAAAAAGCCGCTCGCGGCATCAACAGAGCTATGAATGGAGCGCTTTTTTCGGTCTCACACACATACACAGGCATCTAAACGCGCAAAAACACACACAGTATTAAACTTGACAAAACCTCTTGAAAACCTTTACTGTCTGCTGAGTCTTTAATATGGTGTAAAGATTATTATGCGTTATTGAAACATCAAAGATGCAGCAAAGAAAGATCATTTTATGCAACAGCCTTACATTTAAAAGAGAAACTTAAGGGCGATCATATGCAAAAAAGACCCCAGCCTATAATTTGTTCCAGATGTTTTCTTTCCCTTATTTATTTATTTGTTTGGCGCATGTACTCGAGTGCGATCGGAAAACTGTGCCCGCCTCTCCTTTCACTCCGCCCCGAAGCCCCGGCTGGCCCTCCTTGGCCCAAGGTATTCGGCGGGCCGAAAAAGGCTGGCCGTTGGCCCCGAGAAAGCCCCGCTTTGACCCGATTAGGCCCCGGAAGTGACAGTGGAAACGCCACTGGCCTTGGCTCGCCCTGGCTCGCTCGCTTTAGGCGCGATAGTGGAAACGCGGCTATTAATAGTCATGCTTTTCAGTCATCTGGAGGTCAAAACAGCCATAGTACTGCAGTTCAGACCTGTCAGGTTGCTGTTTGTTTCAAGGCACAAATATTTAGATCAGCTCTAAAAAGTAGAAAAGCATACATTACAGCTCCCCCTATGGCAGGGGTCACCAACCCTGTTCCTGGACATCTACCTTCCTACAGATTTAAATTGCAATCCATATCAAACACAGCTGCCTGTAATTATCAAGTGTTGTTCAGATTCTAATTGGTTACGGTTTGTTCAATTGGAGTTGGAGTTGAACTCTGCTGGAAGGTGGATCTCCAGGAACAGGGTAGAGCACCCCTGCCTTATGGTATTTCAGTCACCAAATATGAAGACATCTGAAAAACACTTGATGTCTGGTTTAATGTATTAAGATTAGGTTTATATCAAAAGGTAAAAATCTAACATACAGTTTTATTATTGATGCACTCCATTCACAGCCAATCAAATAAGGCCATAATAATAATAATAATAATAATGTCTTAAAGGAGTTCACCCAGTACAGAAAATTCAGTTGTCATTTACTCACCCTTTACTTGTTTCAACCCTTTATCAGTTTCTGTTGAACACAAGAAAAGATTAAAAACCTGTAACCAAAGATATTTTAAAGAAAGTTGAAAACCTGTAACCATTGACTTCCACAGTATCCATCGAAGTCAATGGTTACAGGTTTTCAACTTTCTTCAAATGATCTTTTCACTTGATTTTTTTTTTCTTGTAAAGTGAAACTCACAATCATTTGCAACCACTTAAAGGTGAGGAAATAATAAACAAATCAGAATTTTTGGGTGGTCCATTTCTGTTTTTTAATGGTGGTCATTGGGGACCTGCAACTGTTTGGTTGCACACATTCTTCAAAATATGTTTTTTTCTGACCAACATGCGTAAAAACCTTGGAACAAGAATATGAGAAAGCTATAACTATAACTATAAAACTATAAGATTTTCCTAACATTTTTTATTGAGTGACAAGAACATAAATGCCTGATATGACATAAGTGAAAGACTTTCCACTTTTTCCTTTTAAGCTTTTGCAACAAAAGCAAATAATACAAAATATTTAAAAATGTATGAATAATAAATAATAATAAATAGCACGACTTAATAATAAAATACATATAATAATGTATTTTATAATATATATATGTAATAATATTATAATATTATAATTACATATAATAATATAATAAAAATACATATAATAATATAATAAAATATAATAAAAATACATGTAATAATAAATAAAAATAATAATGATAAAACGTGAAAATAAAAAAATGATGTCAAAGGATTAGATTCAATCAGTGGACAGACTTGGAAGCAAGTGAAAGTGAGTTAGGAGAGGTTGTCAATTATCATAAAAAAGCCATAACTGGCAAAGCAAGAACATCTAATCTTTTCTATTAGGCTTGGGCGATGTCGGCCAATTTGGCATCATACGATGTCTAATGTGAAACATCGCGATGTACAATGGCATTGTCATCATGTGAAAAGCGTGGGACAGAGTAGCGTGCTACGTGTCTGAAGAGCGAGAATGGATCCGGGGGTGAGAAGGGTATGTGACTTATTTGAGGACCGGGAGGAAGTCGCGCGATTTCCTGCAATTATGAGTCCTGCAAATGCATAGAGACTCCTAGAACTTCAGGGAGACTTGGGATGTCGTAATATCACGTTTAACTATAGTGTGACGCGATCCAGCGGTACATCCTTGATAAACTGGCCGATGTGCACTTCTTTCTGGAGCTCAGAGGAGAGCATGACAGTGTGTGGCTGTGTCTGTGTGTGTGGTCACGGGATGTGCGTTTTCAGCGGACGGAGGGTTGTTCAGAAATGCTAGGTAAAACACTGTGTGGATGTGGATCGTTTTCGTATTAAAATCTGTGGGTTTGTGATGGGGCAGGGCGGTGGATCGGCGATAGCGGCTCAGCATCGTTTTGTCTATTGACCATCGGCAATGAACGATGGCATCGTCTATCGGCCCAACCCTATTTTCTACCTCCAGAAAGTACTTACATTTTACTTAAATTGTTCTCAAATACTGACATGTCATTGGCTGTTATGTTTGTTGATGCGTTGATACTGTCAAACAACCCATATTGACATCATATTCCACATGTGTAGTTTGAAGACTTTTGGCACCAAATACCTTCCATATAATACCATTGTGTTCCTGCATTAGTACTTAGTGTACACTTGATAAGAAATGGTCGCTGGTCCAATAATGACAGCCCTTGTTTTTACCTTCAGATTGGCATGAAAATGATTCCGATTCTATGAAAATCTGATGTCAAAGAAAACTATGAATTGTCCTTTAGAGCAGTGTTTCCCAACCCTGTTCCTGAAAGCACCCCAACAGTACACATTTCCAAAAAAATCCCCAATCAAACACACCTAAATCAACTCCTCAGAGCATTAGAAACTCAAAAACCTGAAATGAATGGGTCGGATAAGGGAGTCATCCAAAATATGTACTGTTGGCGTGCCTCTAGGAACAGGGTTGGGAAACACTGCCTAAGAGAATTAAACCAAGTAATAAATTAGAATGCAATGCACCTAAATCTAAATGTATTTGTGTGTGTGTGTGTGTTTGTTAGGAAGCCCACAGAAATCCAGTGGAGATACACTGAAGAGGGCGAGCGAGTGCGTGTTTCTGTCAGGACTGGACGGATTATTCCCAAACCAGTCTTCCAGAGAAAAGACGGCATCGTTCCTCAACAGTGGAAAGGTGGGATTTCAGAGGAAGTTGAAAAGCAATACTTTTATTTTATTATTATTTTTAATACTGTTCTGTGTTAAGCCACTTTGACACAATCTGTATTGTAAGCAGAGCTATAGAAGTAAAGGTGAATTTCATTTTTGAATAAAGATGAGATGAATAATTTTAATATGGCTCTGAAATCTCTACCTTGCAGATGGACCCAAGGACACGTCACCAGAGGACACGCTTCAGAAAACATACACACCGTCTCTGAAAACCCTTGAGGAGGAAGTCATGGAGAAAATGAACATTCAGGAAAATAGAAGACCTCGTAAAAGCTACTGGTACTGAGGAACCACAGAGACAGTGTGTTATGTTTAAGCTCAAAAACAGCAGCAGGATTATTTATCATGGACTAATAATGTATGTGTTCTGGAGACTGTCAATAAACCAACCAAACGTTATGCTCTGTTTTCTTGCTTTTGTGCTATAAACGCATAACTACTTGCTGATTCACAGAATTCTCCTACTAGACTAAAGCTACTGATGAACGTTAGCATTAATTATGTCATGTAACTGTTTGAGTGACCCGACTCCTGCAGAAAACATCAAACCATAATTTTTTTAATACGCTGTAGTCTTTCCCTAGTTTGGGGAACATTGGGGAATATTTCCCATATTAAGTTAACTTTGGACCAGTTTTCTGTCAATATGGCATGCTCCTTGGTGTAGGTTCATCTGGAATTGGATTTTTTCTGAGATTTGGTCAGTTCAGAGGCTTTCAGTCTAAATTGATTTTAATGTAGAGACAATATGCAGTGGTCAACATTTAAAGTGAATCAAAACCTTTCATTAAAGTTGTCTTTTTGAACTGTTGAACAACAACCATTGTTGTTTTAGGACAATTTAAAAAAAAAAAAAACATTTTTTTTTATTCATCTTCTGCTGCTTTTCCGGGGCCGGGTCGCGGGGGCAGCAGTCCTAGGAGAGAACCCCAGACTTCCCTGTCTCCAGATCCCCCCGGAGGAGCTGGAGGAAGTGTCTGGGGATAGGGAGTCTGGGGTCCTCTCCTAGGACTGTTGCCCTCACGACCTGGCCCCAGAAAAGCGGCAGAAGATGAATAAAAAAAAATTATAAAGATTAATAAAGAGACTAAGCTGACAAGAAAATGAATGAATGTATGTACAGCAACAGGCTAATTAACAATTTCAGTCGCTGTGAGGAAACATATTAGGGTTGGGGTAGGGGTAGACATTTATAAAACACAATAATGGGTATTTCAATAAATAATATAAATAATTCTTGTTAACATCTGTCTTGAGTTTATTCTAGCAGCAAACAACTTGTGTGGTGTCGCACTAGTTTGATTGAAGGGTTAGTTTATATGTTAATCTTTTCAAAGCTGTCAATTTGGAGGGTAAACCCACAGTAAAACTGTTTATTTTTACACCTTTTAGCAAAACTTAACAAGACTGCGGAGCGACCTTGTTCTCGCTCATTCTTTCGTTCACTCAATGCTGTGTTGTTATTCTACTCCAGCCCAGCTGGTGTCAGTCTCGCTTAATCCTCGGAAACGGTGCAGCGGATGTTCAGGAAATCCTTCAGGATGGTGGAAGAAATGATGTTTATGTGTCTAAATGGTTAGAGAGGTACAGTATACGATTATAGACAGATATTTCTTGCGTGTTTAGAGTAATAAATTATCGTGCTTTTCGCGTCTTGTTAGAGGACAAATAAGGATTTTAAAAGCAGACTACCTTGTGCAACTGGACTCCTGCAGCAAGCGTTAATTGACCTGAAGGCGAATTTAGCATAGATGTTGTGATCTGATATTTGCTCACAGCGTTTGTGCATATAAGTCTGGAAGTGCAGGAGGATATGAGAGTATTGGAGCTGCTTTAGTGAAAGTGATGCAAAAGCAGCTCGTCAGCGATTCTTGCGTGTGATTCTCTCTCTTCTGAACTGATCTGGGTTCATCATCGGTGGACATGTCTCTGGTAGCCTACGACAGCAGCGACGACAGTGACCGCGATGATTCTCCGGTTTTACCCGCTCGAGCTCCGGGAAGGAGCGGCGGACTCTTCGCTTCTCTGCCCGCGCCGAAGAACGCGGAGGTCCGACCAACCGCAGATGAGCCCGCAGCTGCTCCACAACCCAAAAGGACGATCATGGACCTCCCCAAACCCAAGAAACGCACAGAGCCCGTGAAAATCATCGTTCCTCAAATAAAACCCGCAGATGTGAGTCTCACTGATCCGTTAATGTCAAATCATTTCATCGAAACGGTTTCTGACGGTAATGTTTTTCTTTTTTCAGTCGGACTCTGATGATGATGAGCCAGTGCGAAAGAAATCAGCTCCTCGGGTATGAATAAAGCATTTTTTTGCTCGTCTTCCACTGTGTGTCTAGAGTTTAATATTGTTAATAATGACATTAATGAGAATATTAATATTATTAAAATCCTATTCTGTTTCTTAGAACAAGCAGTCCAAGTATTTAATTATATTTGTAATAATTAATATATTATATAAAAGTTTAAAGTATTTATATTATTATAAGGACTACGAACATTTTTCCATACTGTTTTACCCATTGTAAAATTCTGTTTAAATGTATATATATATATATATATATATATATATATATATATATATATATATATATATATATATATATATATAATGTATGTATACCAACATAGAGACAAGTTATTGAGCATAACAGTCTGTTTTGGAAGTAACAAAACTGATAAACCTTTAAAAACAAACATGTGAGCTCTGAGGTTAAATTGTCCGGTCTTATGTAATAGTGAAAATCATGCAGAAAAACTACATTACCCATGATGCTCTACATAATATCAGACAACAACAACAGTTGTTGTAAGCTGTAATTTGGCATAGAATGACCATGAATGGTATCGAAATTGAATCTATTTTAATATTCTGACCAATTGTCATTTTTTAAAATAATATTTAAAAAAAAAAAAAAAAACATTTACATGACAGTAATTTATTTAAGATTAGGAAGAAGAACAATAAACACAAAATTTAGCTTCTTTAGGTAACACCAATAACTTTAATAAACTATTTCAGTTGTAAAAGCTGATGTAGATTGTGTTCTTGTTTATGAATGGGTTTATATGCACGGAAGTGTTGTTAAGCCACTGAAAATGTCTGGCAGGAGATTCGCTATTGTCAAGTTCATTGAGTATCCTCTTACAGCATTGATAATATAGTGGGTTAAATAGAACTGAGCATTCGTTTAGTTGTTCAAGTGAAAAAGGAGCTGAAAACAAGTGATATACGAGAATCAGCGAGCATTATTGAAAATGAAGAGTTACTCGTTGTCTTGGAAATGTAAACGTAAGTTTAATGCAAAAAGATGACAGGATATTTCTGATTTAGCACCGCTTTATCTGATCTAATTTTTATTTAGCTTAATAACAGCACATAAGTAAATGTGCTCTTCCGCCTAACAAGCTTTACTGAGGTGAATTTTGATTTATATTCACACATTCGTTCATTTTTGAACAGTGACAGCCTGTGACACAGTTTTGGGGAAATATAAAACTGCACCTGCTGGCCTGTCAACAACTACGCTTGATGAAGTGTCTGTCTCCATAGAGTTTTCTTACTGGTGAATGACATGGGCTGTGTCCGAAACCGCATACTTCCATACTATATAGTTCGCTAAAATCAGTATGCACTCCCAGCAGTATTTTAAAATGTATAAAATTCGAAAGTCAGTATGCAAGAAATACCTGGATGACTTACTACTTCCGACGAGATTCTGGAGTGCGCCTCCCAAGCACACTGTGCTATCCCATGATGCCCCACGAGAGAATTCATGAATGGAAGTGAAACGATGCAACTGATGCTGGTAGGTCACGTGACCGTGACAAAATGGCGGATGTGGTACGTCCGAATTCCATTCATACTTTTCACATTCATACTGTATAGAACGTATTTTTCTAACGGCCGAGTAGTACGTTTAAATTCAAATGCAGCACCTACTTAGTAGTAGGCGGTTTCGGACGCAGCCATGATCTAGTGTTATGTCTAATCAGTGCGCGTTCATGACTTAAGGAGGCGTGGCTTTGGACAGCAGGGGAGGATCATAACATTTCTAAGCTATTATGCTAATGCTAGCAGTCTTGCAGATCACCTACTGCAGCTTTAAATAAAAAAATTACAAAGAGGAAAAAACAGGAGAAACAAAAAAATATGTTAACATTTGTTGAAAATTTAGCAAAAACAGCCACAAACATAATGAGTGGATTTTAAACAGCACACAAGGGTTAATAAACACAACAATGAAAGGACATATGTTAAAGAGCTGTTTACAGAGGATCTATTTTTTCATTAATACTCATTAATATCCAAATAATCTTGATGCTCCTGCACTTAACACTTGATTTTTCTTCTTCACATCTTCTCAGGGCAGTGGTCTGTCCTCTCTGCTCCCCCAGCCTAAGAATCTGGCAGTGAAGGAGACCCAGAGACCCCTGGTACCGCACACCCTCACCAAACGTCCCGCATCAGATAAACCCAAATCAAACACAGCCAAGCCCCAGAGTCTGTCAGGAAGCAGCCCATCCCCATCTGCCATCAAAGCGGCCGCTAAATCAGCAGCCATGCAGCTTGCTAAACAAATGGCTGCGGACGAAGACGGAAGCGATGACGAACTCGCTCCAGAAAACTACTTCTCTCTTCCGGAAAGCTCCGTTCAGCCTGTGATCCCGCAAAATGTTGATGCGCAGCAGTTCGTGCCCTCTTTACACCCTCCGCCTGGTGTGGAGGACGCCCCGCTAGACTTTGGCTCTAGTAAGCCGGTCGGAGCCATTCAAGACTATAAGACGAGTGGAGATTTTCAACATCAGTACCAGGAGCTTCCTGACAACACACAGCCAGAGGCGTCTGCACAGGTGCCTGATAAGTGTGTTGTGTATAAATTAATATGTTGTTTGTGATGGTAGCAGCTGATGTTTTGTGTGTAATGTTTGACAGGAGTATTATGGGGAAGAATACTATCAAGATCCAAACCCTGGAGCTGATGAGGAAGAGGAGTCGGGGTCGTCTTCGTTGTTCAATGATGAAGCGGTCAGTTGTGTGCAGCAGCTCTGGTATTTATTTCAGAAATTTGGAGAGCATAATTGCATAAATTACAGCTATTATTATTGGAAATTTGACTTATTTAGTAAATTCGAAGAATATTTTTTTGATTTTAATTAAGTTTGCGTATAATAAATATGATAAGTCATCATAAAAATATTGCAATATTAATTTCTTAATTTTTTTACATTGTTGTAATTTTAAAAAATGTATTTAAAAAAATGTTTAAATAAATGTAAGAAATTATTTTAGTGTACAATCACATTATTTCAGAGATATACCTTAATTGATGTCAGACAAATGTTACATATTTAATAATGATAATAAAATATAAAATATTTACTTTTACAGTCCAGTAGTATTACTGCAAAAGTGATTTGTCTATATTTTTACACTTTTATTTTGAATAACGTTGTTGTTGTTGTATTGCAACACAGTAATAATAATAATAAACAACAATGATAATGTTATTTATTATTATTATTATATGATTATACAATAGTAATAATAGTAAATAACAATAATTAATATTTACAGTTATTAATGAATAATAATAATAAAATATTTATTTTGCAGTCAAGTAGTATTGCAAACGTAATTGATGTCTTTATTAATTTTCGTTTTGAATAACGTTGTTGTAGTTATATGACAAAACAATAATAATAATAATAATAATAACAGTAATAATAATAGAATAATAAACAACAGTAACAATGTTCATTCATTCATTTTCTTTTCAGCTTAGTCCCTTTAATAATCTGGGGTTGCCACAGCGGAATGAAGCACCAACCTATTAAGCATATGTTTTATGCAGCGAATGCCCGTCCAGTTGCAAATAACAATGTTATTTATTATTATTATTTAACTATACAATAATAATAATAATAGAAAATAACAATAATAAATATTTACTGTAATTTGTGAATAATAATAATAAAATATTTATTTTACAGTTCAGTTATAGTGTTGCCAAAGTAATTGATGTCTTTAATAATTTTCATTTTTATTAACGTTGTTGTTGATGTATGATAACACAACAATAATAAACAACAATAACAAAATATTGTTATTATTATTGTTAACATTATTTTATAACTATACAATAATAATAATAGTAAATTATTAATATTTACAGTAATTATGTGAATAATAATAATAATAAAATATTAGATATTTATTTTACAGTCCAGTAGTAGTATTGCAAACGTAATTGATGTCTTTTATTGATTTTTATTGTGAATAACATTGTTGTTGTTATATTACAACACGGTAATAATAATAAACAACAATAAAAATGTTATTTATTATTATTATTAACATTATTGTATAATTATATATCTATATATCACTAATTAATAGTTACAGTAATAAGTGAATAATAACAATATTAATATATAATATTGTATAATAATAATAATAGTAATAATAACAAGGTAATAATACAATAAGAACAGTAATAATAGTAACATTGTTATTGTTGTTGAAGTCATTAGTGTAATTATTATGAGTTCTGCTTAGACTGAGCCCAGTTTAATCCAGGCTAAATTTCAGTTCTCCTTGTGTTTCTCCAGTTTCGGCGGCTGCAGGGCAAACAGAATCGTGGAAGAGAAGAAATCAAGTTCCTCGAGATCAAAGGAGACGATCAGCTGAGCGGAAACAAACAGTGGATGACCAAGAACATGACAGCAGAGGCCGAGCCACGCAAGTCCTTCAGCAAGGTCACAATCTCATTTCAATCTTACTTAAACCATTATTTTCACAGTGTTTGCCATAATATTTTTCCTCTGGAGAAAGTCTGATGTTTTATTTGGGCTAGAATAAAAGCAGTTTTTCATAAAAAAAAATAAAAAAAACATTTTAAGGTCAAAATGATTAGCCCCTTTAAGCTATATATTTTTTTGATAGTCTACAGAACAAACCATTGTTATACAATGACTTGCCTAATTACCCTAACCTGCCTAAATAACCTAGTTAAGCCTTTAAATGTCACTTTAAACTGAATACTAGTATCTTAAAAATATCTAGTTAAATATTATTTAGTCATCATGACAAAGATAAAATTCATCCGTTTTAGGAAATTGAGTTATTAAAACTATTATGATTAGAAATGTGTTGAAAAAATATTTTCGTTAAACAGAAATTGGGAAATAAATATACAGGGGGGCAAATAATTCTGACTTCAACTTGAAGCTCAGCTGCTAACCTTTGCTTTCTCCTTTCAGAAACGAGGAGATCAGCCAACGGGCCAACAGAGGCGCAAACACCAGATCACGTATCTGATTCACCAGGCCAAAGAGCGAGAGCTGGAACTCAAGAACAACTGGGCCGACAACAAGCTCACTCGACGGCAAACACAAGCCAAGTACGGATTCTAGCAGACTGGATATACAGATCTCCCTAATGTTCTGTATAAGCGATGCACAAGTGAGAGGTTTGGGCCAGCTTTTAGAGTTTCAGAAAGGCGTAGAGGATGGTGAAGTTCAAGATGGCTAACAAATGTCTACCTAATATCGTCTTTCCATTTGAACTACGTTACGTTTTGTTACCCGGTTTTAGTTCGGTCGGAAACAGTCACCCTGTAACATAGTAGATGTGTAGGTCGACATTATATTTGTTCATTAAATACGGTTGGGATGGTCTTGTCTTCCATACTGCCGTCGTGAGCGCCGGTGGTGTATATAAAATACGAGGCATTGAAAATATAACAGAAAACAAACGGTTAACACTTTACAGTATGGGTGTGTATGTTAATGTTTTTGTAATTGTCGGTGTTAAAGGGATAGTTCACCCAAAAAAGTATTGTCACGATACTGGAATTCGGATACTGAAATTTTCCTGCGAACATTTGAACGCTGTTAAACTCGTTCTTAAACAGCGCTGATTTGCCATTCTGTTCATATGCTCAACAGAAATGACTGTGATTGGCCTTGAAGGTCATCAGTTCGCCGAACTCGCCACTGTTTACTGAGTGTAACCACAGATACAGTGACATGGGAGTGTTTTAAAGCCACAATTCATCAGCAGATCATTCGTATGTCAGCTTATAGACAAACCAGCTGATCGACGGGACTTTGAAACGCTCCAGTAAGTAAACAGCAGTGAGTTCGGTGAACTGATGACCTTAACGGCCAATCACAGTCATTTCTGTTGAGCACGTGAACACAATGGCAATTCAGTGCTGTTTAAGAACGTGCTCAAATGTTAGCAAGAAAATAAGACATCTTTAAAAATGTCAGTATCGATTGGTACCGAATTCCAGTATCGTGACAACACTAACCCAAAACCGAGAATTCTGTCATTATTTATTCACCCTTGATTTGTTTCGGTTTTGTTATTTTGAATTGTAACCATTGACGTCCATAGGTTTTCTTTGTCCTACTGTGCATGTCAATGGTTATCAGTTTCTAGCATTCTTCAAAATATCTTAAGTATGGAGCTTAAGATATGCCAAAACGATCTGAATTCAAATTGGATTATTAACAATAGTAATTAAATACAACTGGACATTATATGGCATTAAAAATTGCTTTAATTTTCTTAACTTGAAAATTGAACATCTAAAATTTAAGACAACTGAAGATTTTTATAGATGTATTTTCAGAACTCCTAGACTGCAGAGATGCAGTTTGTAAAAATACAGTTGCAAGTAATGTTGTCACCATACTGAAATTCGGTACCAATTGATACTGTATATTTAACATTTCCTGCTATTTACAGGGATTTTACGTTTTCTGTGAACATTTGAGCGCTGTTGAGCTTGTTAAACAGCGCTGATTTGCCGATGTGCTCAACAGAAAAGACTGTGATTGGCGTTGAAGGTCATCAGTTCACCAAACTCACACTGAAGCGTTTTAAAGCCACGATTCATCAGCGGATCGTTCGGATGTCAGCTTATAGACAAACCAGCTGATATACATGACTTTGAAACGCTCCAGTGTCACTGTATCTGTGGTTAAACTCCATAAACAGCAGTGAGTTTAGTGAACTGATGACCTTAACGGCCAATCACAGCCATTTCTGTTGAGTTTGAGAACACAATGGTAAACCAGCGCTGTTTAAGAATGCACTCAACAGTGCTAAAATGTTAGCGGGAAGTGGACGTTTTTAAAATATCAGTATTGATTGGTACCGAATTACAGTATTGTGACAACACTGACCCAAAACTGATAAATTGAAGCTTAAAAATGCTTCAGTGTTCCTGTATCTGTGGTTACAGTGAACATTTTAAAAAATTCAGTATCAACTGGTACCGAATTCCAGTATCATGACAACCCTAATTTCAAGTTTTCACGATGAAGGAATTCAGGACGTCAAATTTCAAATTCAAAAATTCAAAACCAGAAATTCAGATCATGAAATTCAACAAAAAAAACATCTGAAGTTTAAAATTATGTCTATTAAAATCAGACTTAAAAAAAATTCAGCTGGTTTAAATTTCAGATGTTCAATAGTCAAGTTAGGAAATTCAAATTCAAAACTATTTTAATAGCAAATAATATTCAGTTTTATTTAAATACAACTGTTAATTATTCAAATGAACACATTTCAAAATTCAGATTGTTTTGGCACATTTTGAGCTCCATACTTTCGTGGTCTCACTGGTTTGTTCGCTCAATTTTTTTTTTGCTGCTTATTCAAACTACATATTTAAAATGAGCTGAATCAACACAATTCTTAAGTTTTTTTTGGGGACAACTTAAATGTTTTATGTTCAGTCTAGGGCAGGGGTGTCAAACTCAATTTCTGGAGGGCCGAAGCCCTTCACAGTTTAGTTCCAACCCTGCTCCAACACACTTACCTGTAGGTTTCAAACAAGCCTGAAGGACTCAATTAGTTTGATCAGGTGTGTTTAATTAGGGTTGGAACTAAACTGTGCAGAGCTGCGGCCCTTTAGGAACTGAGTTTGACACCTGTGATCTAGGGTCTACTTAAATTTATAAACACAGTCAACTTAATGGATTTGTGTGAAACCCTGCATTTTTTAACAGTGTGAATGAGTTCATTTAAATTTTTGGGTGAACTATCCCTTTAATTTACATGTACACTACTGTTGCATTAACTGTATATTAATGTAAATGAGCTCCTATTAATGTATACAATGTTACTGTAAAGTGTTACTGCAGAAAACCCTGTAAACAACAACAACAAAAAAGTGTGTGAGTGAATCTTCCTGGTTTGATTGTTTTTACCTGCTTGTTTTTCATTTGAATGTAGATTCTTAACCGAGGACCTTTGTGTAGAATTCTGAATAAAATATAAGAGTTTCATTGCACCTGTAGGAAATATGCTGTTAAAACACTTTAATGTGATGAATAAATCCTGTATCACTGCCAGAAGTGAACATACATAGGCCTGAGCAAAGTAAGGGTTAGTTCAAAACACAATTGCTAATTGCTGGGATTTTAAAGAGAATTAAAGAGAGTTTAAAGGACATCAGGAAGACTTTTAATATGTCTCAAAATACAGGAATGGACTCAAGCCACAAACATTAAATTGGTCGATGATTTAATGTGAAACTGAGATTGGGTTTTTATTTAACTTATTTCAATATGAGCACGATTTCCCACAGAAAGGATGATCACTGTATGCTTTATCCTGAGTTATACTCCAGGGGGTCTTAAAAGAATTACATTTGTAAAAAAAAATTAATTTTAGGTCTTAAAAAGTCTTAAATTCATGGACAGTCTTGTAGGTCTTAAATATTGTTAATCAGGTCTTCATTTTCCTATGTCCATGTAAAGCTGCAATCGGACAGACTCCCATCCAATTATCAACAATCTTAACAAAACACTATTTACCAATATTCATGTATTTATAGACAATATATGGTGAGGACAATGACCTGCACAGACTGTTGTGAATATATATATAAATTATATTGATAAAGGTATGTTGGAAAAAAGCTAACATTTTACATCTAACCATTTTTGCTGAATTTGAATTATAAACATGATTATATATTAAAAATTTGTTATAGTGATTAAACTACATTTTGTATTTTAATAGTCAAGTTTGATAAATGCTAGAAACCTAGTGGTTTAAAGAATAGTGACAAAGGGTAAAGCTTTGTCATTTTGGAGTAGCTTGATGACCTTTAAACAGAATATAAATTTTATATATATATATATATATATATATATATATATATATATATATATATATATATATATATGTATATATATATGTGTGTGTGTGTGTGTATGTATATATATATATATATATATATATAATTATTACAAGACTAAGAGTTGCTCTAAATACAAGTTTTACTTTTCAAACATTTTTTTTTTTTTGCATTTTAGCAGGTATTTCTGAAAATCATGATAGTCATAAAAAAAGGACATTTAATGTATAAAACACTGAAGCTTTTATTATACTTAACATTTTTGTATTTTGTCTTGAGTAAAATCAGTTATGTCTAATCTCAAATTATTTTTAATTGCTATTGCTTTTCTCTTACACCATGTCCTAAATAAACAACGTTGCGAGACGCAAAGGTTTCCATGTCAAAAGCAGGTTCTATCTAAACCATCTGTGACAGCGACGCACAAAATTTCAGTTTTAGAAATGGTTTCTATTTCTGCGATGTCGTGGCTGAACAACAGCATAAACCACTATGACAATGATCGCCTCAGGAACTGATTATGTGCTTTATTCAGTGTTAAATTTAGTGTTTTGGAGCTACTTTCTGACCTTTAAATAGTGTTTTATTTCGGGTGACAGTGGCGCAGTAGGTAGTGCTGTCACCACACAGCAAGAAGGTTGCTGGTTTGAGCCTCGACTGGGTCAGTTGGCGTTTCTGTGTGGAGTTTGCATGTTTTCCCTGCGTTCGCGTGGGTTTCCTCCGGGTCCTCCAGTTTCCCCCACAGTCCAAAGACATGGGGTATAGGTGAATGGGGTATATGTCGAAGCATGCTAAAAGGACTTTTAATTTGCCAGTAACCTGGGTTAAGCGATTCCCATGAACTATGCCAATGCAAAAATCTGCACGTTTAAGGTCAGTTTTCTTTAAAAATCAGTGATCTCCACTGGGTGAATGATATCCTATATAAAGCGAGTCTCAGATTGTACAAGAAGCACTGCAATAAATTACATTTTCCCCGCCGTGTGTTTATAATATGAGCATTTATTTTACCTCAGTATATTCAATGAAGCGTCTTTATATTCAAAAAGGCCTTTTGTCTCGTTTTACGCTTAAGCAACCAAATGAATGCCAAAGTTTATTTAACTGAATGTATTTTAATTACATTACAAGATCTATGGTGTAAAAGAAACCGTATAAATTGGAAAAAAGTTCACAATAAAAAGTTCACAATAACATGTCACCGGAAGTTTATCAGTATGGGAACAACACTAGCTCGGAATATACCCTATTGGGTAAGCTAAATTGTCCGTAGTGTGCACGTGTGTGTGTGTAGATGTTTCCCAGGGATGGGTTGCAGCTGAAAGGGAATCCACTGTGTAAAACATATGCTGGACAAGTTGATGGTTCATTCCGCTGTGGCAACCCTGGATTAATAAAGGGACTAAGCCGAAAAAGAAAAGGAATGAGCGAATAAATATATATTTTATCAAATGGCTAAATTAATTGCTCCTAGTAGAAGTTTTGCTTCTGTGTAAAATGACATTTTGTGGGTTTTTCTGAAAATGAGAAAGATTTTATTTTATTGTTCATTTGGAATAAAGTACCATCTTTCTCATTTTTAAGCATCAAAACAATGTGTAATATTGCTTTCTATACATTAAATGTCTCATATTTTTTTAAATATTGACCATTTATCATAATTTTTTCTCGCTAAATGTCTGATACAGAAGCAAAACGTCTATTAAGAGTAATTCATTTAGCCATAAGATAAAATTTTGTGCGTCTCTGTCACAGATATTTCAGACAAAAATAGCTTTTAACATGGAAACCTTTGCGTGTCGCAACGTTGTTTATTTAGGACATGGTGTAAGAGCTAAGCAATAGCGATAAAAATATCTTGAAATTAAAGTCATTATAACTAATTTAACTTAAGACAAAATTACCAGAACAATTTAATTGCAAACAAAGAAGAAAAATAGACTAAAAACAGAAAGAAATAAACAAAAAAAATCATTTTATTTGTACAAACACCTCATGTATAATCTTCAAATTGTATCTGGACATATTTTAAGTAAAGACGATGTTATTCTGAATCGGACTCTTTTAAACTTTGCTGTTGCTTCATCAGCAGCAGTTGCCTGGGCTCCACAAACGGCACCACAGACATGGGCACCCGGACTCGGTCCAAACCATTCACCTGACACGGAAAACACAGCTCAGATATGAGTGCTGAAACAGTTATAACAATACATCACACAGTTATACATCAATTCACTTACTGTGACCTCACACCAGTGCTCTCCAGGCCCTGTGATCGGCTCCTCAGGAAGAGTCAAAGCATGTGGAGGCACAACCACACCGCGCTGGACAGAAAAACAGCCCATGAGATGTGTAAACACGGCAGTTACTGATTGGCCATTGAGAGAATCATCACTACATGCGTCACTTGACACTAAACCAGTGTCAAAAATAAATCAAAGACAGCCACCATATCCTCAATTTAAATATCTGTCGCAGGTATGTCAAGTGTTTATGAATATTAAGAGCCAGATTCAATACATTAGGCAAATTAGCATGAAAGTTCATGTAAAATCTAAATTTACAATGTTTATTTTGCTAGCACTTATTTTTTACAATGAATCGGTGCAAGTTAATCCACTGAGTAAAAATGGTAGTTTTGTTAATCTTCAATCAAAGTCTGACCATTTTCTTCCACAGTTGGAGTGATGATCCTTCTCTGATGCTGCTAGTATGACTTAACCATGCTCCTATTACCACTCGTTTGCTATTAGGGAATGGGGCAGAGGTCTACATCAGGAGCCGCGGGACCTGACCAGATTTCTGCGGCGCGGGAATAAACTGGTTGCAATTTTTAAATTTGAATGAGACAGCGTGATGCTGCGTTTAGCTTGTTTGTTGCTGTGTGTGTGTGTGTGTGTGTGTGTGTGTGTGTGTGTGTGTGTGTGAATAAGAGAGAGAGGGTGATGCCTTTGTGTGTGTGTCACTTGCTTGGTGCTTATGTGAGTTTGTGAGTGTGTGTGTGTGTGTGTGTGTGTGAGAATGAGAGAGAGCGTGATGCCTGTGTGTGTGTTATTTGCTTGGTGCTTATGTGTGTGTGCTTATGTGTGTGTGTGTGTTTGTGTGTGAATGAAAAAGAGAGCATGACGCCTATGTGTGCGTGTGTGTTTGTCACTTGCTTGGTGCTTATGTGTGTGTGTGAATAAGAGAGAGCGTGATGCCTATGTGTGTGTCACTTGCTTGGTGCTTATGCGAGTGTGTGTGTGTTTGTGAATGAGAGAAAGAGCGTGATGCCTATATGTGTGTCACTTGCTTGGTGCTTGTGTGTGTGTGTGTGTGTTTATACAGACACCTTGTTATAGGCTGTCTGGACTCTGTATAGCAGGGTAGTTTTCAGTTTTGTTCTCCGCGGAATGGGCGCGGCGGGTAGAAACAAACAACAAATACTGAATTTAAGCAGGAGCTGTCGGTTCGGCCTAAAACCTGGCAGGAGCGGGGTTAAAAATGTAGTCCCGTGCAGATCTCTAAAATGAGGTGTAAAAAATCCCCGCCCCCTACTGAATATTCAGTTTCTGTTGGAAGTACATCAACATACACAAATAAAAGTCTCAGCAATTTCTGAACTTTGAAAGATCTTGGAATTTTCAATATTGACCACCAGAATTTACTAAGAGCTGCATATAAAAAGAAATAATGCGTTTCAAATTAATGTCTTCTAGCAATACAAATAGTTTGATATTACAAATATCCTACAATAACTATCACAGCATGTAAAGTACAAGATGGGTTCAGACCTTGCAAACCATAGTAAATAAACTACTAAAGTCATTTAAAATCTTCAACTTTCTCTTAAATTTTTGCTTCGGACAAGAAAAAAAACTGCTTTGCAATAAGGCCATTGAAAAAAACAAGTATTTGATAAATATGGACAGTTTTTAACACCAAATGATGGAAGTTTTTAGTCAATCTTGCCATAAATGTCATTCTTTTAAGATTCTGAGATCATTTACTCATCCTTCACTTGTTCAAAGCCTGAGTTTCTTTCCTCTGTTAAACTCAAAAAGAGGATATTTTGAAGAAAGCTGGAAACCGGTAACCATTGACTTCCATAGTAGGAAAAAAAAACAGCTTTCCAGGTTTCTTCAAAATATTTTCATTTGTGTTCAACAGAAGAAAGAAACTCATAAAAGTTTGGAACCACTTCAAGGTGAGTAAACAGTGAGTAAATTATGTGGACTATATCTTATAAATAAATGCTCCATTTTATATTTGCTTACCTTTCGAAGAAACTGTCTGCAAACAATCTCTTTGGTGAGCGAATATTGAATCGAAGTGTGAAAAGGAACTTTGAGCTCGGTGTTCTTCAGGAATTCAACAGTCTGCAAAACACACAGACAAATAACATAACACTGATATAAAAATGTGGAGCCCGGAGTGCCAAGGTGAGTACAGCTTATAAAAAAACTTTACGAAAAAGACCCTCTCCGACATCCCCAGTTGTCTTTTAACATTTTTGTGTGCAGAACACAGGATGTCTCTACCAGAAAATCAAAACAAATTGATGATTAAATGCACTTCAGAGAGCCTCTATTCTGTTCTATAGCTCGCACAAATATTTGAGATAATGCAACAACATATACAGTTGCCCTCCTGGGAATTTTTGATTTTTTAAAATATTTCCCAAATGATGTTCAACAGAGCAAGGTCATTTTTCACAGTATTTCCTAAGACATATTTTCTTCTGAAGAAAGTTTTATTTATTTATTTTGACTAGAATAAAAGCAGTTTTTAATAAAAAAAAAAAATAATAATTTTAAAGTCAATAATATTAGCCCCTTAAGCAGTATTTTTTCGATTGTCTATAGACAAACCAAAGTTACACAATGACTTGCCTAATTACACTAACTTAATTAACTTAATTAACCCTTTAAAATGCAGTTTAAGCTGAATACTTGTATCTTGAAAAATATCTAGTAAAATATGATGTACTGTTATCATGACAAAGATAAAACAAATAAGTTATTAGAAATGAGTTATTAACAGTATTATGTTTAGAAATGTGTTGACAAAAATCTCTCCATTAAACAGAAATTGGGGAAAAATATACAAGGAACTAATAATTCTGACTTCAATTGTACATACTGTATTACATAATTATATGCTAATCCGTCACACCACTGTTCTTGAAGTTTTGAGTGAGCCTCAAGTATAGTTTTACCTATACTCAAAATTCATCCTCAGCATTTAACCCTTCCAAGTGCACACTAGGGTTGAGTATTGTGAAAGTTTGAATGGTATTACTACTTTTATTAATACAACTTTTCGGTCCGGTATTTTAACGGTTCTCTTATTGCAACTCTTTGTAGTGGTTTTTTTTTTTATATAAAAAACAAACAAATTGAACAGAATTAACAACACTTTATTTTATTATTATGTTTTTAATATAAAATAATGCAAAACCAATAATTGTAAAACAAATACATAAAAATGTACGATGGTTTGAAGGAGATGACCTTTTTTTTCTAGAGAATAATCTGCCAGAAAAGGCAAACATGTTGAAGTCAAGTCAGAATCTTTCTTGGTTTCTTGTTCTGCCTGCAGTTGAAAATATCCTCCTCCCAAAATGCAGTTAAATGATCAGATAATGTTTATGATTTTTCTTTAACCCATTAACATAAATGAGTCACCTGTTTTTGGAGTTAACAACTTAAAATAAGCAGATTTTTTAATAATGTCTTAATAAGAATAGTTTATTACTAAGCTATATGTAAATACAGTAATGTAAAAGCATTTTTAATGTTTAAGATTTATTTAGGCTACTGCAGAAATAAATACTGTTTTCATTGTAACCGAACGTGTGTGTTTATTAAACTCTTAACATTATATTAATTTAGAGAGACCTTATGTGAATGACTGCTAGCATAACGATGTAGATGATGTACCTCAAGCTAGTCAGTCGAAAACTTTTCATTAGTCTTTCTGCAGTAAATGCACTTTTGAAAGATGGTTAGCCAGATTCCTTGCGTTTCTGCTTATACAAGAAAACAACTTGTTGCGTTTGCTGCAATTAACATTGTCGCCGTCCACCCGGGAAATACAACCCGTTTGGTTCACTCCGCAAGCTTATGAGCTGTGTGTGCGGGCGCATGTTTGTGTCGTGAGCTATGTTTGTGCGATTAGCATGAGCCTCCACTAAGTGTGCGCGCACAGCCAAGAACTGTGAAGGCTTCTATACTTGATGTGCTCGCCGCTGTACTATTGGGCGAAAACACAAGCATTTCTCATGTGAGATTGCCAAATGTGCAGACAAATATCGCAAATTAGAAAAGGTTGGCCAGTTAAGTTATGCTACTGTAAGCAATGTTTATTCAGCAATAATTCTCCAGTACCGAAAGCAAAACCGTTAAAGTCAGAGCTTATCAATACTTCGGTCTTTTATAATTTAGCATCCAAACCGATAAAGTACAGCGTTTCAGTACCCATCTCTAGTGCGCACACAGACACGCACACATTTTGAGTGAAAATCAAGGATAGTCGTCAATAACTCACTTGCTGTCCTGTCCGTGTCTGGATTCGGTCCTCTGGATCTCCCTCATGTAGTTTCTACAGGCAAAAACAAAACAAAAATTGTAAACAATTGAAATTATATGAACAACTTGATTTGTAGACCAAAACTAACCTTTAATTCCTCTGCAAACATGTCTTTATTGTCTTGTGAGGGGTAGACAGCCAGGCCTTCGGGCAGCAGTTTGTTGCGTCCCACTGCCTTTTTCACAAAAACCGTGTCGCCTCGTCCACCGAGCTCTGTGAAATTAATATCACATCAAACAAAAGTGCGAGTGAGTTATTTCAGCACGATGACGTAACTCAAACTGAAATTAAATAGTGAGAAGGGGGCGTGGTTTTATTTTTGTGCTCCTCCTTTCATCTTTCAGTTGCAGCAAACAAATGAATGGGGGGGGGGGGGGGGGGGGGGGAGTGGCCAAGCATATTTCAGCCAATCCATCATACTGACCTCAAAGATAGACTGCCTTTCAAGAGAGGAAGGTTTTGATTAATGATAACCAAAACAAACTTCTTTTTTTTTTGGTCAGTGGATTAACTTGCACAAATTAATACTTCAACTTAAGACAGGGGTTGGTCCTCGAGGGCCGGTGTCCAGCAAAGTTTAGTTCCAACCCCAATCAGACAACCCAGAGCTAGCTAATCAAGCTCCTACTAGGCTTTATAAAAACATCCGTGCACGTGTGTTGAGGCAAGCTGGAGCTAAAATCAGCAGGAACCCGGCCCTCCATAACCAAGTTTGGACATCCCTGCCTTAAGACTAACAATAATTGGTGGTTCATTCTGCTGTGGTGACAATTAATGGATCAGTGACTGAGCCTAAGGATAATGAGTGATTTAGTGAAGACTAAAAATGTGCGCTAGCAGAACAAACATGGTAAATTTTGAGTTCATGCAAACACATGTACACATAACGCATATTATTTGTTCACAAAAACAATGTCACCTTATGCACAGAGCTCTGTACAATAAATATTACATTAAATAACACCATTTAAATATATAACTTGATTTTAGGAAAGTCAAAAGCACTCACTGGGCACTGTCTGAGTGAGAATGAGCTCCATTTTGTCCTGTGGACTGTTTTTTTTGTCCTCAACCAGTCGGTAGACCTTGTGACGGCGGGGATGCAGCCTGGGTGGCTTCCCTTCCTTTGACAGAGGAACTTTCCAGCAGCGTTCAACAATTACTGTATTCTGGAAACAGATCAAATACACATTTCTTAGTAAAGAATAAAGACCAAAGTGTAACCGTATGACTCTCATCGTAACTCAGCCAAATGTATTAAATATGTACCTGCATAAACACTTTTATTTGTGTTTATAAAAGAGTATTATTATTAAATAAATTGTATGTGTATTTGCAACAGGCTAGTGAGATATCATCAAAAATACTGTCAGAAACTGTTGTTTTAGTTATAAAATTATCACTTTGATATTTAAAATACGCTATGCATTTATGATGCTTAACACAGGTGAGTGGGCTTGACAAACCACCTGTAAAAACGAATTCTCTTAACAATAATAGTATCTGCATGATTAGCAGCTCTTGTGTGTGTTGTCTCTTCTTGTTGAATCGCTGAATGGCTCCTCAAATGCAAGTCACTTTGGACAAAAGCGTCTGCTAAATGACTAAATGTAAATGATATAGATTTTCAGATAAGCAACTTAACTGTCTGTTTCTTACCTTGCATGCTGTTCGGGACAGATTCTGTACTCGACTCAAGGAGGATCTCAGATTTGTAAAATTCCAGCAGTTTTGAAGGACAAACCGTGATGTTGTTGCTGCCCACATGATTAATATTGACTATAAAATCGAAAACTAAATAATTTATTTAGCTGCACAAATAGCAAGAGCCACCAAACGCAACATGACATAAATACTATATCAAAATGCACAAATATCTCTGAATACAACTCTCAATCTGTCATTGCGTTGACAAAACCACATGAACTGCGCATGGATGATGAAGGACCCCTAAATAAGTAGCCATACATTTTGCCTGACAGAAATGTCGGTCTTTTTGTTTAAGTAGGCGACTAACTTAATATACTAATACGGTTAATTAAACATGTTTGTTTTCCGTATTTGTCTTATAAACAACTATATAAACAAAGAATTATGACGTTAAGCATGCAAGCAGACACCTAAGTAACGAAGTGATTTCAAAATAAAAGACCTCACTCAAAGACGTAAAAGTTTGGCGTTGGATTCTCAACCGCCTAAAAAACAAAACAAATCTGCCATTTTATTTTAAGTAGGCATTACTAAAAAAAGTATTTGAAGTTTCTACGTTTTACCTAATTACCTTCATGACTCCCAATCTGTGGAAACGGTAAGTTTAAAAGAGCACAATCGGTTTTAGAGTCAAGATTGCGAAGCTACCTTATATCAGGGGTGTCCATACTCGGCCTTGGAGAACCAATGTCCTGCAGGTTTTAGCTCCAACTTGCCTCAACACACCTGCAAGGATGTTTCCAGAAAGCCTGGTAGGAGCTTGATTAGCTAGTTCAGGTTTCTGATCGGCCAGGTAACTAAACTTTGCAGGACACCGGCCCTCCAGGACCGAGTTTGGACATGCCTGCTTTATATTAAAAGGCAGTTTATTGATTTGTAAAGGATATAAATCTACAAAAAATGGATACATATTTAAATCTTTAAATCATGTAAAATAGACATTACTGATACAAAATGAACAGAAATTGTATAAAATAGGTAGACATGCATTTCGCCTGACAAAAATGTCAGAGGCGAATTTGTCACTAGCTTAGTATGATACTAATACAATTTATTAAACATGTTTGTTTTCTGTATTTTTGTATATAACCTTATAAACAACTATATAAACAAACATTTATGATAAGAGTTCCATACAAGCAGATACCTAAATAATGGAGTTATTTCAAAATAAAAGACACCTATCAGTAAAAGTCTTCAGATCCTCCACCGCCAAAAAACAAAACTAATTTGCCATTTTATTTCAAGTACGCATTTACTATAGAACATTTATCATTTTACCTATCGATTAATTGCCTTTATCAATCCCAATCTGTGGAATTGGTAAGATTTAAAGAGCACATTCAGTTTAAGAGTAAAGATAGTGAAGCTCCACCATAACTTTATATAAAGAGGCTCTTTAATAATATCTAAAGAATTTAAATCAACAAAAATTGGCAATTCTTGGATGAAAATGTTATAAAACATGTCAAATGGACATTAAACTATTGATATAAAACAAACAAAAAAGTGGTTAAAATAGCTAGATGTGCGTTTTGCATGACAAAAATGTTTACTTGTTTAAGGAGGTGAATTAGTCACTTATGTAATATATATTATTAAACATGTATGTTTTTCATATTTGTGTATTATCTTATAAACAACTACAAAAAGATTTACATACAAGCAGATACCCAAGTTATTTCAAAATAAAAGACCTCACTCAGAAGTCAGTCTTCAGATTCTCAACCGCTAATTTTTGCCTTTGATAACGCTAAAGACATTTATTATAGAATATATTTAAATAATTAACAATCTACTTATTGATTAATTGCCCTCATGGATCCCAATCTGTGGAAATGGTACATTTAAAAGCACATTCAAGATCAGTCAAGATTGTGAAGCTGCACCATAAACTTATGAAAAGGCTTTTTATTGATTTGTAAAGAATATAAATCAACAAAAATTGGCTATGCATCCAAATCTTATAAAACATGTCAAATGGACATTAAACTAGTCATACAAAACAAACAGAAAGTGTATAAAATGTGTTCACATGCACTGATTCAATCTCACTACCTCGAGTATTAATTGAAAAATAAATTTGGTAAACAAAAGCGTAAAAAAAAAGAAAACAGCAGAGAAATTGTAGTAAATTGTACAAAATTATACGCAATATAATATGCGATGTATATGCAATTTACATGTCAATACACTTCAGTGAAACAGGATGGATTCAGAAGACAAATTACACAATCAAAAATACAAAGGTAAAAAAATAAAGAAAACAAGACAATTATTACATTGAAAATATAATATAATATTGACCGCAAATAGTACTGTTAGTAATTGCCCGTTCATCACAAAATGTATTCACAAAATTCATGGTCTGCATAAATAAATAAAGGGGGCTTCAGATGATCAGACAATTTTTTTCTGGAGTATTAAAATAAACTTTCGTATTCCTGTCATGGTAAGTACTGTAATGTTGTCTGTCTATATTAACATTTTTAATAATACCAGCCAATAAACTACCAGGACTTTAATTTAAATGATGAAAACTGCTGTCTGGGCCCCTAATACTGAAACACATAGCACATTAGTAAGCTCACATCATTACTTCACCCAGTAATACGTAATAGTCAATTACAATACAACGAATTATGATAACGAAATAATAATGGGATTACATAATAAAATATTTGATTGTATTTTTCTGTAATTTATAAGCACAGAACAGGCTATAAGGACCGTTTTGAGTTAGAAAACCAACGAGAGTCATGCTGTCGTTGCTCACTTTAACACAAATCCCATCAGCACTTGCATTTGCATATGCTAATAAACGTTCACAAAAGCTCTCAATGTGGAGGTAGACATAAAATGTAGCCTTGAAACGAGCACGACGGCTCTACAATCGCAAAGTAACGGAAGGCAATATAATGAGGGCACAGCTTCAGTTCTTCGATATTAAAAAAGGCTTGAGGAATCGGCCTCCTGTGCTGGGATTTCTCGAACAGTGTGTTAAAAATCTGACCTTTGTGAAACCAAAACATTACTTTCCCCTAGCAAACAGTTTATGCTAAGGCAAATTGGCTCTTCAGGAAAAGTTTAGATACGTATATATGTGTTTATATAATTAAACTTATGATTTACATTACAAACGCAACACTGTGTATATCCACTCAAAGCAAATAAATGAGCAAGGCTATTTTGTGAATATACATGCAGAGTATTAAGATGTACTGTATTGCTGTGACCGCACACACAAATGAATGAGCTGCGAGTTCTCCAATGTACGTTTACAAAACACCAATCTACTTATAATTAGATTTTTTGAAAGATTTTGCATACAAACAACAACAATTTTGTTAAAATGTCCCTCGCAAGTGACTTGAATTGCTGTATTATGTATCCCAGGCCAGTAGATGGCGTTGTCACTGCGCCCCTACTGTTCTGTAGTATATAACTGTTGTTATTGTTGTTAAATTGTCGCACATTCCTATGGAGTGTTTTCATGACGCGTCATCAGTCAGCCATATTGGAGAGCTAAATGTAAACAACGCAACTGGACTGAACGAAACGCGCACATATGGTTGATTACTGCTGCGGAAAGTGACTATTGTCATGTTTTGGCATGTACTAATCCATCAGACCAGAAAAAACATTTCGAGTACTAAACACTGACAAAAGTTTCAACAAATCAAGCAGAAATTAGCCTTTTAAATTTAGTTAGTCACAAATATGTCACCTTTTCCTGCTTGCTAAGTCGTTCTCTATGTAATTTCGAAGCTTACACACATTTTTCAGGTGGTTCGGCAACATAAATAAGCAGAATACTGTATACGGGAGAAGATTACCATGTAATCCAATGCTGATGTTTACATCCAAGTATCTCCATCAGGGCTGCACATATGGGTATCTGACCAAATCCTACTGACATACTGAAAACACTGAACAAGTAATACACATGATAATAATGTAAGTGTTTTAACTACGGTACCCCAACGGGCACTTTGATGTCGAAACAACATCATAAAAAATCTAAAAATGCAATCCGAATTGATGTCAGTTGACTACTTTGATGCCAAAACAAAATCAAATTGACGTAGCATTGGCATCAAAAATTACGTCATACATGACGTCAAAGTAGTTTACATAAATTTTAGGAATACAAAACTCAGTGTAAATTTGGAAGTGAAGCATATATTATATTATATACGCTTTGTGTCTATTGTATTTTGTCAAATTTGTCAGATCGTCAAGGGGGCATCAAAACGATTAGCATTTTTTACGTGTTTTTTGGCGCCAAGCTTGATGTCAATTTCGCTATAGTTTGTACATCGAGATGGAGATCTCTGGAAACAACTGTTTATATTAAATATTTGCATTTTCAGGGTCCTGATATCTAATTGTCGTGTAATAGAACAAGTTTTTTAGCTTGTTTGTTGAAAATGTTGTGTATACGTGCCCAAAAGAACGCATCGCTCATGTGTAACAGGATTCATGATAAGTACAATGCAAGATTTTCAAAAGGCCTCAAAATTGATTTTCCCAAATCTCCAACTTAGCTATGCTTCCATCCAAAGCTGCGTATTTAACTTACAATTGCAATTGTAATTTAACTTCGAACAATTAGAATATCGCATAAGAAATGTATTTTGAGTTTTTAAACGGCCAAAAAAATATCTAAAAACTCAAGTATCTTCTTTTTTTAACAAAAGATTTTCTCCTTGCCTTTTTCACTCAAATGTAAAATTTTGTCAATGTTAGTGGATGCCATTATATGCGATAACTGCTTGTGTATACAGTTAAAGTCAGAATTATTAGCCCTCCTGAAGTATTAGCCGCTCTGTATATTTTTTCCTCTTAATTTCTGTTTTTCAACACATTTCTAAACATAGTAATTTAATAACTGATTTCTTATATCTTTGCCATGTTGACAGTACGTAATATTTTGCTAGATATATTTCAAGGAACTAGTATTTAACTTAAATAGACATTTAAAGGCTTAATAATTAAAGTAGGCATGTTAAAGTAGTATTGTATAATGATGGTTTGTTCTGGAAACAATCTAAAAAATATATTGGATATATTCATTCATTCATTCATTTTCTTGTCGGTTTAGTCCCTTTATTAATCCGGGGTCGCCACAGCGGAATGAACCGCCAACTTATCCAGCAAGTGGATGCCCTTCCAGGCGCAACCCATCTCTGGGAAACATATTGGATATATATTAAGGGAGCTAATAATTTCGACCTTAAAATTGTTTTGCAAAAAAAAAAAACTTTATTCTAGTTGAAATAAAGCAAATAAGCCTTCTCCAGAAGAAAAAATATTATAGGAAATACTGTTAAGATGTCCTTGCTCTGTTAAACATAATATTCACAGGAGGCTAATAATTCTGACCTCAACTTTATATAAAAGTATCTGACTCAGAATCTGAAATCTTTTTTTTTTTTATGCTCATCATCTAGAATTATTCGGAAATACATGGATGGCAACATAGCTAGAGCAGGTCCATGTGCCAGTACAGTCAACTGATAACACTGGAGGATAATACTGGTATAGTAATAATAGAAATATAGCACTTGATTCAGATTCAAGTTCAAAACTCCTTACATATTCAGATCTCAAACAAACAAATATCATTCATCTTCATGGTTTTTGCCTGCGTAATAATTCAAAATGCTGACTCTTACACACAAACACACACATACGCACACATATATAAAAGACAGATTGAGTTTTGGAGGGCTGTCTTGTACAATCATAGGCCGCGTTTTCGGACTCTTCAGCATGTGCAGGGCAGGGTTGTAGTGTTGGACCCACCTAACTGCCCCACCGCCATCAGCAGAATGTCTTTCTTCTCCTTATAGAAGCGCAGCTCTCGTCCTGCTAGACGCGCCTCCTCCAGCTCACGCTCCGTCGCTGCCATCTCTCGATTGATGGTCCCGGATAAAGTGTGCTCTCGACTCACCCAGTCGGCGGCCATCTGTGTGCGCATGTCGTCGTCCAGCGCTCGGTGGGAGTAATGAGCCAGAACTTCCTGTTTACAGAGGAGAATCATTGTTATAGACGGCACGGGCAGGTCAGTGAAACTTATCAGTGCTTCAAATAAACACTCAGAAGAAATTAGAGAGATACAGTGGGGGAATTAAATATTGAACATGTCAGGGTTTTTCCTGGGAATAATATTTCTAAAGGCGCTGTTGGCATGGATTTGAACCAGATTTCGGTAAAAACACAAACAATACTTACATATAAATAAAACAAAACAAAAATCTGCTAAAGTTTAAGAAAGTACACAAAGATAAAAATGGCTGAACTACTGACACGTATTTAATACTTTATGTAAAAGGTTTTTTAATGATGGCAGCTTAAAGGCGCCTCTCAAAGGGAGAATTAAGTCATGAATTCCTCAGGTGTGATTTTTTTCACAGAACTCTACAAAAGTGTAAAAATCTTGATGGTTCTGTGGGGTTTGTCTATCAAATCTGATCTTTATTTAGTATTTTCTATTGGATTCGAGTCAGGTGATTGGCTGGGCCATTCTACAGCTTGATTTTCTTTCTCTGAAAGCATTTGAGAGTTTACTTGACTGTGTTTTGGATGGTCTTGCTGAAATGTCCACCCTGATTTAATCTTCATCATCCTGCTAATGTAGATGTTGGACTGAAGCAGCTGAGATTAATTTACTCAGAGGAAGGGCAGAGGGTTGCTGAAGAACTACTGAGAGATTTCAGCTGCTGTCTGGGCCTTCACTGCCGTTCTACAACTCCCTTTCTTCATGTGTTCAATACTTTTTCTTTGTGTCATATTATTTTATTACACATAACTTCATTTGTAAATGAATTAGTTGTTTTCTTTACATGTATGTTTACCTCTTGTTGTTTCCAACATCCGGTAAAAAATTTAAGTCAACAGCACCTTTAGAAATACGTTTTTGGTAAAAAATGGCGACGTGTTTAGCACTTATTTCCCCCAATTGTATATTATTTAAATTAATCAAATTGCTTTTGTCAGCTTTTTTGTGGCAAAAAGTAATCGTATTGGGTTTTTGAATAATTTTATTTTAGTATTACTATATTTGTGTAGATTACTATATATATATATAAAAGATTAAAAAAAAAAAAAAAAAAAAAAAAAAAAAATATATATATATATATATATATATAGTTTTTAGTAATGTTTTCATATTTTTCTGTTTTAATTTAATTATTACAAATTATGTTTTGTTTTTGTTTTGTTTTTTAATTTGATTGAATTTTATATTTGAAAATGTATTAGTAAATTCTGAAATTTTAACATTTAACAAAAATTATTAATTTCTTTACAAGTTTTAACTTTTAATTCCAATGAAATCTTGTCTTATCAGCAAGTCAAGTTTAACTAAATGAAAATAATTAATGCTTCACTGTCAGCAAGTCTCCATAAAATAAAGTAAACATTAATAAATAAATATCTAAATAAAATCATTACTGATTAAAAAAAATGTAAGGTTAAGAATTTTTTTTTTTTGTTAAAAATAATAACCTTGGGTTTTGCAGCAGCTGTCTGATCCTATATCCCTAAGGAATTGTTCAAGGTTTGATTGACTTTTTTGTACATTTTTAGTTGCTAATATTAGAAAAAATTAATTCTTTGATAAGACTTTCTTTTTATCAACGTCTTCTTTACTTTACATATCTATCTCTGCTCCCAAACACTTGCTGACACATTAATGTACGTGATATTTTCAGATTTGAATAGATATTATTTAATAGATATTAGTTATTTTTTGACTAATGTGGGTGTTATCAGATCTAATTACTCAATTCCTCTTTTACTGAAAACCACTGATTTGTCTTTACCTGACGGGAACACTGTCTTTCTCTCATGGCTTTGAGGCTTCCATTCCAATGGAGAAGCTGGAAAACTGTCATCAGTTCCTAAAAACAAATTGTAAAGTGTAAAGTCACATATACAATTACTCACATGTTTTCAATACAGTCCTATCGTTATTTCTCTTACCTGGAACTCTAGCATTGATTTCCCCTTATTAGACTCTAACATGAACCGAAAAGCACCGATGCCTGTACTTGGATTATCAGCTTCCTCTCTGTTACCCTGAAGAAGATTAATGAGAACAAATTTCATTCATTACTTATTTTACCAAAATAAAATATAATCATGCCTTAATTTTTAATTATTTAGTTAGGACAGTAAGTTCTGATTTTGCTTGGACAAAAGTCTTGTCATTTAACAGAAAAGATGTACAGTATAGAATATAAAGTTATGCTGCAGTGGAAAAGAATTAATATTGTGTAAAACTCCCATGAGCTTAGAGGACTGCATCCGTACATCTCTGCAATGACTCAAATAATTTATTAATAAAGTCATCTGGAATGACAAAGAAAGCGTTCTTGCTGGACTTCCAGAGTTCATCAAGAGTCTTTGGATTCATCTTCAATGCCTCCTTCATTTTACCCCACACATGCTCAATAATGTTCATGCCTGGTGACTGGGCTGGCCAATCCTGCAGCACTTTGACCTTCTTTGCTTTCAGGAACTTTAAAGTGGAGGCTGAAGTAGGAGAATGAGCGCTATATTACTGAAGAATTTGCCCTCTCCTGTGGTTTGTGATGTAAACGGCAGCACAAATGTCTTAATACCTCAGGCTGTTGATGTTACCATCCACTCTTCAGATCTCTCGCACACCCCCATACTGAATGTAACCCCAAACCATGATTTTCCTTCACCAAACTTGACTGATTTCTGTGAGAATATTGGGTCCATGTGGATTCCAATAGGTCTTCTGCAGTATTTGTAATGATTGGGATGCAGTTCAACAGATGAGTCATTGGAAAAATCGACCTTTTGTCAAGTTATTATTTGTTACTCTTACAACTGGGATCGACGACCAACCTTTTGTCAGGTAGTATATACCTGGCAATAATGTATTTTGAGGGCACATACTGAGATCCAAATGTAACTTGATAAATTAATATTGTATAATAGCACTCAGGTAAGGGTTAACAGTAAAAAAATTAATAAATAAAAAAGAAATGTATGTAAAAAAGCAAAACCAAAACATGCTATGTTTCACCGGAGACGAAAATCATTATCAGATTGCACAGCAAAAGGATGAGAAACTAAAGCAAGAATCTCGAATAAATTCTCCATTTAATGAATAAAACACGTTGTGAACTCACGTTAAAAGAAGCCAGCGCCTCACACACGCTCTTCTCTATGAAATCATCAGTGATGCGTCTTGACGGATGCTCATTGAAAACAGAGTTCATCAGGGCGATTTTGGCTGCGCTGCGTCTCGCCTCAGCTTTAGTCGGGCAGAACTGAGGAGATCAAAGATGCAGATTTAACCACAGCGTAATCGAATCCTGAATACTCTCAATTCCAAAAGATTCTCAAAAGAAAACATTGAACGGCAAATATGTAGACACAGATGGCAACCCAATCACAATTATTTATTTTCTGAAGATCTGAGGTTTGGAGGCGAAAGGGGTGAAAAGCTTGCCTGAAAACTGCCGAAGCAGCTGCCGCCGGGGAGACTGACGTAGCAGACGTATGGAGGGTTGTTGGACGGGACCATTTCATATACCACGAGAGCTCCGTTCCTCAGGTCAGCGCCTCGGGACTGCTTCATCTGCCAGAACTCCTGCAGAGCCTCCACAACGTTCACTGCGCCATCACAAACATATGAGTGTAAATATAGTGTAACTTGAAGCAACATAAAATTTCACATAGTGTTGAAGATGAAATTATGAGCCCTCCTGTAAATTTTGTTTTGTGAATGTTACAGAGCAGGGAATTTTTCACAGTATTTCCTACAATATTTTTTCTTCTGGAGAAAGTCTTATTTGTTTTATTTCGGCCAGAATGAAAGCAGTTTTTTATTTTTTAACATAATTTTAAGGTCAATATTATTAGCCCCTTAAGTAATATTTTTTTTGATTGTCTGCTGAACAAAGCAGCGTTAAACAATGGTTTCCTAATTAACTTAACTTGCCTAATTAACCTAATTAAGCCTATTAGGTTTAGAAATGTGTTAAAAACATTCTCTGTTAAACAGAAATAGGGGTAAAAGATATACAGGAGGGCTTATAATTCTGACTTCAACTGTATCATCATCATCATACACTTGATAAAGGTATTTTTTTTAGTTTTGTGACTTTATGCTTATTGTCTTTTCTAGTAATTAACATTTTTATCAATTCTTAAGCAAAATACATAATAGAATTGCAGGATCTCTGAAGAGAATCAAACTTTTACCCCATTTTATCCAAACTAGTCCCAAACTTTAATTCACAACTTGGCTATATTCAAACACAATTAAAACCTTCTATATATGATAGAAAGAAAACAAAATAAAGTAAATTAAATTAGACCTAAAAAAAATAAACAACCACTCTCCGGTGTGTTTCGGAAAACCAACTGCTTTGTTACAAACATAGTTCGCTGATTTGGCGTTTCCTAAATCCATCGTTCCAACGAGCATTCGCAAATTTTGTTGCAAACTTGCAACTACACCTCTAGAGCTGTAGTTAGAAACATAGTTCTTGGCTGTGTTCTAATCCCTGTTATCCCCCCTATGCCCTATTCATTTAGAACCTTCTAACATTTAAACTTGGAATGATTACAAATTAAAAAGTACTAAAGTCAAAGTGTAATTTGCTTTCAAACTATTTTTACAGTTCAGTTTTAGCGATCTTCATGTTTACAATTGTGCTCCCCTCACGGTGCACTTTGAAAACATTGATACTATTTTGAACATAGCCATGGCTCATGGTAAAAGCTATAGGTGACCTATTATTTAAAAGCGGATTTTTTTTACATCTCCAAAGCTTGTGAAAACAAAAAACATAGCATACGTTACTGCTTTTAATTTATAGTAGGTTATTTATTAAGTATCTGAACTGTATATGACATGGGCCTGTTGATTAGAACATTTCTGCAGTGGTTTGCATGTGTTAAAAAATAAACAGTATCCCTTATTTTCATATGACACCATCTGATTAATATTCAATTATCAGCCAATTGATTTTCAGTTTATTAAACGATGTGAATATATGTTTAAAACAAGCAGCCATTGACATCCATAGTTTTTTGTTTTTTTAAGTTCCTACTATGGCGGCACGTTGGCTCAGTGGTTAGCACTGTCGTCTCACAGCCAGAAGGTCGCTGGTTTGAATACTAGCTGGGCTAGCTGGCATTTCTGTGTGGAGTTTGCATGTTCTCCCCGTGTTTGTGTGGGTTTCCTCCGGGTGCTCCAGTTTCCCTCACAGTCCTAACTCCAAGACATGCACTAAAGGTGAATTGGGTAAAACAAAATTGTCTGAGTGTATGTTTGTGTGAATGGGTGTTCCCTTGTACTGGGTTGCAGCTGAAAGAGTATCTGCTGCATAAAACATGCTGGAATAGTTGGTGGTTCATTCCACTGTGGCAACCCCTGATAAATATGGGAATAAGCCGAAGGAAAATTAATTAATTCATATTCCGACTATGGATGTCAAAGGCTGTCAAAGTTTCCAACATTTTTTGAAATACCTTCTTTTTTGTTCAACGGAAGAAACTCAAACAGGTTTGGAGCAAATGGAGGGTGAATAAATAATGACAGACATTTTCATTTTGTGGTGAACTATTCCTTTAATAGAATATGTTGTTATTTTTAAGACATATGATGTATTGAATGAACAGCGTCAGTAGATGTGTGTTTGAAATATGAATGTTACATTTATGTTTGATTAAATGTGTTTTTGGCAAGAAGCAAGAAGGTCGCTGGGTCGAACCTCGGCTCAGTTGGCGTTTCTGTGTGGAGTTTGAATGTTCTCCCTGCCTTCGCATGGGTTTCCTCCGGGTGCTCCGGTTTCCCCCACAGTCCAAAGACATGCGGTACAGGTGAATTGGGTAAGCTAAATTGTCCATAGTGTATGAGTGTGTGTGTGAATGTTTCCCAGAGATGGGTTGCGGCTGGAAGGGCATCCGCTGTGTAAAAACTTGCTGAATAAGTTGGCGGTTCATTCCGCTGTGGCGACCCCGGATTAATAAAGGGACTAAGCCGACAAGAAAATGAATGAATGAATAAATGTGTTTGTTTAAATGCAAAACAGAGGGCAAAATAAATCCAACATATCAACTTTTAGGCTTGTCAGTTCATAAATGGTGTTCTATGACTGTCCCACACAATCAAAAGCACATGCTTATTTAACAGCTGATATAAAGGAAGAGTGTTGTTGTGGAATTGCTTAGATACTAGTTTCTAACAGGAAACAAGGGTTGCGTATTTGGACTGAAGAAATGTGAAAACCATCACAGCCACACATCACACTCACACATACAGTAATTATATAAAGACCTTTCTTTGGCATATGAAGGCTGAACTTCTTGCCTGTTCATTCTGAAGGTTCGAGGTGTCTCGGAGGTAGATTAAAACACTTAACCTGCCTGTAAAGAAAGCTTGCAACAGAATCTATCCGACAATAATCCCTTGACTGTAATTAGGTCAGCATGTCAGGAAGCTCAATCTGCTGTATTTTGAGTGCTCTAATCAAATGCCTAAACAAGCCTGTGGTGCTGCAAAGTGCTGTCTGGGGAGCGAAATGAAGAACATCTGCCGTAACAGTATAGCTAATACATATAAAAATCAATGGAAAACAATCTTTCGCTAAATCAAAAAGAGATGATTATTATTGATGAGGATTTTTTTATCCTCAAGGTTGTTTTAATGCATCACAAATTATTTTAAATACATTTAGATTAATTATCTTTTATATTAGAGCAACTCTAATAAAGCCAAGGGGTGTGTTTACTTATGGAAATACTGAAACACTGCAACAAAATTAATGATTCTATTAACAGGCTTTATTTATTTAGCTGAAAATAGATTTTCTTTTCATTTTTCGAGTGAAGCAAGGTTCAAACCCCCTGAGAAATAGCCAGAAGTTATGTTTTGGGGGAGATATGCTCAATTAAATGTTTAAGCTTGAGAAAAGCTTAACATTCTTGTGAAGTTTGAGTTGATATTTCTGAGTGTGTTTGTTTGAAATATCCAGAAGTGGGTCAGTTTTGTGGTACTGTTTTATTTATTAACTGCCTATTAAATATTCCAGAAATACATTTAAAATGCAATTCATGCAGAAAGTTAAGAGAACGTCTGATTATTATGATGATCATTTTCTGGATGAATTGCATTTTTAATGTATTTCTGAATTATAAGAATTATATCTCCTTATGATGATGATGATGATGTTTCTAATTTCTGAATTAAAAGTCAAATTTTGAGAGACTTAAAAATGAATGCTTGCATAATGTATTTTTATATAAGTCAACTGCAAACCAACATGCTAAAGCCCAATTTAAAATTAAATGTAAAACATGTAATGGGGACATTCTATCAGAAACACACATTATCTGTCCCTGAAATAAACACATAAATACAGGGAATAAAAAGTATTTCATTCTGAAAATTTCTAAAATGGACTGATTTCTGTGAGTTGTTCTGTAAAAAGTGGGCAATGCAGTGGTGCAGTAGGTAGTACTGTTGCCTCACGGCAAGAAGGCCGCTGGTTTGAGCCTTGGCTGCGTCAGTTGGCGTTTATGTGTTGAGTTTGCATGTTCTCCCTGCGTTTGCGTGGGTTTCCTCCGGGTGTTCCGGTTTCCCCCACAGTCCACATGTGGTACAGGTGAATTGGGTAGGCTAAATTGTCTGTAGTATATGTGTGTGTGAATGAGTGTGTATGTGTTTCCCAGTGATGGGTTGCAGCTAGAAAGGTATCCACTGCATAAAAACAAATGCTGGATAAGTTGGCGGTTCATTCTGCTGTGGCGACCCCAGATTAATAAAGGGACTAAGCCGAAAAGAAAATGAATGAATGAATGTTCTGTAAAGAAATTGTCGTTCATTGGATTCTCAGATTTTTGTACTTTACAAATGTACAAACCCTGTCAATGTGCTTGTCCTCAGCCCAATTGAACCTACAGCTTTAATGGTTTTTGTTATGCTAAAAACTGTTATTTAGGGGGAAAAAATCTTCAGAAATGGCAAGTTTAAGTTGTTATCATTCACAACAATTGATTTAATACACAAAATTATAAATAAATTCTACAAATAAATACTGCAGATATAAAATACAAATTATTTTACAATTGTCCTCGTGTTTCTGTCAGTCCTGTCACATTTGCTTTAAATTTAATATAAAATGCATGCAATTAAGTCTATGACTAGGCCCACACAGAATCTGCACGCGCAGATTTCCGCAGGTTTTTAGCCCATCATTGATTGTTTATTTACTTGTGTGTAAATTTATATTTATTCAGTTTTTAAATTTATTACATTAATAATATTGACTAATATGAAAATATTCATGATTTATTTATATTACAGTTTGTAAAGTAATATTTTCTGTCTTTTAGTAGATATATTATATGAGAGACTTGCTTTGTTTACAAAATAGAGTAGATCTAATTGGATTTGCATTCTATGATTTTATGTTTGTTTTTGTATGATTTTTTGAGGAAGACGAGCTTAAAGGTCAGGCCCTGTCACGTTTTTTATGAGTGAATATATACGCTTCTTGTAGAATGTCTCGTTAAACTTGTTATTACATGTTTAAATAAAACAATTTATAGTAAATATTTTATATTTTGTAAAAGCTCAGTTCTGGTCAAACAGAATAAGCCCAAGAAAATATAATGTTATTTGTGAAGATGATTGTGAAAAAAGTTATTCGATAACAACGCCACATACACTAAAAAAAGATTTTTCCTGCTTGTTCTTAACAACTTATTTAAAATAAGCTGAATCAACACAATTTTTCATTTTTTGGTGGACAATTTAATTGTTTTAAGTTCAATCTACTTAAATTTGTGAAAACAATTAAGTTAACTTAATCCATTTGTGTTAGGACAACATGAAGGAATTATGTGTAACCCAGCATTATTTATGATGTATAAACATGAATAGTGCGAATAATATGTGTGAATAGTCTGCATAAATGCCATTAAATAGCCAAGCAATTCAAAATAGCATTATATACTATTTTCTGTAAAGACTTCTCATTGTTTACTAACGACCCCATGCTCTCATAATGCAAAGCTCCATGTTCGCTCAGTAGGCTACATACCCCTGCCGTATCCCTGCGTGTGTTTGGCGAAGCTCCGCACCACGGCGTCCACAGCCTCCCTCAGAACCGCCGGGTTAGTGGGGTTGGACAGACCCAGACCCGCCGCCATGTCCACCGACCCGAACCCGCTGCCCATAAAACTGGACCCGAGGCTGTGGAGCTGAAGTGGCGGCGGAGGTGGTGGCGGCCCCGGTGAGGCAGACACCGAGACGTGTGAACCCTGCGCCGAGGAAAGGGTACCGGTAACACCGGGCCGCAGGGAACGGAGAGTCCCGGTCGCGCTCGCTCCGTATCCGATACCGGGCTGCAAGCGCTGATGGCGAAGAGACTCCATTGTCTCGAAAAGTGTTGCAAAAGAAACCAACACAAAGGAAACGACTTCTACAAGCGATCGCAAAGCCGATTAGGAAAGCATATGGCAGTCATCAAAAGTGTTTCTCGAGGGTACGATCTTTGTTAGGCTGATTGGACAAAATATTATTTACAGTTTGGGGCGTAAAACTGCCATGGGGAGGAAAAAGGAGCAGCATATGCTCGAGTTTGACCAATAGACGGATTCACGCTGCGTGACGTGGCATGTCCGGACAGCCCTTCTCAAATCTCTGTATCCAAAATCATGTAAACATTCCCCTTTCCAAATATTTGTTATAAGAGTTTGGGTAAGTCTGTGTAAATAAAGTCTTCTATATAAATGACGCGAACAAAAGATGCTGAAGCTGAAATCTGGAGCCACTGAGAGAGCAGCTACTAAACATGGTTGACGTAATTAGTTTAAGATGGTACTGCTTTTGAAGAACACGTTGTCAAATTGTTGTTCTTGAATGGGAATAGGATAAAATAACATATTAATAATGTAACACTTCTTCACTTTTGATTAATTGGGGCTACATTTTTGTAGACTATTCGACTTATTTTTGTTATGTATAAATATGCATGATACTTGAAATGCAATTATTTCACAGAAATTTAGAGTTCACCCAAAACAAAAATGCACTCAAAAAAAAAAAAAAAGAATTGAAATCTTAAATGATGTCTAATTGAAATGCAATTGTTTCACAGAATTGTAGAGTTCACCCAAAACAGAAACGTACACACTCATACTTCACGAAACCATTTTTTTTTTCTGTTGAAAAAAAAAGAAGATATTTGTTAAAATCCTCAAAACAGTTAACCATTGACCTCCATAGTAGTGATTTGTTTTTCCTATAAATGTTTGCAGCTTACTTTAAAATGTCTTTTAAAAATTTAAATATTTGTGCTCAAAAGAAAGAAACTAAACAGGGTAAAAGTAAACAAGCAAAAAGTAAACAGTGAGTTCATTTGCAATTTTGGGTGAACTTTCCCTTTTAGTTTATTTTGTTGAAAGACATGCTGTTTTCAGTTTGGAATCGAGATCTCAGCACTGAGTTTGTTGATCTTGGCATAATGTTAAACATTTTTATAGATGATTTTATAGAAGAACCCCAAACGGTTTCATGAAGTATATGAGAGAGTACAATTTTGTTTTGGGTGAACTCTGGGTAAATTTCTGTAAAACAACAATTGCATTTCAATAATACATCATTTCAGATTTGTATTTTATTTTTTTAAAGAAATATACATATTATATTTATACCTAACATAAATAAGTCTATAAAGCAGGCAAACCACTTTATGTCAGGAAATAAATCGGGGGAATCAGGAATGTTGGTAGATCAGATACGGTTGCAGCCAGAAGTTAACAATTGTTGTCACACTTTATTTTGATGGTTTGTTTGTTCCATTTAAGTTACACTGTATCTACATGCCAACTAATCCTTATTAGATTATAAGTAGACTGTTAGGGTTGGCGTTAGGGTTAGTGTGAGATGTACTTGCAAAGATTCTTATAGTCAGTTAAATGTCTGTTAAAGGAGCATTATCAGCAGATGTTAAGCAGTCTACTAATACTCAAATAGACCATCAAAATAAAGTGTTACCAGAATTGGCTATATTATTTAAAAAATTTCCCATTTATTGTATTTTATTAATGTTTACCCCTGCCCCAACCTTAAACCCAACCATCACAGTAATGTAATAACAGTAGTTATACCGAGTATTAATTATGTTAATTATTAAATTACCTCATAAATTGTATTTTATAAACACCTACTCCTGCTACAGACCTTAAACCCAACTATCACAGTACTGTAAAAATATTAATTATTGTTATACAGTGTTACAAAAATGTTATATCGATGTGCATAGCTGTATCCTATATCTAGACTTTTCCAGGAATTAGAAGTTATCAGCAGACACAAATAAAACTTATTTACAAAACAAATCCCCTGATGTTAAAGATGTAATGTGATTTAAAATTTACAGAAGCAAATAACTGTGTAATAGAAATGCAATAAATGCAGGACATTTCGTCTTGGTGTCCATATTCAATTAAATTTACTAAAGTATTTTACATACATTAGAAGTGAGTAACAGCTGCATTAAAAAGAAGCCAACATATGGTTAAAATAATGTTCCATTCCCGTTCAGCCATTCAGTCATTGTCAACAGATTTTTGTTAATATTAAACATATACTTACTGACACCTGCACTTATTAAAGAGTTTGCCATAAAATGAGCGTACTCATTTTCACTTCATTCTGAATTATATTATCCTCATAATCAGTGGTGTAAAGTAGCAAATTACAAATACTCAAATTACTGGAATCGAGTAGTTTTTCTCAGAAATTGTACTTTACTAAGTAGTTTTAAAAATTATATTTACTGTATTATAAATACTTTGTATACTTTTGTCCAATCAAATCACATCCTACTGAACTACCTCAAGACATAAGCGATATGCAGTAACTGTTTGGAAGCATTAAAAGTCTAAGTAGATGTCCAAAATCTTTACACGCATTGACCCAGAGACTGTTTAAAGGCATGTCACTGATGAGAAGATGATTACAGATCTGGCATCATCTGAATCAGCATGTGTTCTTTTTTTTCCAGATTCGAAGCTTATTATCTAGGCGTATACTGTACATGTACACTACCTGACAAAAGTCTTGTCATCAATCCCAGTTGTAAATGCAACAAATAATAACTTGACTTCTAGTTGATCATTTGGAAAAGTGACAAAAGGTCAATTTTTCTGATGAATCATCTGTTGAACTGCATCCCAATCATCGCAATTACTGTAAAAGACCTATTGGAACCTGCATTGAGCCAAGACTCACACAGAAATCAGTCGAGTTTGGTGAAGGAAAAGTTCCTGAAGGCAAAGTAGGTCAAGGTGCTTCAGGATTGGCCATCCCAGTCACCAAACATGAACATTATTGAGCATGTCTGGGGTAAGATGAGGGAAGGGCATTGAAGATGAATCCAAAGGATCTTGATGAACTCTGGGAGTCCTGCAAGAACGCTTTCTTTTTCATTCCAGATGACTTGTTTCAGCAGGGTGTTTTCACACCTCTACTTTGGAAAAAGTCAGAAAAGTGGGCGTGTCCAGCTCTGTTTAGGGGGGAGTGTCGGAGGAACTAAAGTGGGAGGGTGTGGGAGTGTCTATTTGAGCACGCGCGAGTTTCAGTCAAAATACACACACATGAGAAAGTGATGGTGTTTAACCTACATGGACATCTGTAGTCGAATTATTTGCCAAATTATTAAATGTTGAACTTTAACTGCAGTTCGGCTCTTTCATTTAGGGAATTCATTCATGCCCCTCGCGACAAACACGATATTTGATTCGAGGATCTGGTGTAAGCATGTATTTTTCATGCAATGTTTGATACCGCACGGCGAATGAGAGAAAAAAAACTCTGCATTTCCCGGAAACTTAGATGCACACGGCAGGTAGCGTCAGAAAGCCGCGTGTGTTATTCCGGTCACAAAATGCGGTGCTATGTTTGCTTTCAGTGAGACAGGACAATCCCCAGCAACTAGAGCCGCGTCTTTATGAAGAGGAGACTAACGTTACAAGCGAATCCGGATTTCAGCGTTTGCAGATGAGAACAGCTCTCAGGTAAACAATGTTCCTCCTTAGACACGTAAGTTATTGTTGTCGAGCGTCACGTACACTGTTAATCCACACGTGACTCCAGCTGCGCTCTCACAGAGAGAAAATGAAAACGAAACTTAATGGCAGCAAACTATAAAAGCAACACTTCACGCTTGTTTTGCCAACACAACGTGGCGTCTTTGTGGCGTAAACACGGTGACACTAATGAATATTAATGAAGTTGCACAATAAAGCGCACTGATTGGTTTGAACCAAGCCTTACTCATGCATTAATGCATCACACTGTAAGACGTAATAAGACACACTCTGGCACAGACGCCCAGTCTGCAGGCTGGAATACACGCTATTATGTCATGACCGTGACGCAGCTTCAAAAATTCGTTTCAAACAGGAAGTACGAATTTGCTTGAAATAATGCAAAAACAACCAATTTACACTTTTTAGTGAAATATAGGTGTCCTAATAGTGTTTTTAGCAGTGTGGGACACATATACGACTGTCAACAGCTCAAAAAATGTGTTTTGGTGTTTCGTGACCCTTTAATAAGTGATTTGAGTCATTGCAGAGATGTATGGATGCAGTCCTCTAATTCTTTTTCCTCTGCACCATGACTTCATATTCTGTACTGTACATCATTTCTGTTAAGTGACAAGAATTTTATTCAAGAGAAAGTCAGACTGTACTGCCCTAATTAATTAAAAATCAAGGCATGATCATTTTTTATTTTAGTAAAATAAGCGTAATCTAGAGGCCTTTGCCTTTCATATAAGCCACTTCTGATACCAAATGATCAACTAGAAGTCAAGATATTACTTGTTCCTAAACATATAGGTGACAAGACTTTTATCAAGTAGTGTATATACTTCAGAAATGTTTAACAGAACTAGTATTACGGCTTAGTCTTGGTAGTAGCTTGTTGTAAAGCACTCTGTGTAGAGGAAGTAAATTTGCACTGACCACATGTTTATGTGACCGATTAAAAAAATGAGTCAGTTGATTCCTTCTGCATTCTGTAAGCGGGTTGCCATTTTCCTCTGGAGAGCTATATTGACGATAATTAGCGCTGAGCTAAAGTCTCAAGGGCGAGCATATTCTGCATCATTTATAACAAGCCGATCTTTGTTGTCAGAGGAGGAAGATTGAAATATAAAACTGGCAGGAGCTCTGGAAAGTTCATTGACAGTATGCAACGAAAAATGGCACAAAGCACTGAGCTGCAGTGATTAGTCATCGCTCTGTGGTTCCTCAGTGATTCGGTTGCATAGAAAAAACTCCCTCTGTGGCAGTGCGTTCTGTAAGTCGTATGGTCACCATATGCTAAAAAAGGGCATTGCTGTCTGACGAGGCCTGGGTGAATGTGATTATAATGAACGTTAGTGAAATAATGCAAATGTACAATAAAATGCTACGTAAAACGAGTGATTATTTGTGTCATTATGCAGTGAATTTTAACCAATGTGTAAAATGAATGTTTTGATGTAGTCCAGGTTCTCACATTCCTCTTAGAAGTACAAATTAATTGACCAGGTTAATTCTGAATGAAATCAGAACAGCCCATAATCGAAAATATGTATCGTGTGTGTATATGTATAGAATGTATAATCTGTGTGTATATGTATGGTGTGCATATGTATAAAATGTATCACTCACACCAGAGACCTTGGTTCTATCTCAGACTCTGACAGGAGTGTATCATGTGTGTAGATGTATAGAAGGTATCATGTGTGCATGTGTATCATGCGTGTATATGTATAAAGTATAATGTATGGAATGTATCATGTGTGGATATATATGAAGTGTATCATGTGTGTATATGTATGGAGTGTATCATGTGTGCAATTGTATGGCGTGTATCGTGTACAGAATGTATGGACTGTATCATGTGTGTATATGTATAGAATGTATGGAATGTATCATGTGTGCATATGTATATGGTGTATCATGTGTGTTTATGTATGGAGTGTGTCATGTGTGCAAATGTATGGTGTGCATATGCATAGAATGTATAGACTGTATCATGTGTGTATGTGTATAGAATGTATTTAATGTATCATGTGTGTATATGTATATGGTGTATCATGTGTGTTTATGTATGGAGTGTGTCATGTGTGCAAATGTATGATGTGCATATGTATAGACTGTATCATGTGTGTATGTGTATAGAATGTTAGAATTCATCAACTTCCAGTAGCGCAGTGGTAATGTGACTCCCCTTTCATACCAGAGACCCGGGTTCTATTTCAGACCTTGACAGGAGTGTATCGAATGTATATGTATAGAATGTAGCTTGTGTGTAGATGTATATATTGTATCATTTGTGCATATGTATGGAGTCTATCATGTGCGGATTTGTATCATATGTATGGAGTGTTTATATGTATGTATGAGAGTGTATCGTGTGTTTGCATGGTCTATCATGTGTGTATATATGTCTAGAATTTATTCAATTTCCAGTAGCTTAGTGGTAATGTGACTTACCTTTCACCCCAGAGACCCGGGTTCTATCCTAGACCCTGACAGCAGTGTATTGTGTGGATTTGTATGAAATGTATCATATGTGTATATTTGTATAGCATGTATGAAAGTGTGCCATGTGTGTGTTTGTATGAACAGTGTCGTGTGTATATGTATAAGGTATATTATGTGTGTATATGTATAGAGTGCACTACACTAGTGTAGTATGTGTACAGAATGTATGGACTGTATCATGTGTGCATATGTATAGAATATATCTACTGTATCATGTGTGCATATGTATAGAGTGGGTCATGTGTGGATTTGTATGAAATGTATCATGTGTGTATATGTGTGAGAGTGTATCATGTGTGCATATGTATGGAGTGTATATGTGTATAGAATGTATGAGAGTGTGCCATGTATGTATTTAAAGTGTACCATGTGTGTGTTTGTATGAACTGTGTTGTGTGTATATGTATAAGGTATATCATGTGTGTAGATGTATAGAGTGTGTGTATATGTATAGAGTGTTAGGATTCATCAACTTCCAGTAGCTTAGTGGTAATGTGACTCACCTTTCACACCAGAGACCCGGGTTCTATCCCAAACTCCGACAGGAGTGTATCATGTGTGTATATGTATGGAGTTTAGTATGTTTACAGAATGTATGGGCTGTATCATGTGTGCATATGTAAAGAATATATCTACTGTATCATGTGTGCATATGTATAGAGTGGGTCATGTGTGGATTTGTATGAAATGTATCATGTGTGTATATGTATGGAGTGTATATATGTATAGAATGTATGAGAGTGTGCCATGTATGTATTTGTCTTGACTGCATCATGTGTGCATATGTATTAAAAGTATCATGTGTGTAGATGTATACATTGTATCATGTGTGCATATGTATGGAGTGTTTATATGTATAGAATGTATGAGAGTGTGCCATGTATGTATTTGTCTTGACTGCATCATGTGTGCATATGTATTAAAAGTATCATGTGTGTAGATGTATACATTGTATCATGTGTGCATATGTATAGAATGTATGAGAGTGTCTCGTGTGTTTGCATGGACTATCATGTGTGTATATGTCTAGAGTGTGACTCACCTTTCACCCCAGAGACCCGGGTTCTATCCCAGACCCTGACAGAAGTGTATAATGTGTGGATTTGTATGAAATGTATCATGTGTGTATATGTATGAAGTGTATCATGTGTGCATATGTATGGTCTGTTTATATGTATGAGAGTGTATCGTGTGTTTGCATGGACTATCATGTGTCTATATGTCTAGAGTGTTGGGATTCATCGACTTCCAGTATCTTAGTGGTAATGTGACTCACCTTTCACCCCAGAGACCCTGACAGGAGTGTATCGTATGTGTATGGATTGTATCATGTGTATATATGTACAAAAAGTACCTACTGTGTCATGTGTGCATATGTATAGAGTGGGTCATGTGTGGATTTGTATGAAATGTATCGTGTGTATATGTATGGAGTGTGTCGTGTGTATATGTCTAGAGAAAGCCAGTTGCTTTTCGTTGAGTTCATCAACTTCCAGTTGCTCAGTGGTTTCGTGACTCTCCTTTCACACCTGAGACCTGGGTGACAGGAGTGTATCATGTGTGGATATGTATAGAGTGAATCATGTATGGAGTGTATGTGTGTGCATAAGTATTGAAAGTATCAAGTGTGTCATGTGTGCATATGTATGGAATGTATTATGTGTGTACATGTATAGAATGTATCATGTGTGCATATGTATGGAGTGTATTGTGTGTGTGTGTGTGTGTGTATAAATAGAATCAGAATGTATTATGTATGCATATGTATGGAGTGTACCATGCGTGTAGAGTGTATTGTACTCGTGACTAATTGCTGCGCGTTTCTTCAGTTGTTTGTGTTGTGAGAATTTGCAACACGTGTGCTGTCAAATTGATGAAGATTGCTTCTTTATTTACTGATGTTTTTGTAATTGCATGTGCTTTCTTAAATTGCAACGCGTAAAGCTCTCTCGTACCTTTTCTGGACTTTGAACTTCACAGGACCATTGTCATCTATTAAGGGCTAACACAGCTCTCAGGTTTAATCTAAATTATTTACAAGTGTGTTCTGAAAATCAGGGGTTTGAATTGACATGAGGGTGAGCTAATAAGAATTTAAATTTTTAGGTGAACAATTTAATCTACTGAGCAGGGTCAATGGGAAATTGTTTTGCCACGTTGCGCTGATGATTTTTGTTTACAACTTTAAAAAAATTAGAATTAATTATGGATTAAAGGTTAAAAACTTTTTAAATAATGTAAATGTTTCTGCACAGATTGATCTTTTTACTTCATAAGATCTGAGTATTTTATTAGGACCTACAGGTATTACTTTTCCTGCCTGTTCCTTTTTTGTCTCTCAAAGTACCAATAGCCATTTGGCTCGCATTTTATGAACAGTTTCAGACAAAAACCTCAATTAAAAATATTTTATTAAAGAAAAAAGGTATGCTATATCTTGAATGACCCGAGGTGAGCCTATAAATCAAGAGCAAATCAACACTTTCAGGTTTAAAATCTAAATTTAAAACCCACCATGCTGTTTTTTCTTAAATACTTATCATAAAAATATTATATTTATATACACACAAGATACATATGCACACATATACAAATATTAATTTAGCCTACACTGCAGTACTGTGATGATGCCACCAGAAGTTTCTTAACAGCAGCCGTGTGTACTTGCGTTATCCCAGCATCTGTTAATTACAAAAGAACATGTCGCAACACAAGAGCAATATTTATTTAGGCCCCTCCAGCTGTATAGCAGACTGGCATTTGGGAAGTCCCAACAGATTTAGCTCTAGTTGTAGACGTGTCAGTCCACTGCTGGAGGGAGAAACATGTCTTGTCCCTATATATAGGGAGTTAATGCGAGTTGTCGGGAGTCTTTACTTTCCTTCAAGTTAATGATGAGAGAGCACTTCACGTTCAGATTGTCACTTTCACCTGCGTTTGTCAGTCACAGGCTCAGTCACAGCTGAAGCGAGCTCGACGACGCTTTACTCCCATTGGCTAGTTTAGTGTGCGAGCGGATCCCTACCGGAGTCCCGCTGGAGAAAAAACGCAAACTCGGAATTCCCGAAGTTGCGAAGTTCGCGAGACGGAGCGCGGCGAGGAGAAACCAAACATTCGCGGACGGGAAAAGGCGTGCGTGACTCGACATTAAGCACGGTAAGCGTTTTGAATAACAGCATCCGTGTGTATAATCTGATACGAGCTCGTGAAGATCCTTATTTCATGCGGAAGTGGAGGAGGAGGGCTGTGTTCATTCTGCATGCCGTGTCGTGTTGCTGGCCAGCACACACAATGTAAATACGCATCCAGTGCTGTGCATCACCATCATGACAGCGCGTTTTCAAAACCCGATATTTCCATCCAAACGCGATAAACAATAGGCCAGGAATGCACTGAGGCCGTCCGACCATTTTTGGCCATATTATTTGAGGGTGCATGGCTTTATAGACTGCAGCAGTCCCTCGTGTATTGTTCGTGGCTTGTGTTTGTCTGTTGTTATGTAATGGGTATAATCGTTGTCTTGTTGCCTGCGTCGCTTATCTCTAATTGCATAAATAAGGTTCAGCCTGCTGGTGTGGATTATTTAATGAGTGTACTCGGGTTCACTGATTTGTGTGGAATGCAACGAAGCATGCCTGAACAATTGTGTTTACGCCTTACTGAAGTAAATCTGTTCACGATCAGAATTTTCCTATTTTGCAGGCTTCCACATTTTCTCACAATACGTGTTGGTGTTTGTCACGCAGTATGTGTCACTCAGCACTGTCAGATACCAACACAATGTGTTAATATGTAACCAATATTAATACATGTAGGATCCGCTTGAATGAATGAGCTCATCTGATGATTTTCAGATGTCAATTGAATTTTCATAACTGTCAGATTGAAAATGTTAGTTTTATCATATCACACATTATTAGATTGCCATTAACCTTAGGGGACATTTAAGCTTAAGTATAAAAGAAATGACCTACTAATAATTAATTTTAGATATTAGGGCTACACAATATATTGTTTCAGTATCGATATCGCAATATGCACACCTGCTATAGTTATATCGCAATATATACAATGTGAGTCAGAATTATAGAAGAACAAGAGCCATATTGTATTTAAATACTGCATTTATATTAGAGATGCCCAAAGTAGGGCCTGTGGGCCAAAGTTGGCCAATTGTAGCCTTTTAATTTGGCCCGCTATCCCATCTGAGAGGAAAGTGAGATGATGAATATGGTTGGGGCGATTGCTTTAAACAATGAGATTTGTTTTATTGATGAGCTACAAAAAAAAGCAAACTGAAATTAAATGTTTCAATTAAATGTTGTAAATAAATCTGTTTTTTTTATGTAAATACTGTCACACACAGAGACTATGCAGAAGACATCAGTAAGCAAATCAAGGCTTGACTACTGTAATTCTGTTTGCTTTTCCTGTAATAAGTTCATTAGAAAATATTTTAGAAAAATTTTATTTGGTTTTTGGCCCTTCATAATAAAAAGGTTTGGGCAGCCCTGGTTTATATGAACAATATACAATGCAAGACTTCACACTTAGCTCACGATTGATAAATAGCTTGTTTGGAGTGCTGTCCCGGGAGAGAGCTCTGAGCTCAAGGGATCCTCGGGCCTAGGGTTTCCCCTTTTGCAGGGCGAGGGGAGATTGAGCTCAGGTTGATCTCAAACTTCCCCAATGCTCAGGCCAAGGCGAACTTCCTGAGAGTTAGACATTAGAAAAAGATTTAGGCTTACTTTATCTATAATAAGGAGCCCATTTAGATGGTGGGAGGAAACCGGGGAACCCGGAGAAAACTCACACGGACACGAGGAGAACATGCAAAGTCCGCACAGGAATACCAGATGGCCCAGCAAGGACCCAACGCCATTGGTATTCTTGCTGTGAGGCAAACCGCTTGTCACTGGGCCACCATGCCGCCTTTTCTGGATAAAGGTTTTTTTTTTTCCAGATGAAGATAGTTGTAGAAAGGAAATGAGGATATATATAGTGACTTGGGATCCTTTGATTGAAGGATCATGATTAGCTAATGTGGGCCAGCTGGGTCAATCATGACCATGTGCTCCTCTCGAAATTAGTTCAAAATTAAACTACACTTTATGCAAAAAAAAACAAAAAAAAAAACGTAGAATTTTTGTCTTGTTTGTAGACCAAATATCTACATTTCAACGGGAAACAATATTTTTTAAATTCCCCAACTGGCAGAAAATTTGGCTTGTTTTAAGAAAAAACTCTTCATAATGACTTATTTCATCTTAAGCTGAAAAAAAAACATTACTTTTACTTGATTTAAGACTTTTTTGATATTCAGACTAGAAACGAGACAAAGCAAAGTGAGTAAAGCATTTATTGCATTGCAATTATTCTATTTCTGTACCTGAATACAGTTAGGCTGTTAGGTCAGAAAATAGTCAAATAGAGCAATTAAACTATCATGTGAATCTGTATTCATATTGCAATGTTTATCGCAGAAAAATAAAATCTATCTATCTATCTATCTATCTATCTATCTATCTATCTATCTATCTATCTATCTATCTATCTATCTATCTATCTATCTATCTATCTATCTATCTATCTATCTATAGCAGAATAAAAAAAATATTGCAATGTGTAATATTTCCAGTATTGTACAGTCCTATTGGAAGTCTTGAGATTGAATAAATAAATTAACAGAAATGTTCATTTTTGTGTGAACGACTCCTTTAAGCCATCAGTGTGTGTTAGTGTGTAGGTGGAATTATGAAATCAGTGTATACTTAAAAACCCCCAATTAATGTATGCTAGTACTCCTCTATTACTGCTGGTCAGTAGACACTGTTAGTAAGCTAATCATTCTGCTTGTGGTTTTCTTTATAATGAAGCCTAGGTGCTGTGCAGAGCCACAGGAGGGCCATGTCTGATAACAGCACCGGCAGCACCGGGTCATCCACGAACAGCTGGACTCTTCTTTCCCCAGAGGTCTGCAAACCACATTGTCAAAATGCTTGTGTCAGTGACGTCTTGGGTTTATTTTTATGAATGACTCTTGGGTAGTGAATGATTTGCACTATGCTGATTTTTAGGAGGTCGCCGCTGACCCAACAGCACCAGTGGATGATGGAACGGAAAGCATTGGGGATGCACCCAGTCTGTCGGAGGATATCGCAGGTTTGTGTAGTTCGAATGTTAACCTTTAATTGAAAATATTTATGAAAATTACTGATTTTATTGTATTTTTTATCAAATAAATGCAATAAAAACCGAGCACAAGCTTTTGAATGGTATTCTGTTAATGTGCTGCTTACACACACAAAGACGTTTGCTGTTTGTTCAAACTACTTGTATAAAATGAGCTGGAACAACACAGTTCTTGAGTTTTTGGGGACAGCTTTTGTGCTCAATCTGTTTAAATTTGTAAAAACTAACAATTCCTTGTTGTCCCGACACAAATCAATCATGTGTAACCCAGCATTATTTAGTGTATTAGAGACTGTAATAAAATGATGTCATTTCAACTCAAGATTATAGTTCTAATATGAGTTTGTAGGTTTTGTAATGAGAAACTGTGTTTATTTCAGGGAGTTCTTTGGAGGTGAGGTCACACGACCCTGAGACTCCAATTCTGGAGCCCGTTTTGTCAGAGGAGGGTCAGCAGGTCAGTGCTCCACCGCCGGTATGTACAGCGCATCACGTTCACTCCTGTCTTCACAGTATTTGTTTTGCGCACTATGTTTCACTCACACGGCAAACATCTGACTGGGTTAAAAATACAACCTTAATGAATTATGAGTGGAGTTTTGCAAGTGATGAAGTGTTTTAAAACCCATTCATGCATTTAAAATAATGGTTCTTTATTGGCGTCTTTGGAGTTGGGCACGTTGCTTTTAAAGAGTAATTAGTTATAGCTACATAACTGAGTTACATAATTCTAAAAGTAATTTCCCGGGAAAGTAATTATTGCGGTACTTAAAAATAAATAAATAAATAAAATAAAAATTTGTCAAATGACTATAAAATAAATGTAAAACACAGCAATTTACACTATTTTAATGTTGTTGTGGGGCAATGTGAGAGACAACAGCAGCATGTCCTCAACTATAAATCGAGATATTATTTGTTTAATTCTGTCGGAGTAATAAGTGTTTGCGGTGGAGATAAATTGTGTTATTTGCATTGTTTTATCATGGCTTCATCTCCTCCTTTGATAGCAGAGCTCACGTTATCACCTGCGTGGCCACTAATTTTGTGGCGGCATGTATGAGGTGAGGTGCATCATTAGATTAGAGAATTACTTGGACTCTTATTGCACTTGCCTTTCACCTCAACAAGGGGGAAAAGTAGTGCTAATATTTCCAGATTGCAAATGCTACCTTGTTCGATTTGCCATCATTCTGACTCCTGTTTGTTGGGCTGTGCGTGTGCTTGTGTGAACACTCGCTCTACTCTGCCTCTGATTGGTGAACGATGAAAATGTACTCTATTTACAGCCAGTCATCCCATTCTCAGTTACAGTGGGGATCGAAAGTTTGGGCACCCCAGGTAAAAATTTGTATTAATGTGCGTAAAGAAGCCAAGGAAGATGAAAAAATCTCCAAAAGGCATTAAATTACGGATTAGACATTCCTTTAATATGTCAAAAAAGTTAGATTTTATTTCCATCAATTACACTTTCAAAATAACAGAAAACAAAAAAATGGTGTCTGCAAAAGTTTGGGCACCCTGCAGAGTTTATAGCATGCACTGCCCCCTTTGGAAAGCTGAGACCTGACAGTGTCATGGATTGTTCTCAATCATCTTCTGGAAAGACCAGGTGATGTCAATCTCAAAGGTTTTAAATGCCCAAACTCATCAAACTCATCTGACCTTGCCCCAACAATCAGCACCATGGGTTCTTCTAAGCAGTTGTCTAGAAAACTGAAACTGAAAATAGTTGATGCTCACAAAGAAAGGGAAAAGGCTATAAGAAGATAGCAAAGCGTATTCAGATGCCAATATCATCTGTACGGAATGTAATTAAGAAATGGCAGTCATCAGGAACAGTTGAAGTTAAAGCAAGTTCTGGAAGACCAAGAAAAATATCAGACAGAACAGCTCGCAGGATTGAGAGAAAAGCAAGTCAAAACCCACGTTTGACTGCACAATCCCTCCAGAAAGATCTGGCAGACACTGGAACTGTGGTACACTATTCCACCATAAAGAGATACTTGTACAAATATGATCTTCATGGAAGAGTCATCAGAAGAAAACCTCTTCTACGTCCTCACCACAAAGATCAGCGTTTGAACTTTGCAAATAAACATATAGACAAGCCTTATACATTTTGGAAACAAGTTCTGTGGGTTAAAATAGAACTTTTTGGCCAGAATGAGCAAAGGTACGTTTGGAGAAGAAAGGGCACAGAATTTAATGAAAAAAACCTCTGTCCAACTGTTAAGCATGGAGGTGGTTCAGTCATGGTTTGGGCTTGTATTGCATCCAGTGGCACAGGGAACATTTCACGAGTTAAAGGAGAAATGGATTCATCAAAACTTCAGTAAATTTTGGATGGTAACTTGATGCCATCTGTGAAAAAGCTAAAGTTAAAGAGAGGATGGGTTCTACAAATGGATAATGATCCTAAACACACCTCAAGATCCACAATGGATTACATCAAGAGGTGTAAACTGAAGGTTTTGCCGTGGCCTTCACAATCTCCTGACCTCAACATTATTGAAAATCTATGGATAGACCTTAAAAGAGGTCTGCTGACAGACAGCCCAGAAATCTTAAAGAACTGGAAGACTTTTGCAAGGAAGAATGGGCAAAGATACCTCAAACAAGAATTGAAAGACTCTTGGCTGGCTACAAAAAGCGTTTAGAAGCTGCGATACTTGCCAAAGGGGGCAATACAAGATATTAACTCTGCAGGGTGCCCAAACTTTTGCAGACGCCATTTTTTTGTTTTCTGTTATTTTGAAAGTGTATATGATGAAAATAAAATCTAACTTTTTTGACATATTAAAGGAATATCTAATCTGTAATTTGATGCCTTCTGGAAATTTTTCCATCTTTCCTTGGATTCTTTATGCACATTAATACAAATTTTTACCTGGGGTGCCCAAACTTTCGATCCCCACTGTACACCATGTTCACAGACACACCAATCATCATCACTGGTTGGTTAACACACGCACACACACACCCCAGAGAAAGAGAGGTCCTATGGCTGAGAGACATGCTGCTCTGATGAAAACCGCTTCAGTGATTTCAATTATAGTAACGAGCATTTTATTGTCAGTAACGGTAATGGCGCTGTAACAAAGGAAACAGTAACTTGTTTGATTACTCATTACCGTAAAAAAGTATTGCCGTTAGTATCACCATTTATGTTTAGTGGCGTTATTCCAATCACTTGGCTTTGGTTCTTTATAGAACCTTTAACATCCATGTGCTCCCATATGAGCTTTTGCACCATTTAATTACAGGAACTCAATTATAGGAAATCATCCCTATGGCCAGTTCACTGAGAACTGTTGCCAGTCAACAGTGGCATCAAGCACTGCAATCAACAACTGGAGGATTGAGGATGATGTAATTGAAGCTGTGTTTTCAGTGTGTAATTTGTGATAATGCAATGTAGAAATTTTTGCATTGGACTGAAACACTAAAGTAGATGACACTTGTGTCCCTGTAGTTCCTATTGTGTTGGATTAGACCCTGCCTTGACGTAGGAGCTAATTTAACTCCCTCTAAATTGCATTTCTCGTTCTTGTTTCCAGTTCCTGCTTTGTGAGCATGCCAAAAAGCTGGTACTTGCCACAATAGCTCTAAGAGCCTGGTGTGAGGCAACATCTATGCAGAGTTTAGATCCAACCCTACTTAAATGAGATACATCAATTAGGATTATATGAAAACTACATGTATGGTGTGTGTTGGAGGACTACACTGAGTTTGACACCTCTCTTCTAGGAACTGTAAAAAAGTTGTTCTATTGCAAAAGCCTCTTATTGGCATCAATGATTCAACAAAAAATCCTTAGAAAATTTCCACTCCACAAAATGTTCTTTGTAATTGAAAACTTTACACTACAGGGAATGACTATAGTAAGAACTGTATATATAACTATGTGTTCACACCACCACCGACAAGGCTGTCAAAGACGCCGGAAGTGATTCATTTTCAATGTTAGCAGCAGTGTGGTCCGTATTGGGTGATATAAACGTCAAGAGTTGAAATAAGATCAGCTTAATGGTAATGAGCTATGATGTGATTCGGTGGCAACCAATTGGAATGTGGAAGTCCACTGCTTGAGAGGATTGCAGAAAACGCAGTCCTCTAAACTTTGGTTCCAACCACATTAGTTCCCAAGCAAAACGAATCAGTGGTTGATTATTGCTATAGTGGGTTTCCCAGTTTGTAATTTAGGCTGTGCACTAAATTACAATTAAGGTTTGAAATTACATCTGACTGGATTTACAGTGTTTCTTTGAATATTTCACACCTTTTTTTTTAGTAATTATATGCTAATCCTATTAAAGGGTGTGCTTGTCATGTAAATTTGAAGCGCAGTTTGCTGGTTTCTTAATTCTGCCCCCTTCCAAAACACAATAATATGTTGTCTGATTTGCAGATTTGCCAGGAAACATCCCCAGATTTCTTAGAGGAAATGGCAGCGTCTGGTCCTCCAGAGGTTGAGCTTGATCCTGACATCCATGCTCCTATCATCCATGACACCATCACTAGTTCTCCACCAGACAGTGACCTTCTGGGTGCTGTTCCCTTTAGCATTGCTACAGAATCAGCCTTTCAGTTTTCAGAGGAGTCTGTCCTTGATGAACCCACTGAAGAAGACGTAACCGACATCTTCCCCAGTCAGCATGTTCCAATCCAAGAAAGCCCTGCTCCTCAACCAGAACCCAAAATCACCTCCACCCCTGAACCCTTCAGAGAAGTAAGCTCTGCCCTTGATGTTTCTGAAGTTTCAGCTGAGATAAGCCACGCCCACACTATCAGGGGTGATTCTGCACTGCCTGTGCTTGATATTCATGCTGATGTACATCCTGCTCCTGAAACCCCGCCTCTGGCTTCGCCCTCTGAAGATGATACTGGTTTTGGGACCACATTGGAAAGCCCCGCCCCTGACAGCCCATATCCAGAAACCATTGGTTCCATTGAAACTGAGGAGGAGCGTAGTTTTGAGAAAGAAAACATCGAGCTGCCTGAGAAACTCCCTGATGTGATCAGGGAACCAGGTACAGTCTTAAAACATGTTTAAGTAGCAAAATATGTGCAAAAAAATCACCTTTTACTCAAAGTTTTTATTTAGATTTAGAGAAGATGTGTCATTCAGCATATCACTAGTTTATATAACATGTAAACATTTATACTTAAAGAAACATTCAATGACATTTAAAGGCTCAAATCAAGCATAACAATGCAATACTAAAATAATACTTTATTTGAATTACTAATTAGCAAAGAAACTGGCAACTAGATCAACACATTTGTGTGCAAAACATTTAAGAAGGGCATCTGCTGTGTAAAACTTATGCTGAAATGGTTGGTGGTTCATTCCACTGTGGTGACCTCTGAAATTGACACTAAGCTGAAGGAAGATTAATCAATGGTATGTATGGTTGTAAATCTATCATACTCGGAATTGCAATGGAACATTATTTCACCCATATTTTATATTTGTAAAATTTATTCATTCATTTTCTTTTTGGCTTAGTTCCTTTATTAATCTGGGGTCACCACAGCGCAATGAACTGCCAACTTATCCAGCACGTTTTTACGCAGCGGATGCCCTTCCAGCCACAACCCATTTCTGGAAAAACATCCACACACACTCATTCACAGACATGCACTACAGACAATTTAGCCTACCCAATTCACCTGTACCGCATGTCTTTGGACTGCGGGGGAAACCGGAGCACCTGGAGGAAACCTACACGAACATGGGGAGAATATGCAAACTCCACAAAGAAATGCCAATTGACCCAGCCCTGTCCAGCCACCTTCTTGCTTTGAGGCAATAGTGCTACCCACTGCGCTATCATATATTATTTTTAAACGTCTTTTTAGCATAAAGTATTTAAACACTGCGAAAAATGCTTTTCTTACTTGAAGTTTTTATCTTGTTTATTGTCCAAATATAAAAAAACGATCTTAAAACAAAGGAGTATTTTGTAGATATAAAAAATATAGTTTTTTTAGTAAAAAGTCAAATTTAAGTATTTTTTTCTTAAATCAAACTAAATTATCCGCCAGTCGGATAAATAAAAGCATCTTACTTTAAACTGAAGACATGAATATTTAACCTTATTTTACATACAGTTGGAGTCAGAATTTATAGCCTCCTTTTGATTTATTTATTTTTTTTTAAATATTTCCCAAATTATGTTTAACAGAGCAAGGATAATTTTCACAGTATGTCTGATAATATTTTTTTCTTCTGGAGAAAGTCTTTGTTTTATTTCGGTTAGAATAAAAGCAGTTTTTAATTTTCAAACACCATTTTAAAGTCAATAGTATTAGCTCCTTTAAGTCAATTTTTTTTCAATAGTCTACTGAACAAACCATCATTATACAATAACTTAAGCCTAATTACCCTAACCTGCCTAGTTAACCTAATTAACCTAGTTAAGCCTTTAAATGGCACTAAGCTGTATAGAAGTGTCTTGAAAAATATCTAGTCAAATTTTATTTACTGTCATCATGGCAAAGATAAAATAAATCAGTTACTTGAAATGAGTTATTAAAACTATTGTGTTTAGAATTGTGTAGAGAAAATCTTCTCCCCGTTAAACAGAAATTGGGGAAAAAAATAAACGGGGGCTAATAATTTTGACTTCAACTGTATATTGGAAGATAATTTAGCTTATTTATTTTTATTTGCAACGATTGAATGTTTAAGCTTGACTATGTATTATATTATATTGTATTATATATCATATTATATTATATTACATTATATCATATTGTCATTTCTCTTTATTTTCTTTGACATGTAGAATCTCTTGGTGCTGAATTTCCAGCAGTCTCCTCAGCAGGGGATGATGATGGTCTGCGGTTCAGACATGTTCAGCCCACCATAGTGCTAAAGCGCAGCTCTGATGAGGAGGAAGAGGAAGGAGAAGAAGAAGAGTTTAACTTGCCTGTCAGGAAGGAGGAGAAGCGAGGTTTCTCTCTCAATCAGCTCATAGTGGGCGCACTCGTCCTGCTTTGTGTTGGGTCCTTCTTTTTCTCTGGTAAGTTGTTTTTTTATGAGGTCACAAATCTAAATCACATTTTATATTTGGTGAAATCATTTGCATATGACATCACATAATTCATATTCATAGTTATTATTACATGCCACATTGTGTTCTAAAGAAAGAGCATTCATTTGCTATTTTCAATGGTTGCTTTGATGTTATTGTGCCTGCAGGTTCTGTGTTTGACCTGGCTGATGGTAGGTGTATAGTGTGAGCTGCTGTACTGTAGGTGGCAGTATAAGCTTGTGTTTGAGCTGTGGATAGGAGTTGCCCTTTGGTTTTAATAGTAGAGTTTGGTCGAATCACTAACTCAGTCCTCACAAAATGATAACAAAATATGTTCATTCGCCAGAGGGCAACCTCTGTCAACAGCCTGCTTCATCACCCATCATGCACTGCTTTACTATGGGGCTGGTTGTTTCTACTTTTCATGTTTCAGAGTTAACAGTGTTTCATTTCTGTGCCACTAGAGACACCGTTTATCATCTCTTCCACTTCTCGGACAAACATGTCTCCAAAAATATACAGTTGAAGACAAAATTATTAGCCTGTGAAATGTGAACTTGTTATTTTCACTTGAAAGAGAAAACAAATTCAAGACTTTTGAAATTACACAATCTTTGTTTTTTTGGGTGAAACTTAATCCTTTTTACAATTTTAAGTGGATTATTACAAAGTCTCTTTAAGGCAAGTCATTTCACTCAGTAGCTGTTTTTAAAAACGACTTTTGGGCAGTGTGCCCGGGCATTCTGTTTGAATGGGAAAACATCAAATTCTCCAAAACTGCTTGCCAAGCTTATGATTAAATTCCATATCAATTTAATTTAAATTTAACCAATAAAATTTAACAACAACTGTCTGTTTAGTTTCATTTCTAAATGTTTGTATCACACAAAATCTGCTGCACCTCACATCTGGTCTGAGCCTCTCCCCTGGAGAGTTTTCATTCTATCCGCTTTTTAAGTAATGACATATGTAATACTGTTTCCGGGTCCAACTCATTTGAGTTGAGAAATCATTCGTTTATGATCACTTTTTATTCATATCACACATTAAAGTTAATTTTATAAAAAGTCATAGTGTACAAAACAATTTCTGGGCTTGCTGCATCACAAATACCAAAGTTTTAACAATTTATAAAAAATGAATCACTTTCTGGCCATTGGATATTAGGCATGGACGTATATATTGCGATCGTGATTTTCGAAAGTATTAAATCGCTTTTATCACACTTTTATTACACACTTTTTTTTTCACAATTCTATCACACTTTTATATGGTTCCTTGTAATTTAAATATAATCAGGTAAATAGACTTCAGCATTCATTTAGGTGTTCAATCGTAAAACGAGATGAAATACCGTTTACACGCGCACACCGTCAGGATCAGCAGGCGAGTGCAGAAACTCCATTGAAAATACTGGAGTAAAATAAATTTGCATATTTTAAAGAGATAACGTGGAAAAATTTTATGCAGTGCTTCCTGCTCATTCTGAGACCCACTTATATCATATATATCATATCATATATCATATTTATATCAATCAGGCAGTGGAAATCGTTGATTTTTTTAAAGAAAACAGACCTTCAACGCACCGATATTGTAATACTTCTGCATGTACCCAATTAGTCTTGTTAAGACTTAAGGCACTTTTCGTTGAATACTAGTGTCTTGGAAAGAACATGAACTAATGCATTATTAAAATCCAATGTTTTGCTTGTTGACTTTAGTTAATGCACCTCGAGTTAACATGAGCTAATATTATTCAAATAACATTAACTAACGTTAACAAAGATAAATGCATAACATAATAAATGTATTACTAATTGTTTGTTGGTCTATTACTATGTCTATACTGTATATTACTATATGACCATTGGTGTATTACTAAACGATAGTTCATGATAGTAAATGCATTAATTAACATGAACTAATGGACCATTATTTTAGCGTTATCATTAAAGCTTTTGTTAAAATGTGTCTTCTCCATTAAACACCATTTAAGAATTAAAAAGAATGTTGATAATTTTGTCTTCAGTTGTATGCCGCTGTTCAGAAAACTTTGTGCTACTTGTGGCTAGAAATGACACTCATCCTCTTTTAGTGCTCGCCTGACCCTGAAATGGCTTAAGGCTGAGATTCTGCTGACACTAATGCATGCTTCAGATTACACTACTACACATTTTTGTCTGTCATGATCATCACCGCCTCTAAACAACCACCTTTATTGACATTGAGAAGGTGGACCAACTACTAGAAACAACAGCGTAAACAAACAATGTCTGTGTTTTGTACCGGTTGTCTTGTTACAGAAAGAAAAACACCATAAAAGCAGAAGCAAAAATAGCATTGTATATAGATGTTGTTTTCATTCACCCTGTTTAATTACAGATCTGCCACTGGTTGCTGTTCTCGTTATCAAGATTAAAATGATAATTATTGCATTATCGACACATATTATGATTCAGATTGAACAGATTGTGGGCTGATTTTGTGTAAAGTCTGCATCGAACACCTTGTATATTATGGCAGGGTTAACATGAAAAGATATTGATAAGGGTTTTGTATAGAACCGTTGATGATGATAATGATGTGGATTTGCACATTAATCATTCAAAAAATTGGTAAAAACTTTTTTTTCATTGTCTTGAAAGAAGAATTCAATAAAAGAAAAATACAGTAGTTATTACAGAATATTATTATAGATATAAACAACTGCTTTATGCTTTTTAAAATATATTTAAAAATGTAATTTATTTATGTTATGGTCAAGTTGACTTTTTAACAGTCTTTATTTCTACATAATCTTTCATTAATGTTAAAAACACTTACGATTCACCCCCAATTCAGGTGGGGATTCAGCGTCAATGCTTGACAGAGGGCGTGTCAGAAGTTAGGGCTGACGCAATCATCATAGCATATAGTCTGAGCTGGGGTATTTGCATAAAGCAATCTGATTGGCTGACGCTGGCTGAGCTAGGCCGACGGTCATCCATTCAAAATAAATGGGAAGCGTTGACTCTGAAGCCCCGTGTCAATTGGGTGTTATGTTTTAACTTAAAAGGTTTGTAAAAACCATGATGCATTTAATTTTTTCTATTTATTGACTAAAGAATGAAAATATTATCATCAAGAAAAAAAAAGAGAAATATTTAGTACCAGTTTCCAAGAAGCAATTTGTCTGTTCAAAGTCACAGCCAATCAGAGGAGAGCATGGGCGGTGTTTCTCTGCAAGCACACTGCATTCAAGACAAAATGGATGTGTAAATATTAAACAGTTTAATCTTATTAAAAACACACACTGACAGATACTTTCTTTGTTACGTAATACACTTGTTTTATTATTCATGTTTCCTTTTATTTATTTTCAAGATCCGAGGTAAATTATCTCTTTGCTTTTTAAAATGTCTACAAAGAGGTATATTCTGAAGTTAAGACACTTTTAATAGCAAATAAAAGCACATAATCATTACCTGCAAATGTCAAAGAAGCCATTTTGAAAAATAGTGATTTAACATCGAATTGATGCCTTTTACTATGTCTTGCTGTGTGTGTGTGTGATCAGATATCCAGGAAAAAAAAAACAACGTTTGCAATAACCGCATTGACTTTTGGCATATCATTGTTTTCAGCATTTGAGATTTTGACATTAACACTTATAATTCACTTTATATAATTCAACCTGTGAAATCTCAATAAATATTACCAAACCATTTTTTCTTTCTCAGATGATTTTGACGGAACAGAATTAAGTGACCAGGTTGGTGCATTACCTGTTTTATGATAATCAATCAATCAACGTGTACATTATTTCACCTTTGGCCTTCTCTGACTTGTATTTCTGTTTCCAGGAACTTCTTGATAAACTTGCTCAAGAGAATAAACAAATTAATATATTGGAGGCCCAGATTGAGGTTGTAAACACATATAAATGTTTACTAAATAATTGTCAAGTATTAAAAGGCTGTTTTCAGATGTTGAACTTTAAGATTTTGTTCTATTTTTGTTTATTTCTATGATTAGTCACAGAAAGAGGAGCTGGACCAGGCTCTAAAGATGGCGTCACAAGTGCATAGCACTGAGAAAGGAGCGCTGGAAAACGAGAACACTAAATTAAAAGAACAATTGTCTGAACTGCCTGGTTTAAAAGAGGAACTACAGATGCTGAGAGCAAGAGTTGCTGAGCTTACAAAACTAACAGGTACTGTAAAATAAAAGAAGGAACAGCACATAAAGCTTTTTATTTAGCTTTGTAGCCCTACATGAATATGTAAAGTGTACTCCACAATCCATGTGAAATGAAAGTTGCTGAGACTTTTATTTCAGTATGTTGATGTACATCCAACTAAAATGGAATATTGAGTAGGGGGTGGGGCTTTCTTTATTGCACATCATTCTCTCGTAGTAAACGAACAGTAAGAGAGGCGTGGTTAAAAATATTTCGGAGGAAGTCTTCACACTGACATCAGAGAAGGACCGCCAATCCAAACCCAGAAGCAAATGCTCAGACTATGGCTGCGTCTGAAATCACATACTTCCATACTACAGTGTATAGTACGCTAAAAACAGTATGCGAGCTAATTCTAATTCAATGAATTCGAGAGAAGTACCAGGATGACCTACTACATCCGGCGAGATTCTGAATTGCGCATCTCATGGACGCTACCCTATCTCATGATGCCCCATGACAATTCATGAATCGAAGTGAAGCGACTCAACTGACATGGGTAGGTCACGTGATAATGACAAAATGGCGGATATTGTACATCTGAATTCCATTAATACTGCTCACATTTGTACTGTATAAAACACTTTTCTAACTGTCGAGTAGTACATTTAAATTCAAATGAGGTACCTACTGAGTAGTATGCGATTTCAGATGCAGCCTTGGATTGAAGATTACTAAAACAAACTTTTTTTTTCAGTGGATCACTTTCACAGATTAACGGTTCCCCTAAAGAATAACAATCTGTGCTTGCAAAATAAACATTATAAATGTTTCACTTCACACAGACTAAGTTTTCTTCTGTCTGTTCATTTTCCTTCAGCTGAAGATCTCACACAAACAATCCCTGACTCTGACCCTCCTTCCACTGCTGACTCTGTTCCAGAAGAGGCAGAGAAACACCGGGACAAAAAGGAGGAACTGAAGCGTCAGAAAGCTCTTTTGGAGGAGAGTCGGAAACGTCTGGAGGGAATGAAGAAGCCGAGCTGGAACAAGCAAGGATTGAGGGAGAGCCTGGTGGAGATGCAGAAGAGACTCTCCAAACAGGTGGAGCAGCTGGGCAAACGTGAAGACTGGAAGAGGAAACACAAGAAGGAATGGGGCAGAAAGAAGGAACACGACTGGAAGAAGGATGAGGCGGAGAAAGGGAAAGAGTGGAAACATGGCAAAGACAAGCGGAAAGAGCATCTCATGAAGTACAAAGAAGAGTGGGACCTTAATAAGGATGAAAGAAGGCAGGAGCGGGAACGACGACAGAAGGAAAGACCTTGGGATGCAAAATCTTCCAAACATCAGCACCATCACGAGAAGGCGAACTTCTGGAGACACCAAGAAGAGAAGCTCCGGAGGAACCGACATCCGGCTGAAGGCTGTCGTGGCGTTTCCAACTGTGCAGACGCCGAAGGTCTCGTTCCCGTGAGGCTGCCAGAGTTTCAGGACCTCCTGGATGTCTACACAAGCAAACTAGAGGCGGTCCCTCAAGAAAACAAAGAGTCTCTCAAACGCCTCACAGCCCAGTTCTTCAGCGGTGGCATTTTTGCCCATGACAGAATGCTTTTCAGCGAGTTCGCCGAGGATGTGGCTGATATTCTGGAGGATCTGGCAGACGAACAACATGACAATGAATCTCTAGAAGAAGAGATGGAGGAGTTTGAGAAAGAGGCGCTGTTAAAGTTCGCCGCCACTTCTGCGTAATGTAGAATACTGAATGGGAGAAAATAAACCAAGTGAAGGAAAGCAAAATGAAATGATACTTTCCCTGATCTTTATGGACTGTAGATGTAGTTTAATGCCGTGTGTGTGTGTGTGTGTGCGTGTGAGGAGAGTCTTGTCATTAGTGAAGTCCCACCTGTGTTTTGGGTGTTTTGTTGTAAGCTACCTCCATTAGTCCTGTTCTTCAACGCCAAACCCTTTGACTCCTGCTTGCAGTGTAAAAATGTCATCTTGAGCATTAAGTGTCGCCAGTTTGGGATGGATCAGTCTGTTAGTACATGGGTAAGTGCAATGAGATCGGTGAATGTCCCTTTATATTGGTCTGAACTCAGAAAATTGACTTCAAGGAAAAGTTCTCCCAAATATAAAATGAAACTCACCTTGAAGCGGTTCCAACCCTTCACTAGTTTCTTTCATCTGTTGAACACAATATAACATCTCCAAGTCATTCTTCAAACTTATGTTATTGTGTTTAACAAAATTAAAGAAAGGAATGGGTTTTGAACAGTTCAATTAAGGCAGTTTTTTTATTTTATTTTGGGTAAACGGTTTCATTTAGAAATAATGTTGAATGTCTCGTTTTATTTTAGTTGTGAAGGGTTTTTTTATTTAAGTTTTATTTATTATTAAAATCCTGGTTTCTTTGCACAGATCTCATAATTTTGCTTGGTAAGCTAGAGTCAGACTGGTTTCTTTTTATGTTTTGTTTTCGCTAGAGGTTTTAGAGGTCATTGTAAACTTTCAGTTTTTCGGTTTCTACCCCAACCCAAGTTCTGCTCACACTTAATGTTTATGACAACACAAAATCTTTAAATCTTCGTTTATTTATTTATTTTTTTTAGAAATTTGACACGTTAGCTTATGTGCCTTTACTAGTGAGCACAGTACTGAAGTGAACACTTTGAATGAAAACCGAGAGTTTCAAGAATGCATTAGTTTGCACTGTGGTGCGTTTTATTTATATCCTCTTTCTATCCTAGGAAAAGAGCCATTGTAATCAATCATCAAGATCATTTGAGTTATTGCTGTGTGTTTTTGTTTTGTTGTATCTCTTTTGGGGAGTTGAATTGAAATATGGCCTTTTCTTGTTCAATTTGTAAATATGAAGACAAAGTAATTTAACTCATAATTTAAGGTAAGTTATCAGACGGCACACAGTGATATTTATTATGATGGACGATGGGAAATTTAATACCATTTCAAAGGAAGACCAAATGTCACAATGTATCAATATGAAAAATTTTTGATGATTATTAAAACCATGTACCATTGCCATGAGAATGATTCTTTATTGAGAAACTACTCTTTTTTTTGTTTTATACTCTTTACAAAGGCAAATTGACCTCTAATAGGGTCAAGACTGTCTTTGTGTGTGTATTTATTCCAGCATGTCAGTTGATGCTGAGTAAGTTTTGGATGGAGTTATCAGATGAAGTTTCCCTGATGGCAGCTCTTTCCATTGACAACATTTAGGAAATGTGATAGAGGTGTAGAGTAATCAGCAAACGCACTGCATTGAATTAATCGGCAGCATTTAAATAAATGGTATATTTCTCATTAGCTCAGACTGTAATGTGGGATCCGTGCTGTTAATCTGTCAGATGTGCTCCATATTGTGTTCTCTGGGTTACCACAGATGCTCTCTTTTGCTATTAAACAACAGTTTTTCTGTTGCTATGGAAACGTAAGCAGGAGATAAGAACATCCTGACTTGTTGTGAGGGAGCTTTGGGTGTGATTTTGGGTTTTCCGCTGAGTTTGACTGTCTGCTGGAGAGAATATAAGGTCGGAGATGCTCATTTACGTGACACTCCAGCCAGAACATCACTCGTGCGCTCAGGTATGCTAATAGTTTTTTCTTTTCTATTTCAGTGAATGATTTTCAAGTACTCCTGGATTATTTTGGGTTTATTTTATCATGTACTTAGCATCACAAAAATGAAATTTACTTGCTATTGTTTCAAACCTAAATTACTTTGTTTCTTCTGTTGAACACAAAAAATATTTTAAAGAAAGCAGAAAATCATTGACTTTTATAGTATGTTTTTCCTACTATGGATGTCAATGGTTACAGGTTTTCAACTCTTCAAAATATCTTCTTTTGCGTTCAACAGAATAAAGAAGAGCATGAAAGTTTGCAACCATCTTGGCATGAGTATATACTGAATAAATTTTGATTTTTGGGTGAACTATTCCTTTAATTTCAGCTGAAATTTAGCTTACTTTTAAGTGTCAGACAAATTTGTGTATCATAATTAACCTGTCAGTTTTCTTTTTCTCATCTTCAGCCTCATCTTTAACTCTACATCTCCCAGAATCATGGAATCTGCCATTAATGTGCTTGTCTCTGAGTTCAAGGCTTATGCTGGGAAGGAAGGTTCAGCAAGTACTCTGAGTAAAGAAGAGTTTACAAGCTTGGTCAAATCCCAGTTACCAAACTTTGTAAAGGTAAGCATTTTACTGAAGGTTAGCCTATACTTAGAAAATGTTTGGACTACATGCTTTAAGATAAAGGTATCATTTAGAAACCTGTTGTAAGGGAGAAAAATCAATATAGTGATTATTAGAAAAATATTTGAGTTGTATGTTTTTATACAGAAATCTAAAACTGAATGTGCAACAGCTGCTATGAAAATGCTTGTGTACAAAAGAATTATATTTTAAGTAAAAGCATTTTTTTGTTTATTGAATAAAGCTTTAAAATGTATATATTTTTTTGCCAAAAAACTGTCTAGGTTTCCTAAAAAAACTAAATCAAATAAAAGTTTAAATATTTAAAAAAAAAAGTAGAAAAAAATGAATTTTAATAAAATAGGAATACAAATAAATATCAAAAGTTAAAAAAAATGTATAAGATAATAAGAAATATAGAAATAAAAATAATAGTTGCATATATTCAACGTATACTGATCTCTTTATCTCTGTATTTCTCGTTAAATGATTATTTATAAAATATTGAATCTCCACAGAAATAAAAAAAAATTTCACAACTTATAGCTACTATGAAAGTACTTGTATGCTGATGGATAATTGTTTTAAACTATTTAAAAGTATAAAACCTTGTTTGTCTAGGCTAGAAAAAAAGAAACATTTATTTTGAATCAAATTTTAAATAATGTAAAAATTAAAATTAAATAATAGAAATAGCAAAAACAAGAAAAATACAGAAATAAATTTCATGAAAAGGGGAAAATGTAAAAATGCTTAAACTAATGTTTGGAATGGAAATAAATAAATAACAATTATAATATGCTTTATATGCACACAGATTAATAACTTTTAGCCAGGCAGCCCAACAGCTTTCCATTACAAAATTGTCACGCTTAAGATCTGATTTCTTTAAAAATCAGCGATCTTCACTGCATTTTATATATACACGATATGAAGTGGGTCTCAGATCGGACAAGAAGCACTGCATTAAACTCCATTTCCCTCCGTCATGTCTTTTAAAATATGACAGTTTATTTTACCCCAGTATTTTTAATGAAATTTCTGAGCTAGCCTGTTGCTATTGACGGCGCTAGTGGTTACAACTGTCTTTCATCTTGTTTTACGCTTGAACAATGCTAAAGAATGTTTAAGTCTATTTAACTGAATGTATTGTAATTGCGTTACATCAATGCGGTAAAAACAACCTTGTAAAATTGAGAATAGTCACAAATTAGCTTTCAACATAAGTTTGTCGCAGGCTTTAAAACTGTAGCTGTGCATAGAGCATATTGTTTATAAATTAAAAAATATATAATTTAAACGATCTTTAAACATTTATTTCTATTCTTTTCTTTAAACAATTATTTATAATAAATATAACAAAAGTAAAGAAAAAATTATATGATTAATATTGCTTGCTTAAAAGCATGAACCAGAGCACCATTTTAGAAGTCTGGTGTGAGTTATTAGTAAACCACATCCCAGTCTTCTGAAGAATTCCTTACGGGTCACGTGTTTGCCATATTTTGTTGAACAGGAAATTACAAAAATCCTTCCTAGAAGAACACTCAAGTTAAAGATAGTCTTCACACTACTAGTGTGCATCAAAGCAGTTCAGCATGTTTACATCAGTTAGCCTGCTGACAATGGAAAAACTGCCACATCAGAGCATTTTTTGTTTGACCAAAGCAGAACAGGAACTCCCCTTCACTCTTAATAGCTCAGCAGAGAAGAATGCACAGTACTACTCACAACCACTAGATGGAGACAATGTCATTACAAGTGCATGTAAAAGTCTATCCTGTCTGTTTTCTCCCTCAGAATTCATCTGATCCAGCCACCATTGACCATCTCATGAGCTCATTGGATGCGAATAATGATGGGCAGCTGACGTTCATGGAGTTCTGGAATCTGATTGGCAATGTTGCAAACAAGCATGGTGGATTCTAAGCCAATCAAGAGACATTGAAGTTGTACTTTTAATTTTACCTTGTGACTTTCTGCTGTAATTCTATAACCTGTTGCACAGTTAATGATTGTCCTAAGCAGGTGATGGCAAATAAAATAAAGCATTGTTTCTCAAGGTAATCTAGCCTTGGCTTTTTATTGACCATATAAGCTTTCCTTCACACCTCTCCCACTCTTTTGTGTAGACATTATGGTGCTTCTGATTTAATGGCGATGATTTATGGTAACCCGACACCACCCTGAGGCTTTCAACTATATACTGTTGCATGGCGGCTTAGTTTCAGATCTAAACAGTTTCACCTGAAGTCAGTTGCAGTTATGAGAAATCCTTGTTGACGTGTTTAATGTCAGACACAATATAAAGCAGTTGAATTGCTTGGCAGGTGTGGTCTGGGGGAAGGGCGTTGCTTTCTTTGGAATAGTGATGAAGATTTAGGTCTTATTTGAAAGCGCTGTTAGTTGGAGGGAAAATAGTAGACAAATTCTGAAACTTTTGAATTTTCGCCTGTAGAAAAACATGTTTGATTTGCCTTGGACTTGCAATGTTAAACTTTAGACCTGTCGCACTAGTTTTGGAGAGTTTAAGGGGGCATTTGCATGAGAACAGGGAACTTACACTTGTGAAGTTCACATACACTTCCTGACAAAAGTCTTGTCGCCTATCCAAGTTTTAGGAACAACAAATAATAACTTGACTTCTAGTAGATCATTTGGTATCAGAAGTGGCCTATATGAAAGGCAAAGGCCTCTAGATTACGCTTATTTTACCAAAATAAAATATGATCATACCTTAATTTTTAATTATTTAATTAGGACAATAAGGTCGTTGCTTAGACTCAAGTCTTGTCACCTAACAGAAATAATGTACAGTATATAAAGTCATGGTGCAGAGGAAAACGAATTAATAATTGTATGACTCCCATGAGCTTGGAGGATTGCATCCGTACATCTCTGCAATGACTCGAATAACTTGATAAAGTCATCTGGAATGGCAAAGAAGATCAATGCCTCCATCTTACCCCAGACATGCTCAATAATGTTCATGCCTGGTGACTGGTCTAGCCAATCCTGAAGCATCTTGACCTTCTTTGCCTTCAGGAAGTTTGATGTGGAGGCTGAAGTATGAGAAGGTGAGAAGGAGCGCTATTCTGCTGAAGAATCTGTCCTCTCCTGTGGTTTGTAATGTAATGGGCAGCACAAATGTCTTCATACCTCAGGCTGTTGATGTTGCCATCCACTCTGCAGATCTCTCGCATGCCCCCATACTGAATTTAACCCCAAACCATCATTTTTCCTTTACCAAACTCGACTGATTTCTGTCAGAATCTTTGGTTCCTGCTGTTCCAATAGGTCTTCTGCAGTATTTGTGATGATTGGGATGCAGTTCAACAGATGACTCATCAGAAAATACGACCTTCTGACACTTTTCCAAATGGTCCACAAAAAGTCTAGTTATTATTTGTTGCTCTTACAATGACAAAACTTGTCAGGTAGTGTAGACGACACAACATTGTATAAAAAGGTCTGTGGAAGTAAATAGAACTGCTGCAGTTTGCACGCCATGCCAATAGATGGTGATGTCACTTTGAAAAAAAAAAAAAAAAAACACTTCACACTTTCGTACATACAATCCTATAGTCCATTGGTCTCAAACTCCTGGAGGGTCGCAGCTCTGCATAGTTTAGCTCCAACCACCACCAACTCACACCTGCTTAATAGTCTCCAGTAGTCTTGAACACCTTGATTAGTTAGATCAGCTGTGTTTGATTAGGGTTGGAGCAAAACTGTGCAGGGCTGCGGCCCTCCAGGAATCAAGTTTAAGGCCTATATTGTAGTCCGACGTTGTATTTTTGTTAACATGTTAATGTTTTCAGCCCAAAATGAGACACTTTTTGTGTGTTCTGCCTGTTTTTTTATGACTGAAAACGCATAAATATAAATGAAAGTGTACGTTTTTGATAACACCATCACTGATGTGTTCATATAAACACAGAAAAACTCTTTAAAAACAATGATGTCATGTTTATTATGTGTTTAGGGAGTTGTCGGTTTAAGCAAGTGCAAACCAACACATCAATGGCTGTGTATATGGTAGTGTTGTTGTTTGAATGTTTGCTAATGCTTCATCAGCATAGTGTGGATTTACTTAACATCACAACCAACACAAACGTCTCATCTTACACACATGGCAAATTGTACATACACACCAGGGTCGAGCCGCCGATGGCATATCGTCACTTCCCTACTGGTACGGTTTACTTAGGGTTGTCATGATACCAATAATTCATGTTACGATACTATACCAGCTGAAGTATTGTGATACCAAGTAGTATTGCGATATTGTAATTCATAACTCAAATCCATAAAATTAAGAAAATTGCCAGAAATAATATATTTTAAGTTATGATAGGCCTGTTTGAATTGAATTAATGATTCTCTTATTATTGAAAAAAGTATTTTGCACGTCACTTCACCTGAAAAGTATTCGTTCGTTTTGTTTGTTTGTAGATAACTGACCAACAAGAATTACATTAAAATAAAGATACAAATGATACCAAATAAAATTCATTACAAATTAGGCTTTATGAAGTGGTCAAAAATTGTTTCAATGTTTCCAAAATCTATTTTTTTTCTCAGTCTTATCAGGTACAGTAAGTAATTCAAAATTTAAATTTGAGTCACCATTTTTAAGAGATTGTCACAGTTGTTGTTGCTACTTAATCATTGACAGGAGCAGAAACTAACTGATTTAGATTCGAACTGAAGCATTTTAGTGACTTTTCCACATGCAACATTATGTATTGTAGATAGATTGTTAATGACGATAACATTTACAAACTACAGTGGCATTAGCAGTATTTTGGAGCCATAGTATCACAATACTACCATAGTACCGGTAAACCGTGCAACCCTATTACTTACAAGGCGACAGTACCAAATACTAGCATGGCATATGTATTTTTGGTTGTTTTCATAGATGTAAACACACATAGCTTTGAAAATGTAGTGTAACCATTAAACTTTTAAAACCACAAGTTCAGTTTTTGGCTACATTTTTGTTGTGTAAACTCAACAATCACACACTTTATACGCAAAGTGTAAATATTCATTAATACAATTGTTCTGTAAAAGTATTCCTCAAACTCAAAAATTAAGATATTTAATATTGAAGTATTTGCTCAACATTACTAAACCAATCACGATTGACTTGTTTTAGGGAATCACACAAATGCTAACCCTTTCTATGCAACATGAATCATTAAGAATAACCTTTGTAACATAATCAAAGAGATTTGAGGCATGACTAAAGTATGACCACAGTCCACACAATGCAGTCAGTTCAAACTGCTTTACATAGGCGGTGCCTTTTGCAAACACAGATTATCATAGAAAGTGTTGGTACTGGGATATGATTCATTTGTCTGTATGTCTCCCCTGAGGGCTGGTAAAGAAGATTTATGGTGATACAATGTAATCCGGATTGCAAGAATCCTGGTGATATTACTTCTTGCGGCATTTAAAAACAACAATTTCCTGTCTCAACCACTGTCAGAAATGTAATTTGTTAAATTAACAGCCACTATTTCCCTTCTTGGGTTCAGTGTGCTTATTTAAGAAATTAATTGGTTCAATTCAATTCACCTTCATTTCTATAGCTCTTTTACAATGGGGATTGTGTCAAGGCAGCTTCACATAGAACAGTGATTCTTTACTGTGATACGAGTAACACTAGTGGTATGCGGGCTTCCTTTGTCGAGGAATCAAATATGTCATATGTACATGCTACATATTTAAAAATGTATAAAAAATTATTTACATATGAATATGATGAAATATAGCCTATATTTATGAGGTCCAGGCAACATTTCCAGGTGTTGATAAATAGGCAATATCAGGGGTGGTCAGTCCTGTTCCTGGAGATCTACCTTCCTGCAGATTTCAGTTGCAACCCTTATCAAACACACCTGCCTGTAATTATCAAGTGGATTTCAGGTCCTAATTAATTGGTTCAGGTGGGTTTGATCAGGGTAGGAGCTAAACTGTACAGGAAGGTAGATCTCCAGGAACAGGATTGAGGACCCCTGGGCTATATGTTATTACTTTACAATTGAGTACAGCAGTTTTTGTTTTTAATTTTTAAAAACAGTAACCTAACATTTTTACTTTTAAAAGCACATTTTAATTTAAATGTTGACGTTTTTTTTTTTACATATAAGCACAGTACAGTGTTAATGTTCAAACTATCATGTTTAAAGTGGCTAACATTAATACATATTCTTAATATTAGGAATTAATCTGGCTGGTTTTTGAACAGAACAGAGCTGTTGCTGCTTTACTGGGCCTACTACGCTACTGTATTTCAATACTGCTCATCATAGTGGTACTTGGAGAGACAATTATTTTCTGAGGTGGTACTTGATGAAAAAAGTTTGAGAACCACTGACAGAAGATTATAGTGATTGTAGTTAAACTAAAATGTTATTTAGAAACATATTGTCACAACAAATGTTCTTTACTCAAAACACTAAACATGTTAACATTTTTACAACTTACTACATCATTATGTAGGCTATTAATCTTACCAGATAAAAGCCAGTAACGCGTTTTGGACACACTTAAATTATTTTGTAACATAAACAGGGCAGCATTTATAACATCACAGTGCCCTGGCTGATTTTTTTAACACCAGTTCAAATGTTGTGCAGGGAAGGGTTAAAGTTTTTAGTACTTCCCTTAAAGCTCCAGACAAAACTTACTGTCATCTGGCGTGATTCCCAGTGTGATTTCTGCTGTGAAACGACATTCTCGTGTTATAGTGTTGATGTTACAGCTGTGGACAACATTAGAAAGATCTGGGTTAGCCCATTAATCACTTCAAAACTCAACTGTCCTGTTTGAAGTAGCAAAATTAGTTCGTCCCCTTGTTAGTTCCCCTCCTCCAGGTACGCCCTTTCATTTGTCAGGGGCAACAAAAAAAATTCACGGAAGAGCTTCGGCTTTGGTTCGGGTTTGACAAGTTTTTTTTCTCTTTTTTTTTTTTTTTTGAGGTAAGGGAAGAGAAGGGAAAGGGAAAAAAGGCTTTACAGCAGCTACTGCGAACTGTCAATCCGTGCTGTCCCCATTTTAGGGTAAGTCCTCAAAAATACACTTATTTATAATTTGTGACTACTTTCAACGCAAAACTTTGAGATTTTGAACATTTAAGAGTTTATATAGAGTGTCAACGCCACGTTTTAGTAACACCCATCGACCACCCTTAGCCAAACTGAAGCTGAATCTGGAAACATCTGCCGTTTTCGCTCACGGTTAATCTGTTTTTCACAAATACGCTAAACTATGCAGATAAATACTTATGTGGTTTGCGCGCGAATACATGCACGAGCAATTGGCTTTGTACGTTAGCTGATAAAGTGAATGCTGCTGTTTAAAACCTATTTTTAATGTACAAATTATTTTAAGATTTTTGAAGCTTACGATAAGCATATTTTATAATTATATATTTATCTTGTAATATATATTCTTTTCTTCGGATTTTAGTATTCGCTAAGATGCTTGACGTTTGTGACACTCTTCAGTCTCCCGCGCCAACAGTAAATCAATCAAGTCCAATATAAAGTATCGCTTTAACTCCTGACAGAAAAGAGAAGCGTTTAAGTTAACCAAAGGGTGTTTTGTTCCACGCGTGATTTGAGGGTGAAGAAAATAAGAAGTACCTCGAGATGTTCCTCACCAGGCTTTATACTCAGGCAAAGTTGTTCCTGTGTGAATTTTTAATGGCGCACGCGAGCGGCGGGTATTGTCGTTACTGAGATCGAGCGCGCGCGCGTATCACATTCTCCCTTTTGGAAACGCAAACCGTTCAATCTCTTTAGCGCATTGGAGAGAGAAACTGTACAGTGGAAGAGTGTCCTTGCTTATACTGCCTATGTGTCCCCTTTATCTCATTCATTGAGTTTGTTTGCACAGATTTACTTACTCATTTCGGCCAGGCACAGAAAAAGGTCGTGTCTGTTTTGGAGAGTCACTTAAGTAATGGAAGATCTCCCTTCATTACTTATTATTAACTCATCCACGTGCTGTCTGTCTGAGGGAGTTTTGGGTTAAAGAGACTGTCTAGGGTGGCGCGGACGGCATTGCCAGGTCAGGGGCCAAAGGCATCAATAATTCATATGACTTCACGACTGGCACTGGATAGGGTTGAGCCCGAAGGTTGAAAGAGTCAATGGGATCGGTGACCAGTGCCTATAGAGACTAGAAATATGACTGGAGACCAGGTGTGCAGGACTTGTGACAACAACACAGCATTGACTTCAACAGAGCAGCGGCCCTTTGATCCAGGGCGCATGTCAATGTAGTTTGTGCTGTGAATAAGGGCTGACAGTACAGTAGGGTCTGTGTCTTTAAACACTGCTCTGTTGTGCATGCATAGATGGTGGATTTCAGTTACTCTACATGCTACTTTCTGTATAAACAGGTGCTTGTACAGTAACCTGTTCTTCTGGGTGTCGAGCAAGATCTGTTTATAGTAATGCTGACTTGGGAGATTAATTTTGAGTAATCTAGAGCAGTGGTTCTCAAACTGTGGTACGTGTACCTCTACTGGTATGCAGGCTTCCTTCTAGTGGTACGCGGAGGAATTAAATATGTCATGTATATGCTACACACTTTTCAAAATTTATCAAAAATTATGCATATCATATGCCATATATGACATATAGCCTATATTTCTGGGCTAATATGCCACGTTTTTTAACTGTGCAGAGTTGCAGCTGCTTTACTGGGCCTACTATGCTACTGTATATTTCAATACCGCTCTTTTTGGTGGTACTTGGAGCGACAATTTTTTTCTAAGGTGGTACTTGATGAAAAAAGTTTGAGGACCACTGATCTAGAGTAAGACCCTTTTCTGCATTTGAAGCTGATCTTTTTATGGCTTAAAGTGTGTTTCATGCACAAAGGTCTGTACCGGTTGTCTTTTTCCCCATAGTAATCAGTTTACACATTTACAAAAGTCATTTAAAATCTCAAATCAAGTACGATTAACATTGTATAATAAAACTGCATGTTTATACCCTTTCTCCTTGAGAAAAGTGTGCATGAAACTCATTTTAAAACTCATATTTTGTAATTAATAAATGCATGATTTATTATCTATTTCACTCACGATATGTAGCCGATTTTATATAGTGCACTCACAGGATATGTTTGATGCAGTAAGGGCATCTGCTGGTAAAATGTGTCACAGTAATTGGTGGATCATTTCAATGTGGCGACCAGTGTTAGGGAAAGATACTTTTGAAAGTAATGCATTACAATATTGAGTTACTCCCCCAAGAAAGTGACTAGTGTGTTACTTTGGTAAGTAATGCGTTATGTTACTTTTGGGTTGCTTTTGCGTTACTTTTTATTACCTGGCTAAGGCTTGATCTCTTTCAGAAGTCTTTATTTTTTTTCTTATTTTAATAGAGGAGTTCTCCAATTAACAACACACTGTATAACCTTTATTTACCTTTAAAAAAACACATCAAAACATAATAACGTAGCATACTGTTATCTTACAGCTTCCTCTAGTGCTATACATGGCGTATATACAGATTATTGAAAGTTTAAAGCAATGTGTTTGCTACTTTTGTATCTGTCTAGGTACCTAATCACTGTCCATTGAGACAATCCCTTTTTCCCTTTCTTCGATGCATTCAAAATAATGAACACATTCTCTCATTGACTGCGTGATTTGTTGTGACTACTTTTAATTCAGCAATTTCTTTTTTAAAAGCTAATTAATTAAACTAAAATGTAACTCGCTTTACATTTTCAAAAAAGGAACCCAAATGTTATTACTTATTTTTTAAAAGTAATGTGTTACTTTACCCGTTACTTAGACAAGTAATATTATTATATAACTCGCGTTACTTGTAATGCGTTACCCCCAACACAGGTGGCGACCCCTAATAAAGAGGGGAGCAAGGCAAAGGAGAACGAGTGAGCTATTAATTCATTAGGTAACACCAGTTGTGTCATTTTTAATGGTTAAAATATGAAATAAAAATGTATCTAATTGTAACAATTGGTTCTTAAAAGTAAATTTTAAAAAGTGTAATATTATTTATAATTGGTTAATTCAAGTCAAAAATGTTATTTTAATTAATTACACCATTGAAGTATATTTTAGTGGATGTTTTCTCTTCAGTAAAATCATAAATAAAAAACACTTTCTCTTTAGTAAGATGTGCCTAAACTTTTTTTTGCATGTATAAAATTAATATAATATAAAATATAATGCAAAGTAAATTTGAATGGTGAAATCGGGTCAAAATTGCATCTAATGTTGGGTAATACCTGTGTACACTTATGTAGTAAGAGTAAGTTTAAAGTATTAAATTTGTATAGCTTTTATTGGCAGCAACAACGTTTTAAAGGTGGCACAAACCTACATTTTCTCTATTTTATTTAAAACTTAAAATTATAGAGTATAAAGTATAATATTTGTATGCAAAATACATTTTACAGTTGCAGACGGACGATTTTTAGCATCCAAAAATATGTCAGATATGTAAATATGTTCACTTTGAGGGATCAGAGAAGCTGTTATACCACTTAATTCCCAAAATTGAAATTTGCCAGCCAGATTTTGTGATACAGTTGTGGGTTTAACCCAAATGAAGACGCTGATCAAGTGTGTAGGGTTTATGTCCAACAGCCAATGAGAATTATGATATAGATAATTAAATTATTGCCATTTTAAGACCATTTTATGGCAGTGATCACAAAACGATTACTCACTCGCTGTTCTTTATCCTTCTTAGTCCCTGATTTTAAGGTTTGCCCCAGTGGAATGAACCGCCAATTACTTTGGCATATGTTTTATGCAGCCGATGACCTTTCAGCCACACCCACACGCTTTCATTCACACACACTCATGCACTACAGCCAGTTTTTGTTGACGCAATTCACTCCTGATCCAGCCGGGACTCAAAACCGCTGTGAACTGCTTGCTGTAAGGAAACAGTGCTAACCACTGAGCTACCATGCCTTGCTTCAGATTACTTAGATTCTGTAATTTGGTTAAAAAAATGTTATGTCCTAATATAAACTTTGATACCATTAATTTAGTATATTATATTATGGCTTTAGCATAATTTGTGAATGTGTGCCATTTATCAGTGTCAGTGGACTGCAGCTATTTTTATTGCATGATAAGTCAGTATATAGTGTCATCATTATCAGAGTGTCTGCGGACAGAGGTGGAAGAGTGGCAGGAACTGTTTCCTGCGCATTTACACCTGAGCGTAGTGTAAAAGACTCCTTCTCACTTTCAACAGCCTATGAAACCAGAAACTTTAATATGCAAACTGCGTCATGTCTGTATCTCCTTCTCTCGCACTCATTAAATTAGGCTAATGGTCATGTTTCGTAATTGCTTACTACCTGTCGATGTGGTTATTACTGCTGCTGATAAGAGGAAACTGTGTGTGTGTGTCTCGGATGACAAACACACCTACACAGATTTTGACCTGTAATAACCACCCAAAGGGCTACTTTACTGACCGCTGGATGTCACAGCTTGTTTTGGTAGTCTTTGTTGTTTCTATGCCTCTGTTTGTACTGCTATGCAAATTATATGGTTTCAGTCCTGACCTGAACAAGTAAGCCGTAGTTTTCTGGTTAGGTCTGAATGGCTGACGTAAACAAAAATGATCGAAATTCAAAAGATGACAAAACCTCAGAGTTGTGCTTTCTGCATCTCTGTGTGACACTAAGAGTCTTCAAGATTTTATCAATGAAACATACCTTTCAGTAAACGTGTACCTGAAAACACAGGTTCTTTCCAGCCATTCTGCGGTTTCATAGATATGTGTTATTATTTTATACTAATAGAAATTTATTATACACTGTAAAAATGCTGGGTTCCACACAGTTCCTTCATGTAGTCCCTACACAAATTAATCGTTATTTGAATCATTTTCACAAATTTAAGTGGACAGAACATGAAACAATTAATTTGTCCACCCCCAAAAATAAGAATTGTGTTGTTTCAACTCATTTTGAATAAGTAGTTTGAACAAGCAGCAAAAATAGTATTTATTAATATTTCAACCATCAATTAATTGTCTGCTTATTATTTGGG